GGATCTGATGGCGTTCTTCCTGACCTTCGAGCGCGCACTGAAGGCGGCTGCTGAAGCTACTGGCATTGTGATGACTGACGAACAGAAGTCACTCTATCTCTATCATGCGATGCCTAGTACCTGGAAGTCTGACCTTGCGATTTGGAAGGGCAGCAAGAAGTTTATCCCGTACACGGACCTCAAGACCAACATTGAGCGTAAAGTGCTGGATGACTACGCCAAGCGCAAGTACGTGATTGAGAAGGGCAGCCCCGAGACCCCCGCCACGGCCAGCGAGACGGCACTTCAGGTCATTGCGAACACACCTCATGGCCGAGACGACCCGCCTCGTCGTTCTCAAGGTTGCACCTACTGCCAACGGCCAAATCACGCCATCCGCGACTGCCGTGTGCTGCAGAAGCACCTGCGCACTGGTACTGTCAAGGAGGGCACAGTGCTGTCAGCGAACTTTGGCATTATCGACCGCAAGCCGAGGGATGACCACAACCCCTTCCCGGCCAAGCAGCAGCGCACCCAACGCTCGGATGACCGGCAGCGCCCACCCTCTCGCAATGAGAATGGGTTCAAGGGTCCGGACATCTATGATCGCTTTGGCAACCCGGTCAACTTCCAGGATCTCCAGCGCAAGTTCAGCCCGAGAGGACGCGAAGCGGGGCTCATCGCCTATGCGACTGTCATCATGCCGGACATCGGTCTGTCGGCTACGAGCTCTGACCCCCATGACCCTACGTGGACGGTTGACTCGGGATGCACTCGCCATGCTGCTTACCAAGAGGCCTGGTTCAAGGAGATCCGCCCCTACGCCGGCGCCATCATGGTCGGTGGCAAGCACCAACTAGCCATCCGCGGCATTGGTGATGTGGTCCTCGAGGTGGTTGACACTACCGGTACTACCCGCCTCATGGAATTCCGTGATGTGCTATACGTGCCGGACATGAAGTTCAACCTCCTGTCCATTGCCCAGGTGCTGAAAATGGGTATTCGCGTTGTCTTCAGCAGCACTCGCTGCACCTTCTTCGTGGGCAAGGACTACAAGGTCCACGTCGAACTCGCGTCGGACATGAACCTGTTCCAGTTCAAGCCGAAAATCCCACTCAAGACGCCCAGCGCGCTCGTGGCCCCAGCTCCTGCGGACGATCAGCCCGCCAATGCCCTTGTGGCTCAATCAGGTATGGACCCTGCTGTCTTATTGTGGCACAAGCGTCTCGGTCATCCTAACTTTCGTGTGATGCAGACCATGTCTAGGACCCAAGCGGCCCCTGAACTGGCGTTCTCTCAAGCATCAGCGATCCCCAAACACTTCTGCCCCTCGTGCATCTTTGCTAAAGCACACCGTGCTCCATTCAAATGCAATGTTGATCGCTCTAAATGCCCTCTTGAAAAAGTTCATTCTGACATCAATGGCCCCTTGCCTTACCCAAGCCTAAGTGGCGCTCACTACTTCATTACGTTCATTGATGACTACTCGCGCTTCATGCACCTATATGTCGTTGCGCGCAAGTCGGACTTGTACGATTGCTATGAGAAGTTCCGTAAGGCAGCTAAGAACCGCTTCAACACTGAGGTCGGTACCCTGGAAACCCAATTCAATCAGTATGACCCTGAGGTGCAACGACTTCAGAGCGACAATGGTAAGGAGTACGAAAAGCTCGGCCAGATCATATTTGATCGCTATGGCACGCATGCCCAGTTCACCAACGCGTATACACCTCAACAGAATGGCGTGGCTGAGCGCCGGATGCGCACTATCCTAGAACGTGTGCGTGCCCTACTCATCGATGGTGATCTACCCCGCCAACTTTGGGGGGAGTGCTGCCAGTACGTCACGCACCTTATCAATGTGACTACTAGTAGTGTGCTTCCTAAAGGCGTCACTCCCTATGAGCTTTGGCATGGCAAGAAACCATCTCTAACGTACATCAAAGTGTTCGGATGTGCGGCATTCGCTCTTACACCAGAGCCGCATCGCAACAAACTAGAGGCGCGCGCTAAACTGTGCATGTTTGTGGGCCTTCCCCAAAACAAGAAAGGGTATCGCCTTCTCAGCACGACGGAAAACAGAATCATTTACAGCCGAGATGTCACGTTCAAAGAGGACACATTTCCTAACCTCACCTATTTAGAACGGGCCTCTCCAAACCCTCTCAGCACCTCCCTGCCTGTTCAAAAAGAACTCCTGCCTCCCCTAAGTGCGCTACTAAAACGCAACCAAGCCTCGCTGGTGGCCACTGATGCTGACGTGTCTACCCCTTCCGCTAAGAAGGTTAAGACAAAAGACGCCCTCGCCATCTACTCTAAGGCGCTACTGCTCAACGAGCCCATTGACCTGGAAGAGGAACATACCCTTCATCATGCCATCATTACTCTCTTAGCTGCTCGCTATGACCCAGACCCTAAGACCTTCAAGGAAGCCATGCGCTCCCCACATGCATCTGACTGGCACGCTGCTGCTCTCTCTGAATATCGGTCGCTCATGGAAAACCAAACGTGGACACTGGTGCCGCGGCCGCACAACCGCAAGGTGCTCCAGTGCAGATGGGTTTTCGTGCGTAAGCGCGATGAAACTGGTCGCGTTGTGCGCTTTAAAGCTCGCCTGGTCATTAAAGGCTTTCAGCAAAAGTACGGTATCGACTATACAGAAATCTTCTCTCCTGTCGTCCGCATGGAAGTCCTTCGACTGCTGCTCACGCTTGCAGCAATCCTTGACTATGAAATTGAACAGATGGACGTTAAAACGGCTTTCCTCAATGGTTCACTCGACGTAGAAATCTTCATGGAACAGCCTGAGGGATTCAACTCAAAGGATCGCCCTGGCCTCGTCTGCAGCCTTGGTAAGAGCCTATACGGCCTCAAGCAAGCACCTCGTGTCTGGTATCACACCTTTGCTAAGTACCTCGAACGTCTGGGCTTCACTCGCCTCGTTAAGGACCGTTGCGTGTTCTTTAAGGTTATATTCAATGCGCCGTGTTACATCTCGGTTTACGTCGATGATCTGCTGATCATCTCCCCGTCCAAACATGTCGTTGCTCGGGTCAAATCGGCCCTGAGTTCCGAGTTCCACATGACCGATTTAGGGGGAGTATCCTACCTCCTTGGCTGGACAATTGAAAGGAACCGAGCTAACCGCTCCATCTTCATCCACCAAAAGAGCTGTGCCACCAAAGTGCTAGATAGATTCTCAATGTTATACAGTCACCCAAAGAGCACGCCAATCGCGCAGAAGCTTAGTACCACCGACTGTCCTACCGACGACGATAGTAAGGCTATGATGGCCAACAAACCGTACCGAGAAGCTGTAGGTAGTTTCATGTACCTGATGACGGATACTCGTCCTGACCTTGCCTACTTCATCCGTGAAGTTAGCCAGTACCTCGACAACCCAGGGCTGCCTCACTGGAATGCTGTAAAGCATGGTCTTCACTACCTCAATGGCACAAAAGACTTTGGCATCACTCTTGGTGGAGTGGAAAACCTCGAGCTCCTACAGTCAGATGAATATCTCATGGCTTATACGGACTCAGACTACGCAGCATGTCAAGACACACGACGCTGCATCGGTGGTTATATCACTATGTTCTGCAACAGTCCCATTAGCTGGGTCTCACGGAGACACCACACAGTCGTGCTCTCCACAACGGAAGCAGAGTATATCGCACTCTGCTACTGCATGCAAGAGCTGGTCTACTTAAAACTACTGCTAAGAGAACTAGGCTACGAGAGATCAAAGCCCACACTGATCATGGAAGACAACCAAAGTTGCATTAAGATATGCAACAACCCAGAGCTTCACGGCAAGAGCAAACACATTGACATTAAGTACTTCTTCGTACAGGAGAAGGTGGCGCGCAAGGAGTTCACTGTCAGCTATTGCAACACCAATGCAATGTGCGCTGACATCTTCACTAAACCTTTAGCGAAGCCACTATTTGAGAAAATGAGAGAGCTATTACGTGTGTCCCCACCACAATAATGAGGGAAAAATTATAGAAGACTTTGCACTTTGATGATAAATAAAAGAACAATTTAATGGTGAGAGCATTTTAGTTTATTGTCTGAAGATTTAAAACGCACCGTGAAATCCTCTCCCGACATGTCCTTCGCGATTACCAGACTCTGAATGGACGCACAAATGCGAAGAAGTTCATCCAGCGACACTCCTCCACAGGCTTCTCCTTGCCCTTGTCGATAATGGTCTTGCGCTGGCCCCGTCCGCCACGCGAAGCACAACTGCATGGCCCACGAATCGGACGTTGTAAGCCGCCACGATGTACAGTCCATCCGTAACGCCCTTGTCCGGAGTCAGCTCGCTCTACACACGCGGCCCGCGACGTCCTCCTTGGACGTAGTTGTTCTTTATCATCTCGTTAATCTTGAGCGCAGTCCCATGCTGGCGCAGCTTGCGCAGGAAAGCCGTGAACTGCTTCCAATTGCAGCCCAGGTTCATGTCCACGTCGAACTTGCTCTTAACCTCGGCGAAGAAATCATCGATCACCGTCTGCGGAACCAGGTTGGGGCGCTTGAGAAGGTTGGCCGCAACTGTCATAGCTCGAAACATGCAGGAGTAGTCCTCGCCCGCAGAGTCTAGACCACCATGCATAGTCATTTCAATTCATCTATACCAAGTTCCCTATAGACAGATAATTCATCACCTTCCCTATTTAACTCCGGATTTCATCCCTATATTCAAGTAGTCAGATGATCATTGGCAATAGCTGGGCACACCACCACCGACATTGACAGCACAATGTTCGTCACCCCCCCCCCCCTTTGGCAATGGTAATCTCCATGTGCTCGAGCTCGCGACACATGCGCTGCAAGTCACTGACGTAATCCTCAACCCCCTCTCCTTGCCGAAGGCGTCTGGCATAGTCCGCGTGACCATGAGCATGTGCGAGCTACAAACCCCACAGTAAATGCGCAGTTATTAAATACCTGCTGCAACGCTGTTTCCTTTATTAGTATGCTTACAAGTCAATACAGTACTGTTGGCGCTAGAGTGCTCACCGCGAGAAGCAGTTGGAGTAGTTGGGCGTGTGGTGGTGCAGGTCGGAGGTCAGGAACGGGTGCTCCACGACCTGCTCCAGAGTCGGGCGCTTGCGCGGGTCCATGCTCAGCAGCTTCTCCAGGAGGTCCCAGGTCACCTCCGACAGCTTGCGCGGGAACACGCGCCGCAGCTTGCGCACGCCCCCGCCGTGGCTCAGGACGCGGAACTGCCGGTCCTCGCTCGTGGGCTTCTCGACGAGCGGCGCGCCCGCGAGCATGATGGCCAGCAGCACGCCGAGCGACCACATGTCGGCGGCCAGCGGGTCGTACGGCTCCTTGGCTGCGAAGACCTCGGGCGCCATGTACCAGGCCTTGCCCACGCGTCCGGGCGCCAGCGGCTTGCCGTGCTGCGTGGCCAGCCCGAAGTCGCACACGTGGCAGACGCCCTCGGCGTCCAGCAGCACGTTCTCCAGCGAGATGTCGCGGTGCGCCAGGCCGTTCTGCTTCATGCACAGCAGTCCACGCACGACGTCGCGCAGGAAGCGACGCGCGGTGGCCTCGGGCAGGCGACCGTCGAGGGGGCTGTGACGCACGACGTCGAACAGGTCTCCGCCCGAGCAGAACGGGAAGACGAGGTAGAGGTTGCCGCCGCACTGCACCTCCTCCTCCAGCAGCAGCAGGTTCGAGGTCTGCGCCGCCACGAGCTTGCGGTGCACGGCGCGCTCCTGCTGCAGACTCTCGACCACGCGGATCTGCTTGCCGATGGTCACCCGGGCGCGCGCGCAGCGGAGGTCCACGCGCTTGACGGCGAACTGGCGGCCGGTCTTGGAGTCGAGGCACAGCAAGACCTCTCCGAAGAGCGCCGGCGCCAGCGTCTCCAGCACCTTGAAGTCGGACAGCCGCTGCGGCGGCGACCGGGTGACGGTAGTCGGGGTCGCGATCGGCATCATGGGCGCAGGCTCCGGTGCCGGTTGCGGCGGCGTCCGCGGGGTCGACGCCGCCGCCGCCGACTTCTTCTTGCTCGTCTTGGGCGTCGTGGCGCTGCCGGACCCGCGCGGCGACGAGAAGGGCGAGAACGTGGCCGTCAGCATCGCGTCCATGTAGTTGCGCAGGAGGCCCATTGTGGTGCTGCAGTCACTCAGTCAGTCAGTCGGCGGGTGGGTGGATGGATGGCCGATGCGTCGGACAATGGGACTGGGTTGGGTTCAGGTCGCGACCGCGAGAAGTCGGAGACTTGCGACTTGCGCTCGACGGATGCAATTGGGAAGTGATCGAGCCGAGCCCGGGTGGGTGGAGGTGCGTCCAGATAGTATCCGAGTCCTTTCGGCCCGAGGGTGGCACTGCACTGCTGCGTGCCGTTTCCAGCGCGTCTTGCGAAATGAGCTCAGGCCAGGCAAATGGCGCTGGCGATTGACTGCCGGCCGGAGACGCTCTCTCAGCTTCGATGCAATCTACGGAAAGCGCCCGTTTCCGAGGCGCTGGTGACGCCCGCGACGGCAGCTGGTAAATCACCGGCCGGAGGGGCTTCGAAGCGCACGCGAGGTGTTTGCCTGCCGGTGCCCGCCGCGTCGAGTGGGAGACTGGTGGCCTTCGCATCAACTCAGGCCGTTATGCCCGGCGCCTTCCTGCCCCGACTGCGCGGCCGCCACGAGCGGCTTCGCAGCGCGCGTTCTCGCTCCGAGAAAAATGGCCTGAGTCTGGCTGGCTTCGGTGGAGCAGTAACGCTGGCACCAAGCAGCGCTCGCTCGCTGCTTGGTTCAGATCGTGTACATGTTCATGCACATGCGGGGAAGTTACCTGTTGTTCGGCGGCGAAACGGTGCGGGGCCATCATCTGCTTCAGCCTCCTTGGTTGGGCCAAGTTGAAGTGGCCAGCCAATCCGACACGGCCAGCCGGATCAACCTGCAGGGTTGAAGCGCGAGTCACGCGTCAATTATAGCATGCCTTCAACGCCGTGGGGTATGGTCCCGAGGATGAATGCGCGACTTGTCCCGGCACCTTCGCCGCCCACCTTTAGTGGGGGGCACTTTGTGCACTGCCAGTTTCGAGGCTGCACGAGGAGGAACCATGAGCTCCCGGTTCGTAGTCACGACACTGCTCGCGAGCGCTGTATCCCTGACGCTGCTGCCACCTTCGGTGGAGGCCGCGGCATGCGCGCAGATCTGCTACACAACAGTCCTGACGGGATTCGGGCCGGGCGGCACACCCGGCTGCACCTGCAGCGGATCGCAGCAGGGGGCACGCACAGGAGCAGGAGGCTGCAACTGCGGCCAATGCTATGAGAAGACAAACGGTGCTGTCTACGGCTTCGCTATCAACGCGAACGGAACTTGCACATACGGCACGGACTGCGGGAACTGTGACTACTCGAGTACTACCAGCTCCCCCACCAGTACACCGTCAACCGATGGGGGTTCTCAAGCCACGACATCGACACCGTCGCCGGTTCCATCGACCTCCACAGCTACTCCAACTGTCACAGACTCTGCGTCAGGCTCAACCTCATCGACTACAGACTTGAGCAGCTCGTCGAATTCGGCGAGTGATAGCAGTGCGAATACTTCCACCAACGGCAGCACTAGCACTCACACAGGCAGCAGTTCGAACTCAATATCAAGCTCAAGCTCACATGACAACGCCAGTGGCGGCCCAGACAGCCGAGCGGCTAGTGAAGCTGAGCAGCAAGCAGCGCGCGGCCCTCACCTGAGCATGTGGCAGATCGTGCTGGCAATTTGCTGTTCAGTGCTGTTCTTTGCAGTCGCAGTCGTGTCGGTGTGTTCGTGCTACTGCAAGGCGCGCAGCCGTCTGTACCAGCACGAGGAGGACGTGGCCACCTACTACAGCCAGAATGCGGCATTCCAGCCGTGGAGTGCTGACAGAACTCCGGCACCACATGTACATGTACTTCAAGCCACTAAATCCTCAAACATGGTCTAATTTATAAAGCTTTGCCTAAGTTTTCTGCTGGCCTGTTGGATACCATCGACAGCATGCATCGTTTTCGCTGGCAACGCCCTGGAACAACAGGTCCAGTCCTACCAACGCATAAGAACAGCGTTACCACAGCTTCCAGGGCCACTCTCAAGCTACACCCGACAAGGCAAGGCCGTTTAACGAGCTGGGCATCTGTTGAAACGCAGGTTGAAGTGTCCGTCCTGCGAGGTGTGTTTGATGGATGTACCGGTGGTAGGCTCAGCACCAAGCACTGGTGGTGGCGGTGGCGTGTGGGTGTCTACTTTTATTGCTTTACATGCGTCTATCTGGACTACTTGTTGTCGCTTTAGCTGAGTACTTTTGTTGCTAGTTACAGATGGATGGTAATTGTGGGCACGGAGCCGAATAAATACACGTTGCTCCCAACGTCCAGCGTCCTGCGGCGGCCCCCGAATGCGTGGGCAGGATCAGCCGAGAGGCTGTTGCGCTGTGGCCGGTTGAGGGCGGCCACGAACTCTGCGAGCTCACGAAGTCGACGGCCTAGCCACCTTCAGGCGGCGTTCGCGTAGCGCTTGGCATGCGTGCGCTTGGAGGCGCCGGGGCTGCGGTTCACGGCCATCACGCGCTTGTTGTAGTGGCGGCGCGAGAACAAGCGGTGGATCTTGTGGAAGAAGAGGCGGCACCCGCTGCGCTCGATGCCATCGGATTCCGGCCGCGTCGAGTACATGGAGACGGATGGCACGGACGCCGACGAGTACGACGAGGCAGTGGGCTGCGGGGTCTGCTTGGCCGGCGAAGCGGCGCGCGTCTGCGTCTGAGGCTGCGTCTGCATTTGCGTCTTGTGGGCCGCGATCCGCTGCTGCAGCGGCGTCCCGATGGCGCTGGAGCGCAGCAGGAACGGGTGGGAGACCACCTCGCCCATCGAGATGCGCTGCTCCGGGTCCACCTCGAGCATGTCGGCAATGACGTCGAGCGCGGCGGCGGGCAGCTCGTCCGTGAGCCCCCAGCGGTCCACGAGCTTGCGGATGCCCTTGTTGGAGATGAGGCGGAAGCGCGCGTCCGAGGCCGAGGCCGTCTCGACAGGCGGCGCGCCCACGAGCATGATGAAGAGCATGACGCCGAGCGACCAGACGTCGGCCTTGGTGGCGTCGTACTGCACGCCCGCGAGCACCTCGGGCGCCATGTAGAAGAGCTTGCCCACGGTCTCGCGGCTGGGCTTGGCCGTGGACGCGGCGAGCCCGAAGTCGCACACCTGGCACTGGTCGTCGTCGGTCACGAGCACGTTCTCGAGCGACAGGTCGCGGTGCGCGAAGCCGTTGGCGTGCAGGAACTGGACGCCGCCCGCGATCTGGCGCATGTAGCGCTGGATCGTGGGCAGCGGCAGCTTGCCGTCCTCGGCCGAGCTCACGAGCTCGTACAGCTCGCCGCGCGCGCAGAAGTCGGACACGAGGTACAGGTAGCCGTCGAACTCGATCTCGTCGCGCAGGCGCAGCACGTTGCGGTGGCCGCCCACGCGGTTGAGCTGGTGGTACAGCGCGCGCTCGAGCGCCACGTTCTCGCGCACCTTCTTGTTGCTGGCGAGCGTCAGCTGCGCGTTCGCCGCGCTCTGCAGCACGCGCTTGACGGCCACGAGGTCGCCCGACGGCTTGTGCTGGCACAGCAGCACGTCCCCGAAGAGCGCGGGCGCCAGCCGCCGCTGGATCACGTAGTCGTCCAGCTTGGCCGCCATCATAATACTGCAATGCGGTCTGTCGTGCACGCGGGCGGGTGTCTCTAGGCAGGCAAATTTGGTTGTGTGAGCATGAACGGGCGAGCACTTGGGTACGGCCGTTGGCGCTGGCCCGAGCGGGAAACGGCCGTCGCAGATCTGCTCGCTCAATCAGACGAAGGCGAGGCATACTCAACTCAAGTGAAACCTGGCAGAGGGAAAAAGATCTGAAAATCGAAGTTTAGCCGATCCTGAGTTTTGAGTTGAATGCCCGAGTTGAGACTTTTTCATGCAGGCAGAGCGCAATGCCCTGCACTTACGCGTAGTTTTGGACTTTATTGATGCGCGACGCTAGGCTTCGAGGCAGCGCGCTACGCGACGCCCAACGGCATCTCGATGAGCACGACGTGGCGCGAATAAGCCGGCGAACCCGCTCTTTGAAACCGTGCAAACGGGCAATGAATCAAAAATTTACACTTCCTTGCTTGAGTTTTCTCGCAAAATTCAACGCAACCGCGATATTTGGCCTTTGACCGCGAAATTCAAGCGCTGTCTGCCTTGACCAGGCAACTCAAATGAGGATTTGAACATGCAGATTCCCGGCGTTGCTGTGCCTGCGCGACTGGAGACAGTGCAAGTCTCGCTCTTGGAGTCCAAACCAGCGACATTGGCTGCGTTGTTGCGTTGCGCTCGGATTTTGCCAGAGGGTTGGTGCTATCGCGCCACTTGTTTGACACAATGTTGATGCCAAGCAGCACCACGAGGCGGCAACGTGTCAATCGAGACATGAGCTTCGCGAAGTTCGCGAGGCTTCAATCGCATGATTGCGAAGGGAAGCGCGAGCTTCAATCTCACGGCGCGGCCACGGCGACAGCGACCATTTGCAGCTCGACTTGAGACCAACTTCGCTGAATAAGATGCTGCTCATTGAGTCCAGATCTTGCTGCCCTCTAGCTACACAGCTGCACACGTAGCGCCGATAAGTATCTTCATCCTAATGTGTTTGTGGGGGTGCTTATCGCGCTACGCTTCGCGAACGTACATTTACGTACGTACGCAGGACCACCAAAATGCGCGCTGCCAGGCATCGCTGCTGTCCGAAAGACCAACGACGAGATGCTCGCCCGTGGGGTGTCCGAACATCGCTGCGCGGTACGACAGGAAGTCAGTCAGCGCAGCATTGAAACGCTAAATCATCTTGCACACGAAACCGGAATTGCCCCTTCGTGCCGCCCGTCGCGAGCGCCATTGGAACGGCCTCACTGCCGGTTCCATTACATGTACATGTACGCCTTTGCTCGACAACGAGTGGCACCGCCAACGGCGCAACGCTATTGTGTCGGTCGAGCCTCGCTCGCAACGCCGCACTAGATACTCACTGCGTCGGCCGCTGCGTCGACCACCGCCGCAAACGACACGGTTTTCAAAGGTAAGTCATATCAAACGCTCTACGACTTGCGTCTGTATGCCACAGCGAGTCTCTTTGCTGTTGCCTTGTGCGGTAGGCACTCGTGCGATCCACAGGTATCAACTGCCTGTTGAGTCTGCAGACTGCAGGAAGTTGGCAATGCCAACTTGCTGACATTTACCCTGCGACGTTGCAGCAGTAGGCCGATCAGGTGTTTTTACATTTTACACTTTACAGCGTAATTACGGGATCTTCCGAGCCAATCAGATCACTCACCAACCACTGGTGCCGAACGGACGTTGCAGTCGTTGTTGCCCCAAAGAGGCATTCCGACAATTGCGACTCGCAGACACACAGGTTGTTTACAGACAGACTGGCGACGACAGCGACGAGCTGGCTGCGTTTGCCGCGCGTGTGGGTGTTTTTATCTATTCAAGGAGGTTCCAGTGATGTCCAACTTTTGTTTTGGAATTACCGTCCGAAGAAGAATGAGGATACAAACTGGCTGTTTTTCCTGAGGAACTCTCCGTCCACTGTGTTTATGTATCTTGATAGACTCGTAGTCCCTGGGATAAGTGATGAATAGCTTTATATTCTGACACCTCTTGTATGAGTGCGGGGGATGGCGATTCACACCGCGTGTGGTCGCGTACCCTTGCGCGTTGAGCAGAATCATGCTTTACTTTCTGATCTCCCATCGCTATAGCGGGTAGTTTTTTCAGCTGCTGTGTCTTCATGACGATGCGGCGCGTATGTTCCGTGACGATACAACCAATCATCTAATAACTTTCGTTCTTCCTAGCACACCGTGCGGAAACTTTCTTAATCCGAGAACTACGCTACACACCTAAATGCATTTTGCCTCCACAACCTTTTTTACATGATGGAAACGCAACAAAAAAAGCTTCTTACTTCTTGGCTTGCTTATCGTTCATGTACTTTGCTGAGGTTGGTTCGGTACTGTATCACTTCAACTCCACTTCACGCCGCAGTTGCGATCTTTATCATTTAAATATGGGACACGTCTGCCACAATTAACGTTATTCGCACTTAGCGTGATCTTGAATATGGCACCGCATTGTAATGCCACGTTGCAGCAGACGACCCTTATCCAAAAATTGCAGCCATGGGCAACGAGAGCTCGACGCTGGCCGCAGGAGAGGAGGAGCCCGGCAGAGACGCCGCCGCCGCCGTCGAGGGAGGCGAGTGCTGCGGCTACCGCGTGCTGGGCATCCAGGAGCAGTCGCCCGCGGCGGCCGTGGGCTTCGTGAGCTTCTTCGACTTCATCCTCGAGGCCAACGGCATCCGCCTCGTACGATAGATACAGCTTCAGCCTCTGCCTTCGCGCTGCCGCCCCCCAATGCTCTCTAACCATAGGATCGTCATGGTATTAGGACACGCGCGACGCGACTCTGATGGAGCTCATCGCGCAGAGCGAAGACCGTCCCATGCAGCTCAAAGTGTTCAACGTCAAGGCCCAGAGCACGCGGGAGCTGCAGCTCACGCCCAGCCGCAAGTGGCCGGGCAAGGGCCTGCTGGGCGTCACCATCCGCTTCGACTCGTACGAGGGCGCGGAGGACCAACTGCTGCACGTGCTCGTACGTTGCCCGGCAAGGTGTTTGGCCCATTGACGCAGAGGTTGACTGATTGTCTGTCCGGTTTGCCTTCTTCGTTGTTATTTGTGTGCAGAATGTGGCAGAGGCGTCGCCGGCGGAGCGCGCGGGGCTTCGAGCGGACTCGGACTATCTGCTGGGCACGCCGGAGCGGGTGTTCACCGATGCGGAGGACCTACACGATGAGATTCTGGACGCTCTGGACGGGTCGTTCCAGTGCTACGTGTACAAGTGGGTGGATGCTATGTTTTATTGCATTGTTTTATTCTTCTTGTGGTGATGCTTACGGTGATCTGATTTCTGTCTGCAGCTCGCTGGAGGACCAAGTGCGCATCGTGTCGATTGTTCCCACTGAGCGATGGGGAGGAGATGGTGTGCTGGGGGCTGAAGTTGGACATGGATACTTGCATCGACTACCGTCCGTGTGCCGCAGTACTATCGGCTCCTCCGTGGGTTTCGTCAATCTCCCGAAGGATGCCAAGGCAGCCACGGATGCTTTCTGTAAGATGGTTTCCGGTGATGGTTATCGTTTTCTTTTGGAGATGAGAGAGACTAAAAGTTGTGGATTACTGTGATTTTTTCAGTGAAGCCGCAGCGATGCAGTGAGCAAACGGAGGTGGCGACACCAAGCAAGCCGGAGGGATCGTCATCCGACCAAGCGGCTTCAGACGCCGACGCTCTTCAAGCAGATTCAACGACAAGAGAGACTGCCCAGCAGCAGCAGGAAGATGGTATAAAGTCCGAAGCCACCGAGACCACAGAGAAGGCCACTCCTCCTGCAAAGCCCCGATACGCAGTACGCATGGACCACCAGTTCCCCATTTCGACTGTTGCTGTGCTTGCCGACCCGTGAAAAGCTGAGATATAAGGAACAGGTAAATGAATGGAAAGTCAAGCTGCGAGTATTTTGTCCTTCTTGGTGCTGCATTTACATTTGCTTGGGTCAGGCTTCCAGCTAACGTCACTGCAGGTTCAATCATGGCAAGTGAAGGAAACAAGGCAGCACGTGCAAAAGGTATGTGTACCATACAATGATTGTCCGGACATGCCAGCAACAACAATATCGAAGTTGCTCATCTCTTCTGGTGGTTGATGAAGCGCAGCGCCAGCAGAGCCAAAAGACGAATGCCCACGATGAACGCGATCACGATTCCGAAGTTGCGCCATATCTCGTCGTGCTTGTACTCGAAAACAGATTCGACGTACTCCTTGATCGTGATGTGGTCGATGGTCACGGGCGGGTTTGTCATCGGCTGGCAGCCAAGGTTCCCACCAACGTTCACGTACTGCTGCGTCTGCGTATCGAACGTCGGGAGGTTGTCGCACTTACTGAAGACGAGCGCGGCTAAGATTGCAAGACTGTATCGCTGAGGGGTAATCGTGTAGAGCCACTTGTAGCCGGATGGAATGGAGCTGGCTGGAGGGTTGAAGCCCATGAAGAGGAAGAGGATCGAGTTCAGCATCACGCCCAACAGAGCTGCAACCTCCACGCTAGGGAGAGCATACACCAGCAGCTGGCCGAGATATGTCTGCAGGAGCACCAAGAACGACGTATTGATCCAGTAAAGAACTGCAGTTCCAAAGCCCGTGAAGCCGACAATCCAGTAGAAGATAACCGTGTACAGCAGCATCGAGCCGAAGACGTACGGAATCTCCGCCACGGTCGAGCCGACGAAGTACCAGAGCGAATTGTAGATCTGGCTTGCTCGCTCCCGGTAAAAAGCCTCGCGATCTTGGGATGTAATCGGCAAAACGCTGTTGAAGGCTATCACTCCATTGAATAGCGTTGTCATGAAGACCATGCCGACGCCAGCGTTGACACCCTGGTATGAAGTGTACGAGACGCTCACGTAGATCAACCCAAACAGAAGACCGAGCAAAGCTGCGATGGCGAAACGCGTGAGGTTGTACGATGGAGTCCGCCAGTACAAGTTCATGAACCGCCCCACCAACGCCGTCATCTGCGTCCACGAACTCGCCGCACGCTTCTTGGCGAACACCAGCTCCGTCGATCCAGGCACCGGAACAGACACACCCTCCGACGCTAACTGCGCGTCCATCTCGCGCTTCAATGCACTCGAGTTGAACACCTCCACGAAGTCCACTGGGTTGTCGTGCACGTGGTTCACGCCCGCACCAATGCACTCAAGCATCCAAGTCGCAGGGTTATATCCCTCCGGAAGATGCGGCACACCTGGAATCGTCTCGAAGTAGTCCACCATCGTCTGAGCGCGCTTGCCCAAGTCGCCGAAGTACACCGTCTGGCCACCGCGCTTCAGCAGCAGGAGCTTGTCGAAGAGCATGAAGACCTCCGTGGACGGCTGGTGAATAGTGCACACAATGGTGCGACCCGTGTCCGCCACCTTGCACACGCCGTCCATGATGAGCTTGGCGGAGCGTGCATCCAGTCCGCTCGTCGGCTCATCCAGAAACAGCACTCTCGGGTCGGCGGCTAGCTCCACTCCAATGGTCAGGCGCTTCATGCGCTCCGTCGGACTGCCGCGAACGATTTCATCCGCCACGCTCTGCAGATCCAGCAGCTCGAGGCATTCCTCGACCGAGTCGTACTTCTGGCTGTCGGGAACGGAGCTGTCCTGGCGCAGGAAGGCGCTAAACACCAGCGCTTCACGGATAGTCGACGCGTCCGAGTGGATGTCCATCTGCTCGCAGTAGCCCGTGCAACGACGGATGGCCAAGTCGCTGGCCTCGTAGCCGTTGAGCATGATCTTGCCCTGGATGGTGCCTCCGGTCTTGCGTCCAGCGATCACGTCCATGAGCGTCGTTTTGCCTGCACCAGTCGATCCCATGAGAGCGGTGATGGAACCTGGCATCGCGTATCCGCTGATACCCTTCAGCAGCGTGAGGGATTCCTTGGGGTTGTGCGGGTCCGGCACGGAGTACCACAGATCCTGGAAGGCGATGACGACGGGCTCGAACTTCTTGGTGGTCTTCACGTTGAGTGCGACGGTATCATTCGTTTGTGCTCCCGTGGCTGGTGTTTTCCTTCCGCTGGTGGGCGTCGTGGCTAACGCGTACGCATCCGTTGCAATTGGCTCCTCATTGTCCGCTGTGAGTGTAATGTGCTCAGGGCTCTCGTATCGCTTGTACTCGAGGACAAGGACACCGAAAAAGAGGAACACGACGTAGGTCGCGAGCAGGAACACGACCGCAAGCCACACCCAACTCTTGTCGGAGGGAACGTCGTACAAGGACAAGAAGTACTCGCCCATCTTCATCTGGTACTTCGTGCAGTAGTCAACACCCTCGTAGACGCACACGTCGAACTCACTCGAGCGGTACTGGTTCACAGCAATTCCACGAAGGCACCAAGCGATCGGATCCAACCAATAAATCCACACGAAATAGTCGGGCACCCCACTCTTCGGCACAACGAAACCAGCGAAGACGACGACGAACAGGACGGAGACCATCGACAGGGGCTTGGCAATGTGGAGGTTGGGTGAAATGGCTGCGAGGAAGAAGAACCACGCCGCGAATGCCAGGATCGTAAGAAACAAGAGGATCTCGAATATCACGAACGCTTTCACGGACGACCTCAGGCCGCACATCCAGTAGACAAGGGAGCCGAACACGATAGTTTCCGCAAGTGCCCAAGGAATCTGGCTGGCCGAGTTGGCAAGGACGTAGGCTGGCGTGCGGAGGAAGTTGGAGCCGCGCTGCTTGTAGAAAATGGGTCTGGCATCGCAGTACGTTGGAATTTGAGCGGCTTGGCCAAGTCCGAGGAACAGCACGGACTGGAACAGGACGCCCATGACAACTTGAGCGCTTGTTGCGTCCAGTTGATAGAACGTGCTGCCGTACAGAAGTCCGATCAGGATCACCATGAAGCCTCGGCCTCGGATGAACGCGACATTGCGCAGCATGATCATCATCTGTCGCTTGAAGACCGTGAGCGTGTTCTCCTGGAAGGACTGGTGGAACTCGGGCATCGGGACCATGTGGATTTTAACGTTGTCCACAAGGTCCGGTCTCAGCGGCTCATCGAGGCGAGCAAGGGTATCACGGAAGATCCTTGATTCCTGGAAAATCTCTCCAAATTCCGATGGCCAGCGAGGGTGCTTCGTCAGTCCGATCGGCAACGCATCTTGGTACTTCACCTGCTGGTTGGTTCCGAGATCCAGCAAGAAGTCGGCCACGTCACGATGCGGAGGGCAGCGGAAGCCCAAGCTCTCGAAGTATGAGAGAGCCTGGTCGCGTGGACCATGGTACATCACCTCACCAGCATTCAGAATGAGCACGTTGTCGAACAGCGCGAAGATCTCCGGCGACGGCTGCAGCAGCGAGATGATCACCGTCTTCCCGAGCGTCTTGGCGATACTGCGCTGCGTGGAGATGATGTCGAAGGCCGTGGCGCTGTCCAGTCCCGTGCTGATCTCGTCCACGAGCGTCATGTACTTCATGCCGAACTCCATCTCGCCCGTCGTCACCCGCTTGCGTTCTCCGCCAGACACGCCACGCAGCATTCCATTGCCAAGGATGGTGTCCTGGCAGTTCTGCAGTCCGAGCTGCTCGATGACGATGTCGGGGTAGTGCTGGAACAGCGTCTGCACCGTCTTGAGAGCCTCCAGGTTCTCTTCAGCAGACCCGTGCGTCAGCAGCTCCTCGCCTCGACGCAGCAGCTCGCCGCCAGTGAAGGCGTGGGCGAACTCGAGCGTCTCCTTGACTGTGAGCGTGGGGAAGTGCACGTCGTGCTGGTCCACGTACGAGACAAACTGCGGCAAGCGGCCGCCGAGCTCCTTCTGCGGCACGCCGTTGTACGTGACGTCTCCGTCCAGCGTGACCCTCTTCTCCAGTGGGAAGCGGCCGCTCAGCACCTTCATGAGCGAAGACTTGCCGGAGCTGGGCTGCCCCAGCACGAGCGTGATGGTGCCCGGCTCGAAGACGCCGCTGAAGTTGCGCAGGATGGTCTTGTGCACCACGTGCTTCTTGGCCGAGAGCTTGAGCGCCGCCGTCTTGAGCGTGTGCGTGAGCGTGGGCAGCTCGCTTCCATCCTCGTGGCGGCCCACGACCACGTCGGCCGAGACGCTGAGGTTCTTGACGCGCACCTCCATCTGAGGCAGCGGGCGGCCCAGAGCGGCCTGCAGCTTGGCCGCGAGGTCGTCATTGAAGGCTTGGGATCCGTTGGCCAGCAGTGTCTTGGCCGACGTGTCGTCGTGCTTGAAGGGCTCCATTGCGCTGCGTCGGCGAAAGGCTTCTCTGGAGGAGGAAGACTTGCGCAGGACAGAGCAAATCGAAGACTGGCCATCGGGTCGGCGAAGCGCACAGAAGCGCGTGGCCCCGACTCAATAGAGAGGTGTCACGTTGAAGCTTAGCTCCAGGCAGTCGACTGACCATCATTCTACAGCTCGGAATTCATAATGATCTGTATATAACGATGAAAGTCTCGTTATAGTTGTTGTGATGACGGGGTATAGTGCTGCTTCTGAATGAATGTGGTCCACATAACTCGCTTATATAATTACCTCGAAAAAATAAAGTGCGACGCATATAAATGATAGAGGGTTTGCAAGAAGTAATCGCGTGCGAGCACCGAAAAAGTTGACTCCGGAAGGGAGATGGGCGAAGACATGGGGCGAGTCAACAGGCGAGGATGATGCGAGGCGCCAAACGGACTTCAAACGCGTTGTCTAATGATCGCTGCAGATGCCCCGCAACGCCGCCGCGCGACTGGGCTACTTGGGCAAGCGCTGGAGAGCTGGGCAGCCTGATCCTGCGCGCAACGAGATGTCGGACCGCAAGCCTCAAGTGCTGCTACAGTGCCAGAGACTGAGGTTTTGGGCAGTCCACCAGCCAAGCCAGACTTACGACCACGAGTGTGTAGCACGATCCGCGTCGGACAACGGCTGGCAACCGGTGACACAGCAACACTCCTCTGTAGAGCGCCAATACTTAACTTCAAGACGGTAAGGAGTTAGCGTAACTGTGCCCACCTCGCCCTCTCACTTGCCGTATGCCTCGACGCAGGATGCGCGACGACGAGAACGACCAGAATCTGTAGACAAAGCAACACTGAAAATATGGAGCTGAAGCTGCTGAAATGCATACATATGTACGTCTCGTCACCATAAAAAACGTCGTATATTAGCAAGGAACCGGCAGCAGGACCGTCCTCCAAAGTGTCCATCCACTCTCTGTTATCACCTACTACGTAGTAGTATAACAGCCCTCTCTCGCCCCAACAAGAGTCCACAAGGCTGCCTATCATGTGCGCCGCGGGGCCGGAGCCCCAGCCCCAGCTCCTGCGGCTCCTGGCTGCTGCGTCGACAGGAAGTAGGCGAAGGCCAGGAACACCAGCGCCCGCCAGCCGAAGAAGGCCGTGAGCAGCGCCGCCACCACCAGGTGGATCTTCTGCACCGGCCTGGCGGGCAGCCCCAGCACGGCCGGGATGGTCACGGTGCCCTCCAGCCCCACCTGTCTCGCTAGTCCCTGCAGCGGCGAGGCGCCGGCGCCCGGCGGGGCTGCCCCCGCCGCGGTGGGCGCGGCAGCAGCGCCGCCGTGCACCGACCCGAAGCGTCTCTGCGGCTGACTCTGCTGCGGCTGCTGGCGCGCGCGCACCCGCGGGTCGTCGTCCTGCACGATCTCTCCGTTGATAATGTGCACCATCTGGGTAGCCTAATAAGCTCGGCGCGAAGCTTGGAGTCGAGTTGAGGTCTTGACTGACGTTGATTAGTCTCAGCCCACGTGGCAAAAAAGAATGCAATGGAGACTTGTCTATCTCCTAAGCCCTAGGGCTTATTTGTATGAGCGACTTAGGAGAAGTTGATAGCGTGGGATTGGTGGAAAAGATTGCGGCATTTAACGAGTTGTGATTGGTGGAAACAAAATGCAAGTTGAAGTGTTACAGGTTGACGGTGCGGTGCGTCACATGCTCGCTGGCATACTGAAGACTCCGCTGGCGCCGCTTGGCTGCGGAGTCCGTGGTTGCTGCGCTGGCACCACGCACTCGGAACGCGGGCAGAGCGTTCGCTTGTCCGCGGTGGTCGAACGAGACCAACTTCTCCTGCATCAGCACGTGGACGCCGTCCTTGGCCAAGATGCTGCGGCGACTGGCTGCAGCTGCAGGGCTCCGAGGCGTGCTGCAGCGTGGGGACGACGATATCGATGAGCACGGGGAGCTGCTGGATCTGGACTTTGCAGATGAGTGCAGAGGTTGATGCCCTGCTGGAGCAGTGGTCCGACGAGGAAGCTGTGGTGCCGAATCAGGGCTGGCTTGGGCCTCCATGTCGTGACGCGCGACCAGCAGCACGGCAGCGAGGTTGGAGCTTGTTAACAGAGCGATAGAGCTCGCATCAACTGGCGGTTCTTCGCGCTCATTAACTTGCTGCATCGCCCGCGTGATGGCGTCTTGAACCGCGCGTACTCCTAGACGCCTTAGCAGCAACCGGAGCATGTCGATAGACACCAGAGCTCGAACGTGGGGCATCGTTGGTGTCGAGGATTGGGTTTGAGTAAGTGCTGCATGGACGCGCTTCAACTTGCGTAAGGTGAGATCTCCGGCGGTGAGGGTCAAGAACTCGATTTTCCCCCGGGAAAGGTGCTCGAGCATTTCTTCAAATTCAGAATCGTCAGTGTCCACTTCCTCTGGCTCCTGCTCCTGCTTCACGGAGACCGGGTCAAAGCTTGAGCTTGAGGCGTCGTCACTTGAAGAGGTAGGTATCGTGATGGAAGCTGGTCCCGGGGCTTCTTCGTCGTCTTCATCTTCGTCTTCGTCTTCGTCTTCCTCGCCCTCAGCACCCTCATTCAGGGTTGGTAGGCTCTTTCCTGGCGATTTTGGACTAGGCGGACAACGGCTCGGGATCTGCACGGTGAGCGGTTCACGAGTTTGCTCTAACGGCGCGTCACTCACACTGACATTGCCCAGTGAAGACGTTGCCATTTTCCTTGATGCTGCCATAATGGCGGTAAAGCTGCTGAGTCCTCCCGTCCCAGCCCTCGGTCTGTTTTCGCTTAGCTGTGGTTCTGTCGTACCATCCTCAGCTAGTGAAGGTGCTGTTACCTCAAGTGAGGAAGATGGCGAAGACGTAGGTGACGAGTGAAGGTCCGCACGAGCCAGCAAGTGAAGCTCAGCTAGCTGCTCCTGTGCTGATCGCAAACGGTCCTCCACGTTGTTGCTGGCCTGCAAGATATCTTCATCACTGTCCCTTCGTGAGTCCTCGGGAGGTTCGCCTGAGCTTTCCATGTTGCAGCGGACAGCCTCGATTCGGTGTGCGTGACAAGTACTCCAAGTTGCTGCGCGCTCCGGGTTCAGACAAACCCTTCGAGTGCGCCGTCGTTCAGTAAAACGTTCGTTAGAGGGATGCCCATAATTGGATTAGCCGGCCACCTTGAGACGACGGATGAACTCCGGGACACTCTCCAACTTCTGCTTCACCGCTGAAGGCAGAAACGCCGACATGCTGCCAGCAGTGAGAAGATCGAACACGTCTCCAGTAGGATTGTCATCATTATTTGCCCACGGTGGCCGAAATCGTAGTTGCAGTCCACTCGCCGCCAGTGTAAGCTGGGACCCATCCAAGTACACAACGAGCAAGTCTCCAGTGGCGTCAATACATCCACGCCCGACACCTGCAACCTCGACGCCGTTTTGATTTTCCACTGGGTGTTCGGTCAAGATGATCCCCTCGTTTGCAGCTGCTATGTCGCTAGCACGTCCAGTTGATAGAGATGTTGTTTGAGGGAAGCTGGTAAGCAGACTGGATCGATATCGGAATGATGCCAGCAATGATTCTGAGAGAGTGTCGTAGTGAATGAACGGGAGCTTGCTGGCCTGACCTCGTAGTGCGATTTGCCGCAGTTGCATGGTACGCAGTGCAAGGCACTGGCAAAACCGAACCAACGGTGGCAAATGTGCGCGCTGGGTAAAGCGGGCTGTCGAAGTTCGAGACGAGTTAGAGACCGAGTTAGCTCCGGATCGACTCCCACTTACCCCCGGGATTTCGTGTCGCAGTGGCTCTCTCTCAGGCGTCATGGCTGTAAGTACCCCACTAGCTGGATCATAGCTCGCTTCCCATCCGTTGGATACCTTGAGTTCAAAAGTCGGCGGTCTACCGATTTCTGCCGGTTCCTTACAGCTCCACTGCAACGCCGTCTTTGAGTCATTCAAGTTGCCTTCATTACCGTCTGAAAGCCCGAAGCACGAGACGTCCTCTAACTCCAGGTGCATGACAACCGATATTGAGTTCGCTCGGACAGCAACAAGTGATTCTGCTTCTGCTTGATCGTCTTCACCGATGTCGTCATGTTCCCCACTCCGGTCAGCCCGATCATTAAATGTCGTGGACATCGATAGTTCGGAGAGATCGCTGTAATCGTTGAGGGTCATACTTGCATCATCGGGGCTTGAGCTGCTCTCACTGCTGCTATTCACATGAGCTGATTGCATTGATTGCCTCCGAGAGGAACCCATCCTAGTCGCTGGTACCTCGTGCAAACCACGTTGTTTGGCGCTGGTGCGACTATCTCCAAGCGTACGCCGCCTGCGTGGTAGCTCTACTGCTAGGACGGACGAACTGGAAGACGACACGAAAAGGTCCTCCTCTTTCATCGACTGAATCACTGCAGCTCTGCGGCTTTCACGGTTTTTTTCAGGAGATCGAGATAGTGTGCGAGGGTGTGGAGGCAACGCTTGCTGCGCGCGTGAGAGAGACTTACGCTTTCCATTAGGTGGAGGGGGGGCGCGCTTCTGGGGTTGCTCGCGTAGCCACGGATGTAGCAGAATTTGATGGGCAGTCGGCCGATTACGAGGGTTCTGAAATCCGCACCATATAAGTGAGTTAGTGCCATTTAACCACAGACCGCTCCTGATTCTACGAGAGCTTACCGGAGTAAGCAACCGCTTGATCAAGTCACTAGCTGACGCAGAAAACCCTTCCGGAAACTTCAAAGGGGTCTGGCCTGCGTTCGCTACGTTCTCCAGTGTCTCACTAAATTAAATGCACATCAATGTTAGACCCCCATCGCAAAAATATCCAATAACGTTGTTATTCACCCACCTGACTTTGCGTCCTTCAAATGGCGCCTTCCCCAGCAACAAGCAGTACAAAATGCACCCCAGTGACCAAACATCAACCGCCTCATCATACGGCTCGTCCTCCGCCGCCAACAACACCTCCGGCGCGATGAAGTTCGGCGTGCCACACATCGTCACATGATCGTCCCTAAGGAACAATACGAGCAAGAAAAATCAGTACAAACCCACCTTCCCACCATAATGCTCCTAGACTCTCACCCGAGTCTTGCTGCCAGGCCAAAGTCCGAGATCTTGACTTCCCCGTTCGCGTTCATGAGCAGGTTGGCGAGCTTGAGGTCCCTATGGATCACGCCAGTAGCGTGCAAGTACACAACTCCAGCCACCACTTGCCGAAATATCTTCTTAGCCGTCTGCTCGTCCATCTTTCGACCCGGAAGCGTCTTGACGATGGCCGACAGCGACCGCCGTGCGCAGTATTCCAGCACCATGTAGAAGTTGCGGGCGTCGTCGAAGACGCTCTGGACGTGCAGCACGTGCGGGTGCCGCAGCTCGGCGTGGAGCACCATCTCCTGTCGGACTTTGCTCTCTAACTGTGCGCGCTGCACCAGCAGCTTGTCGATCACTTTAATGGCCACATGAGCGCCCGACGCCTCGTGCTCGGCCAGATACACCTGCGCAGTGGCGCCCTCGCCCAAGAACTCGAGCAGCGTGTACTCCTGCGGCCCATTCAACGAATAGTTAGAGAGCCCATTAGAGGTGTAGACGTACACATGGGAACGAGGATATCAACGCACGGAGATCGAGTGCGGCGGCGCGGTCGAAGCGCACGAGGTGTCCGACACCTGCTCCATTTGCTGATCGTAGTTTTAGCCACTGTGGGAACCAATCAGATCACGACTTTACAATTTACAGCTCCTTCCTTTAACTTGAAATTTACGTTAGGTATACTGAAATAACATGTTAATTAACATGTTATTTTATTTTCGCCGCCTGTAAATGTAAAACTTCAAAATAAGTGTTAGAAGCGCTTGGCGTGGCTGAATGAGGAGCGAGGACCAGTGAGGTATCCCGTGGGGCGCAAGTCATATATGGGGCCGGGTGTTTGCTGCGAGCCAAGAGGCTTGAGCCGCACTTCGGTGCCGAAAGTCGGAGAAACCAGCGTCCGGCATTCGCGGAAGGAGCCCTTGAGCATCAAATTGGGTACGGGGCCGATGCTCTTGCCGTTGAGAGGCGGACGTAGCGACGTGCCTTGCTTGGGTGCCGTAGAGCCTCGCCCCATGACCGGCGGCAGGTCGTAGATCGGACCGGGAGACGGCGTCGTGTTCTCTTGTACTGGAGTCCGCGGGGCATTCTCGAACGCGGTGGAGCCTGCAGATCGGCGCTCGGAGCTCGCCTGCGTGCCACAGGACATGGCTGGCTCGTATGAGCCCGGGCCAGCTCCGGGGTCAGCACGCTTTCGGGCCATATCCCAGTCGTCTCGCGTACTGTTGCCGAAGCTTTTCTTCGGACCCGCGCCGATACTTGTGGGGATGTTGTAGAGCGCGTCGGTAGCCCCTGCACCTCCCTGCCATCGAAAGCGCTGCTCCGTGGGGGTGAACGTCGCGATTGTGTGGTGGATGCCATACTTGGATGGTGAGTCGAACAGCGGCGGATGTGTGCTGCCACCACCGCTCGTCCCACTGGCAGTTCTGCCCTTCGTTCCGACGGAATCGACGTCTAGGTCCATATCGAGAGACTTCGAAGACAGTGACAGTATAGAGTTGATGAGAGCGGTTGAGCACGTTTCCTGATGTGCACATGGCGGGGGATCGGCCGCCGTTCAGGACGAAAGCACAACATCGGGCTGTTGTTCTTGTTCAAGCCACCTGCCAGTTGTCATGGTGTGAGGAATCACTTCCTCTGTGCCCTCGGTCCTTGGCTCACAAGCCATCAAGGAGTTGGCCACTATTTATAGGTCTTGATGGCAGGTAATTGAAGTGAGGACGTGTACCAGCACCATAATCTGAGTCGGAGTCGACAAATTGCAGTAGATTCCCTCGAGTACTCGCTTTTTAAGGTGATGTTATGAGGAAAGGAATAAGCAAAGTAGATTCGAATATTTACTACGAATTTGGTGAAGGGCCAGGTTTGTGTCCTCTACCTGCCACCCCAGCATCGACACGCCGCCACCTTCGCCACATCGCGTCGATTGGAGTAGCTGTCGCCGGCGAGCGGAGACAGTCGTCGAACTTCTGCGAATTAAGTTGTAGGGGTTCAAGGGCTGCGGATACTGGCCTAATGCTCGCCGGTGCTGCGCACTGCTGGTACCCTCCTTCTTTATTCGGACTGAACCAATCGACTATTGAAGCCTGCGACTGCTGCGATTGAAAAACCATCGCTGTATGCGTGACTTGGCCCACAAGCGACCTCAAGTGCATTTCCTTCCAGACACTAAACGTACGGCGCTGGAATTCTCTGATTCGCCTCGCTGCAAATACCTGTAAAATAGCGCGTTGTTGGAGCTTCTGACGTGCAAGCTGGCCCCGATGACTTTCCTCTAGTATCTGAACGCGATGCTCCATTTCTTGTCGTAACATGTCGAGTCGTTCTTCTTGGTTCCGAATACGCTCCTTTTGACTCGTAAGCTGTGCTTCAAGTTCCCGACGCTGCCCATCAACGCTCGTCTGCAGCTTTTCGAGTTGAGTCAATAGTTTCGGTAGTTCCTCTCGACATATCTCGTCGCGCAGTGACTCCATCCGTGCTCGCTCGCTGGCGCAAGCAAGCCGGAAGCCACGCACGTCCTCTTTTGCTTGTGAGCAGCTCTTCAATATCTGCTTTTTAACGAGCTCGAGTTGGGCTCGTTTGCGTTCAGTGCAACGCGTCAAGTTGGCAGCAGAGTCCTGCTTGGATTGAACCGATAGTGCTTTCCAAGCGAGAAATGCTCCATGAGTGAGACGACGTTCATTCCAGCTGTTATGCCGTTTTCGTCTCCACTGGAGTGCCCGATTCCGCGTCACGAGTGCACGAGTGAGGCTACGATCCAGTTCGTCAAGTGTTCCTTGCATCACAGTTTGCCCCTGTCGCGTACTCGATAAATCTTCAAGCTGCCCCGATCATTGGAACTACGTGAGTTTGGCAGCACCCAATGCTATTCATTCGAATCGTCAACGTACCAAAAGCTGCGAGCGCACTACCGAAGCGTCGATTTCATGCTGCTTGCTTGACACCAATGCGGAAAGCTTTGCAATCTCTTCAGCCTATACGTCCAAAAGCTTAATAAATTTGGCATGGTTTCTCTAAGGCAGCACTGCAAAGCTTATCATACCTGAGTACTTATTTGCAAGCATTGCTCTTCAATTTTTTCCTGGAGAAGTTTGTTGTCGTTCCTTGAGCACCCCAAAAGCGTTTGAGACTCTGATAACTAAGGTTTTTATGTGTACGACCGATTAGTAGAATAGCTTGAAGGTCGAAACCAGCGCTGAACTAACCTCGAAGTTGAGCTGCCGCTTTTCTTCTAGTAGCTCGTCACCCTTCTGTCGAGCAGCTTGCAGCCGACGTTCATTTTCTTCGGCCATGGCCTTGAACTCGTCTACGCGCTTGAAATTGAATGGACAACGGCTTACTATTCAGGCAAAAACTTGCCTATATGGTTCTCGAGAGGAACTCACCCTAGAGTGATCGATACGCTGAGTGTCTAGCTGCCCCTGCAACTGGCGTGCTCTCGCATTTGCCGCACAGAGCTCTGCCTCGACGCGACAGTTGTCAGTCCGAAGCTTGGCGACTGCGAGACGGAGCTCTCCCTCACTGATGCGACGAATCTCGAGCTCGCTCTCCAGCGTCTGCACCAACTCGCCGTGCGCCTTCATCTCTCGACTGCGGGCATTCTCCACCTGTATGACCCACACAACTCCAGTAATTAACGCGATTGTTTACCGGTATGTCCGATAGAGGTGTCGTGCCGTACCTGATGAAGACGTGCCTGCAGGGAGCAGCTACACCCTTGAGCAATTGACATTGTCCATGCAGCAGCAAGCGCGGGTATGAATAACACTACAGTTCGTCTCGATTGTAGACGAATCGCTATTTTCGTTCGAGTTTGCTGAAGTGGTGCTTGCCACGCATGCTGCATGACTCATGGCACTCCTCACTGTTGGCAAAGGAGGATGACCAGCAAGTTGATAACACTCAACTTGATGGGCGAGTCATCCGTATCATCGACCAGCTTCATCATTTCCGCTCTGGCAGACGAATCCCGCCAGACGCGCGTGTCAATAACTCCAACATGGAGGCACACAGCCTCACGGCAACCGGAAACTTTCGTGCGCAACAGCCATTCTTGCCACGCTCGACTAACCCCGGGCCGCTCGACGTGCAACGAGCAACGTCGGACTATGATCCAGCACCACGGTGTCAACTCTTGAGCCCAATTTTCAGCCAATCGTGGCACTGTTAAAACCCCTCCTTCCACCAATCACATCCGTTTCTTTGATTCGCAGCTGCAAGCAACAAACACGGCGCAATCTCTCAGTATCCGTCTGGTCCGACTCATTTCCGCATTCCGCACTCCGCACTCCGCTCCGCACTCCGCACTCCGGCGCAGCCAGCCAGCATGGCGGTGTTCCACCTGTACTCGGCGCTGAACCTGCTGTGGATCCTCTGCAACAGCGCGTGCATCAACTTCCTGCAGTTCTGCCTCTGGTGCCTCGTGCGGCCGTTCGACAAGCCGCTCTACCGGCGGCTCATGGGGTGCGTATCAATCTTTTTTCCTCGGTGCATACAAACTTCAACATTAAACATTCACTCTCTCTCTCTCGATCAGCTCCGTGGCGCAGGCGCTCTGGGTGGACGTGACGTCCACGAGCTTCCCGCAGACCAAGCTCTCGGTCTCGGGCGAGCTGCCGCAGGACCCGACGCGGCCCGTGATCCTCATCGCCAACCACCAGGTGGACGCCGACTGGTGGTACATTTGGCAGGCGGCGCGCCACCAGAGCGCGGCCGGCAACATCAAGATCGTGCTCAAGGACCAGCTCAAGTACCTGCCCATCATCGGCTGGGGCATGCGCCTCTTCCAGTTCCTCTTCCTGCGGCGCCGCATCGACGAGGACGCGGCACACATCAAGAAGTACATGGGCGGGCTCATCGCCGACGGCTTCCCCTTCTGGCTCGTGCTCTTCCCCGAGGGCACCACCATCCACAGCGAGTATGTCGTCAAGTCCCAGGCCTTTGCGGCCCGGGAAGGCCGCCCCAAGTTCGAGCGCGTGCTGCTGCCCCGCACCACGGGCATGCAGATCATCCTGGACGCGGTGGCAGACGCCAAGCCCGACATCTACGACCTGACGCTGGCCTTCCCGTCCTACTCGGGTGAAGTGCCGACGTTCGACATGGGGTACGGCAGGAAGGTGGACACGGAGGTGCCGTCCATGAAGTCACTGCTGGCGGGAAAGGCGCCCGCTGGACGTGTGGCGATGCACTCACGAAAGTTCAGCTACGAAGACGCAGCTACCGACCTGCAGGGCTTCTTGGACGCGCGTTGGAAGGAGAAGGAGGAGCGACTCAACTACTTTATTGAGCACCAGAAATTCCCCGGGGACGACACGACCGTGGAGATGGAGCTATCGGTATGGCGACTGGTGACTTGGTATGGTGTTGGCTGTTTGGGTACTGACATGTTTGGATCTTGTGTCGTTTGTGCGTGTATTTTTTTTCTGATGCAGACGTCGGTGGGAGCTGTCTTCCGGCTGTGGCTGGGTATCACCCTGTCGTGCATTCTGCTGCCCGTGGTCATGATGCTCTTCTTCCCATGTCCGTGGCATTATGCTTTTTGGATTGGTTTGAATGTGCTCTACGTTCTGACTGCTTTGTGTCTGGTGCCTATATTTTATTGGCATTCAGTGTATTTCCTCTGGGTGACTTACTGCTTCGTGTACTCAGTGTACGACCGCACCACGAACTTTTGGTGGCCGTACATTTTCAACCTTTTCCTGGAGCGCGCCGCCAAGACCCACGACCGCTTTAAGCGTCAGCAGGCCAAGTCCCTGTAAGGAGGGCAAGAGAACCTGCCCACCGTTTGGTCCTGTGGGTGTGTATTTGGTGCCGGTGCGTGTTACGATTGAATTTAGACTCGGCGAGTGATATTGAAAATTCAAAGCGTGGTAATCGCAGCCACACCAAATTAATTAAGTAATTTGGATAGCAGAGCGCGGTGTGGTTCCTGCAATGTGTCTGTGTGAAGATAACTTGTTTCTCATGGTAGTAGGTCTGGTTTCTGTGTGGATAGTCGATCGCCGACGCGTGAAGTTCACTCGTCGTCGTCATCGGACACTGCCCAGCGCTGGAAGGTGAGCACGAACTCTTGGAATGTGATCGTGCCGTCTTGGTCGAAGTCCAGCTCTTTTATCCGCTCGTCTTGTATGGCCTTGGATGATAGGCCACTGGACACACGCTCCAGACGCCTGGGAGAATTCGCGCCGGTCGTGTTTTGGCGCATTTGCTCCAACACTTCGCTCGTTTGAATGGTGCCGCTGGCGTCGTTGTCGAAGAGCAGGTAGGCCGTCACCATGAGATCCAACGCCTTGGCGATGAGCTTGGATGCGTTTCCTTGGTCTGCAGGTTGTTCCTCAGGAGGGGTTATGAGCGTCACATCCTCCGGGGCGTGCACAAGCGAGTTCTTGATGGAGTCAAAATTGGTGATAAGCCCCAGCAAGTGGGCGATGGCTAACGACACGACAAACTCGTTCTGGCTCAGCGAGTTGTCCCGCACCATGTCCGACTCGTAGAAGAGCTCCGACATGTCGGACTCTTTGATCTGCGCACCCATGGCGGACAAGGCGCTTTTGAGCCCCTCGAAGTCCAGGCCATCTTTCTCGGCCTGTTCAGGTTTCAAGTACGTCACCAAGTCAAGATCAAGCACCACCAGTACACGTACCGACTCAATAGGGGGCACTCACATCAGCAAATTGCTTGTAGATGCTGCGGATGGTGGTGAAGGCATCCCTCACGAGAGCAAACTGGAGAACAATACGTTCGAAGTGGGTAGCTCGGCCCTTCTTCGGATCTGCACGGCGAGTCAGATTGAGCTGACGCAGAGTGGCGACAATGCGTGCATCAATCGAAGTTGGCTGCTTGGTGAACTCGCGACGGCCTTCACTTGCAGGGGCAGCGGGTGGTTTGTGGTCGGTGGGTTCGTCGGTAGCCTTCCGGGCTGAGTGGATGGCGCTCGGCCCAGAGCTCCTCATCGAGTTTTTGGACACGCCGCCACCCATGGTTCTGTGATCGACTTGCACCAACTTGAGCTCAAAGTGAGAAGCAAGTAAGTAAGGTGGCTGAGCAGGTCACGCTTCGTCCTCAGTTCATCCAGCGCAGGTTCCGCAATAAGCGCAAGCCTGGAACGTCCTCAGCGAGCTACCCGAGAACCCATTTTTAGCATCCTCGAATATGGAGATCAGCAGACAAGTTGGCCTTCACTCTTGAGGAGCGGAAATAGCTTGTCGTGCATCATTTTGCGAAGAGGACAAACCGATCGACATTGCCTGGCATTCGTCCGACCCGTGTACAAGCCTGAATGACACGAAAACCAAAGCTCCAGTCTAGTTGGACTTAGAGTAAACCTCAACTTGGACAATTCCGGCAAAACATCAGACTTGATTGATTGGAAGTGACTTGCCTCGATAACCATCGTTGGAGACTTCCTCACTTGGCACTTTGACGAGGCAAAGATGCAACAGGCGGAGGAGAAGGTGCAGCTGGGATGCGGAGTGCTCGGCGATGGCACTATATTTTCCGTGGGAATCCCACGCAGCGCAAGTGTGGCAGATGTTCAGGAGGCGATATTCCACGAGAAAAGATATGGCGGTCGGTACTCTTTTTCTGCCAGCGACCTAACGCTCCGCTTGGCGCGAAAGGAGGACGAAGAATGGCTACAGGGCAATCAAGACGCGATTCATCTATTGCAGTCCCGTCACATTGATGAAGAGTACAAGCAAATGGTGCCGCTATTCCCGCTCTTCAAGAATGAATCGGGCCAAGGATACCTGGAAGCGGCGTTCAAGCCTGGAGTGGAGGAAATCCACGTCTTGGTGGAGCTTCCTTTAGATTGGGCCCCTTTGGTGCGCTCGATAGAGAGAAAGAGCGTGCTACATGAGGTTGAGGGCGATCGGCGCGAGCTGGAGTACTACCAACAACAAGGCGCAATGATCCGAACCAACTGCAACGAATACTGTTCGGAAATCCTGCGCAAAATTGACGAGATCTACACCAGCCGCGATTTTCCGCCTCCATTCATCTGTGTCATGGCGTCGTCAGGCATGGGAAAGACGCAACTTGCGTTTGCTAGAAGGCCGACGACCGTGGTTCTACTGGGTTGCCACCCCGGTACGAACTGATTCACAGGCCATCTACAAGAGTTTCTCGTCGATATCTCGAGAATTCAGCGCCTGCGTGGCAATGGACGGCCTGATGCAACGAGAGGAGGCGGACGTTCTGAACAGCTTCTCTGTATTGTATGATGGTGTCAAGCTGTGGACGTACGGGTTTATTCGCGCGTTGCTCGAGTACTGCAGCTCGGAAGAGCAACAGTGCTCTCGAATGATTCGTTTTGATGAAAGCGTCACGCTCAATGTGAGGAAGTGCTGCCATTCTGATGTCTACGATGTTATTGGCGATTTGAAAGCCCAGAAGGTGCTACCGTTCTTCATTTTGGATGAAATGACGACCAGAGAGAACATCACGCGTGGAGGAGAGATGAGAGCGGCTTTCCAACGCAATATCTTTCGTGCTTGCGGCCAAGCAGTGGTAATCATGGGCACCGACTCGAAGATCGCACAGTTGATGGCACCTCCATCGGGGCACAGCTCAACCGGAAAGCCGAAACGGCAGACGATTGTTCCTCGTTTTCCTCCCTACCACATCAAGCTCCGCTCAGACAGCGAACGCCAAGCTTGGGAGGTTGCTGTGGAGCAATACCCTGTTATTGAAAGTATAGCACGGCGATCGTGTGGGAGGTTCGCCAGATGTTTTCTGGAGGGGGTAGTGAAGTACGTGATGAACTGTGACAATTCTAGTGTCGTGCTGTTCGACCTGCTAGATGAAGCATTTGGTGCTGTTTACTTTATGGCCACGCCCTACATGAGCACAACCGAGGGGAGAATCGCGCAGTTGATGGCGATATCCGGCACCAATGATTCGAGAAAATCCATGGACAAGTGCTGCGGCCTGCCATTCCATAAACGGCAAAAGATTGCAGTGGAAGAGGAAACGTCAAGTATGGACGTGCATTTCGCCAATCTGGCAGACGATCACCTCGCTGATCTTTGTCAGGCTTATCAGGCGATCGCCTGTGTTTTGCTGACCATGCTGGTGTCTGGAAATCAAAGTGTCGTTTTCCAGTATCGATGAAGATCTGTTGCTCTATCTCGCGATACTTGGTGGGAAGGTGTATTCGGGCTATTACGACTGTGAACACGGGGTCGCTTATTCAACCAAGAGCATATTCTTGGAGTACCTGGACAGAAAGGGGTTTCCTGTCGATGAAAGCTTGGAAGCTGCGTCTGGCGATGGTAAGAGGTTCGAGAACATGATCACCAACGCGATCGTCGGTGCCTCTCGCAGAAATGGCGTACGGGGAATTCCGTTCGATGATTTCATCGGTTGGCTGCTCGGTGAATTTCAAGACAGGTCTACGAAGATGGCGATGACGATTCGTGGTGATTCGGATGGCGACTTAGATGAAACGATTGAGGCGAGCGATTTATTCGACGAATGCCCAGGCTTGGACAGAATGGCACATGTGAAGATTCCTTTTCTGGCTCCACCGAATGCTGTGTGGCCCCAATGCATTTTGGCGGCGAATGACCAAGGCTGCAACTTTAGACATCTTGTTCGTACTCCCAACGCAGAGATTTATATCCAAGACCCGGACAGTGAATCTGACGCTACAACAGCGCTTTTGCTTTGCGAGTGTAAACATTGGGGGAGAAACCTGGACATGGATGCCATGCATGATATCATTGGTGGGTTAGGTGACGTATGGATCAATGCGTCGGTCGTGCTGTTTTTTTGCGAGAGGCTAGTGATGCTCGGTGAAGAATGGGGGCATAGCAATGTTGTCTGCGTCAGGATTGATTGCCAGAGTGGCCATGCCGAATGGGTTTTCCAGCCAGTCGAAGGTAGCCGAGAAAAAATGGTCATCGTTATGGAGACGAGAAATGTTGGCCTTCCTGCGCGGAAGAGCTCGAGTTCTGACGAGCTGAATAGGAACTTGACTGATCTCTAGTTGCTCCTCGTCTGGAAAATCATGTTTGGTGCATAAGCAATTCACTTCGTTTCGTTTCATGAATATATCTTTCTTTCAATGACGGAGCTTGTTCACACAAACCTCACCCCACTCACTAAGGCCTGAATAGTATGCGATCTGTAAGTTAGGTGGGAAGTCATAAATTGAGTTTGCCTCATAAATCTACTGAAAGGATCATTCACTGGATCGATGGTGCACCCGGTGGCATGATAGGCGCGAAGCCTAACGCTTTGATGGCCTTGGGGGCGTATTCACGTATCCTCATGGTCGATGACGAGGGTCGTTGCAGCTGTGCCGCTATAGCGCTCTCAATACTCATGCTATCGTTGAGCACGGCCTGCAGCGCTGTAGGGCCGCCACGCGCCACAATGGCATCCTTCAAACTTGCTATAAACAATACAAACAATGCAAAGAAAGCATAAGCATCCGCTCGTCTGGACACAAACTCAAAATTCTACGTACCTTCAGACGAAATGTTTGACACGACCCAGACCGCATTTGCCTGTATACTCGCGCTCTTCGAGCTCAGCAATCGCACCAAAGTGTCCACCGACCTGGACAGCTCAACGACCGCAGCGGCATCACTGACCCCACCCGTCGTCATCAAAGCCACTCCAAGTAACGAAAGCTGCACGAGCTGTTCGTCCTGGCTCAAGCCACCCCCACCAGGATACTGAATAATCCCAAGAAGAACCTCCAGAGCTCCACGATGCGCCATGCGGCCGCGACACTGCGCCGATGAAGCGAAGTTCACCAGCAAGAACAAAGCGTTCAGTCGCATGGTCGTATTGCCCGCTCCACCTTCAGCGTCGCCCAGTTCACGTAAAACCTTGACTAGAGGCTCGACACTGTTCACCAGGGCTGCTTCGGGACACAGATCGGTCATTTGCCCCGCCCGAGTCATCGTGGTGAGAGCCTTGAGGGATTCTGCGAGCACTCGCTGCTGAGAACTCGTAGCTGAGGACATGGCCACAACCACCTGAAGCACCACGTCGTAAGTCGTCGGAGTAAGTTTAACCTTAAGCGTCTCGTCGGCGATGAGCATGTTCAAGAAGACCATCACCACCAGCAGAAGATCGTTCTTGCCTCGAGAACGTGCTGAGGGCAACGCAGACGTCATCGCTGCAGTAGCAGAGCGCGCTTCATCCGACAAAGCTCTTACGAGGCTCAACAAGGCGTGAGACCCGCCCTGTTCCTCCGAGCCAAGCAGCAGCTCGCGCACCTCGTCGAAGTTCGGATGGTCCTCGACGAACTCAGAGACCACGCGGAAGGCTTCGAGCTTGACACGGAGCTCCGAGGCCCCCAACAGATCAAGAGCGACGCGTAGGCCTTCACCTTTCAGCAGAAGCTCTCGGATGTTAACTTCATCATCACCATTACCGTGATTCCGCTGCTGTTGCTGCTGGCTTTGGGGCCTTCTCTGCTGTCGCTGCTGGATGTGGCGATTCTTCGCTCCCTTGATGATGGCGACAAACACCGCTAAAGCGTTGGTGACTGTGCGATGAGCCTCAGGGACAGGAACACTGCGTCGAACGCTCTCCACAACTTGGGCGATCATGAACTGCAGGAACGCAGCGTCCATGTCTGCAACGCTGGCCAAGCGACTAACTGCGCCCAGAGCCTTACGTTGAGTAGTATTCTGATCGTAGTCCAGCACTTGATCGCACAACGTCTCGAGGATTCCATTCGACACGAGCTTGGGCAGGAGCTCCGCGTCTTTCGACAAGCTGTAGATGATCGAGACGGCGTTGTTGTGGACGCCGAATTCACCAGGTTGAGGCTCCTGCTGCGTGTATTTGAGCTGCTTCTCCACAACGAGGAACTCACGCAGCTTCGGTAGCAGATTCGACGACACAATTCGCCTGCTCACGATCTGGCTGCGATCGCACATTTTGCCTAGAAGAGCAACCACACAGGCCTCGATCTCCCGTCGGCGCGGTGTAGCAACTAGCGGAGAAAAGAGGATCTGAGCCAACACGGGGACGGTAGCGTTGCGTACCAGAGCATCCAGACACAGCGAGAAGGCACAGAGGTGAGCCAACGCTTGCAACGCATGGAGAACCACTGGCAAGTGAACGGACTCGAGTGACTCAATCAGCAGCGAGATGTTCTCGGGAGATACCAGCGACGCTCGGAGGTCTTCCTGAGCTGCGATTCTGGCGATCAAGTGCGCTGCGTGAGCCTGCGTCCCCGCGCTATCCACCGCTGGGGGTTCCTTTGTGCTGGGCTTTCTCCCTTTCACAGGTTCATTCTTCCCAGCAGGACCCGCTGCCAGTGCACCAAAGAGGACGGCAGCGATTCCAGGAGCTTCCCCGATCTTCAGCAGCACCTCGTCGTGTGTACGTGCTGCGCGTGACAGACACTTGAGAGCTTCGGCTTGTCTGAACGCCACCGCGCGCTTAGACTGTCGCCACGAAGGTGAAGATGGCTGCACATTGGGGTCACAGCCACATTCACGAAGAAGAATGGGGATGGCGTCGAGGTTAAACAACGCAGTGATGGCTGGGTCCATTTCCGAGAGCGACCCAAGCAGTTCCCAGCTGCATCGGGCCTGAAGTTCCGTAGCTGGAGCTGCGTGAATGTGCCACATAATCTGCTGCATCGCGCGCTCGTACGCTACACAAGCGGCGCGACCAGCGTCTCCAGTGCGCTGCAGTATCACGAGAACACAGAGAAGCAGTCGAGCTCGCACCCCCATGAGCAGACCCTTGTCCACCTGCGCGTACAAGAACTTGATCAAATCGACCAGAAGTTCGTCGATGCTGGCCGTCGTCTCGGCGCCAGGCGTAGGCGTGTTGACCACCATCTCCACGAGACTCAGGAAGAGCTCCATAGCTCCATGTGCAATGTCGCTCTCACTGTTAATTCCTCCACAGAAGATCGGTGTCAACGGCGCGAGGAACGCGCGCAATAGCACCGCGTATCGGCAGATGTCCTCGAAGCAGGTGGAGCTGTTCACTGCGAGCCAATGCAGCAGCGCTAGAATTTGCTCGACCAGCAGTAGATCACCACTTCCTGGCTGTGAATTGGCGCCTGTCACCAGCATAAACGCATTGCAGAGCCATCGCGCGTCGATTTGACCAACGACCACAGCGTCGGACTCTCCCGATTGAGCGTTCTCGTCCAGCTGCGCGCGAACTAAAGCTGCCAGCTCCAACACCTGCGCGACTTGACTGACTGCGAGCCGCGGTCTCTCCTGGAAGTCGTTGTCTTCGTCTCCACGCTGGCGGGCGAAAGCGACCGCCAGCAGCGCGTTCAAGTCCCAGCGAGAGAGATACAGCTCCCCAAAGCCGCTCTGCAAGGTGGTGGAGAGACTGAGATCCGGCGTTGGGCTCCAGCCAGCGATCTTGACCAGAGATGCAAGGCAATCGCTCGCGATAGTCAACGCTAGCTGGTCGGCGGACGTTTGTTCTCCCTTGGTCACTTCTGGCTCGCGCTCGGTGGCCATAGCGGCAGCTTGGGCCTTCTCAGCGTCAGCCACGAGGTACGTCATGAAGGAGTCGATGGCCTGCTCCTTGGTCGGCGCGTGGGTCAGCGCGTAGCGCTCAAGGAAGCGCAGCAGATAAGCCACACGCTCGCGTCGCTCCAGTTCCGATCTGGCAGCATCGAATTGCTCGAGTGCTCTTGCAAACTCTTCGTTGAGGTCGGCACTGTAGCCGAGCATACCCAACAGTGCCACAGGGAGAGCCTTGTCATCCGGCGAGACCAACGGGTTGTTCTCCACAGCACTACGCGCTCCAGCAGCCTTCATCTCCTCAATGAAGTAGCCTGTGCTGGCTAGCAGCAGCAGCAACTGCAGCACCAAGTGACGGGATCGATTGGCCTCCCGCTCTGGTACGCGGAAAATGTGGAGTAGCTTTGGCAGTAGAGCGGTAGTTCCCGCAAACGTGCTGCAGCCCGTAAGCACGAAGGTGTCGCCCCACGCTTCCCGGACGTCCATTAACGCTTGAAGAGCGCCTTCGATCACACGAGGCGCTAGCACGTCACCTCCACAGCTAAGTACGGCAAGACACTGCGAGCTCAAGCCACTTCTCGACTCAGTCAGCAGCTCTTCCGTCTCCTCCTCTGTAGTTGGCAAGTGCGCGACTACCGACAACATCCTGCATGAATTCCGTAGCAGTTCATTCTCAGGCCGCTCGGTCGCCCCCACCCAGTTGAACCAGTCTCGAAGCAGACACATCCAAGTGGTAGTCGGTACCTGAGCAGTGAACAGTGCTGCCAAAGCTGGAGTCAAGGGACTCACACTTTCCACGATGCACGTCCACAGTATGACGTCCTCGTGACTCAGCGTGATTCCAGACGGATTCGTAGTAAGACACAGAGCAGGGTGGATCAACAGAAGCTGGTGGATCAAAACTATCAACGCGCGGCGTGAATCTCCCTCCGACCGGAGCATGTCGGAGATTCCCGAGCGCATGGCGGACGTTGGGGGACAACTCGAGTGCACGAAGCTGAGGTAGATGCTCAACGCCCGCTTCAGAGGCTGGTTAACGTCGTCTCCCTCGGCGAGTAAAGCTTCGTGCGCGTACGACGCTAACAGAGCTGGCAGTTTGGCGAGGAACCGCTGACTGACGACGAAACCCCGCGCGATGGAGACGTACAGCACCTGCGTGAGGACGACCGCCAGGTCGGACGTGCGCTGCGCCGCATCATTACCTGGTTGGGTGAAGACGATGAGGAGCTGCTCCAGGATCTGGTTGTCGCCCACAGACTCACGCGCGCGCTCCGGGTCGTTCTGGAACGCGCTCACTATGATCTTCTCCGCAATGTCGTGATGCTGGCGCGAGGGACTAACCAGCAACACGGTGAGGAGCTCCGCCAGCAGCTTCGGAGACAACGGATAGTAGAAACTCTGCGTTGGGTCCTCTACTGACATCAACGAGAACGCGCCACGAATCACTCGAAGCGCTGGGAGCTGACGCTTAGGCGTTTGGTGCGTGGCCACGCGCGTCTCGAGTAGCGGTGCTAGTTTCAGTAATTCCTCTGGGTGCCAAGACATTTTCCTCTCCTGTTGATACGCCACATCCAGCAGATTGGCGAGCAGCTTAAGGCCCCGCGTGACTTCCACTGGAGTAGCTTCTTCATCCTGCACTGTGTCACCGTTCCGACCAAGGTGGAGAGCCAAGTGGTGGCTAACGACGCTGCAAATGCGAGTCAATATCTCGGGCGAAGAGTGACCGACAAGCTCGATACAACCAGCGGTGCTCATCAGGTAAAGCAGCAGTAGCGCGTCGCGCGATATGCTTGAAGACTCTTCTGCTCGCTTGGCGCTAAGCCCCTCCTCAGGCTTCTGTAGTAAACTTTCCAGTAGGACGACCAGCGGCCCGCTACGTGCGAGAGTAGCGCGTAGTTCACGGTTCGCCTTCGCCAGAGCTACCAGACCCGACAGTGCCAGCCGCCGTTTGAGCGGTAGTGCATTTTTCTGGCTCGTTCTACCCGCTTCTTTCTCGTCTGACAGCACGCAGGATAGGAAGTGCGCCGGTAGTTTTGATGCAGCAAGCCCCGGTGCCACAGTCATATCAGCGATCGCGAGGTTCGTGAGGATTTGGATCGTTGTCTGAGCGCCTTGAACGTCGTCGTCCTGCTGCTGTTGAATACTCAACGCAAGCAGTGGGAGGTGGCCATTAACTTCCACGATACGCTCCGGTCCATGCAATGCGCGCGAAAGCTCCGTCAGTAGTGTACAGGTCAACGCGAGGCGCTTGTCAAGCCCAGCCGCAGTCTCCTTCGTGTCAGCCGTAGCGCGAGCGTCCACCCACTCTTGAATGAACTCCACCAGCCTCGCTACACAACCTGGAGCGACCAACAGCAGCGCCTGCACCTCCGTGTCGCCTCTGGACAAGTCGAGAATCAGCGCCAGCAACAAGTTCTGCACCTTGACGTTTCTGGCCTGACACAGAGCCACCACAAGCGCCGGGACGCCATCCGCGACGATCAACGCGACGCGCACTTCGCGCTGTTTGAGCACTGCAAGCAGCAACTGAGCGGATGGGATCGCAACGTCATCGCTTGAGGAGCCCACCAGCTTCAGCAGGGCTGGGATGTCTTCACCGCTATTGAACAACGTCGCGTACGGAGACGAACTCTCCGCATTCCCCACGAACGCGCGGATCAACTCGATCACAAACCGACCCAAAGCTGGGAACGTATCAACCACAGATAGCCACCGCTCGAGAGGCAGCAACTGTGGGAGAAGCGTGCGCTTCCCCTGCGCCAAGGTGTCGGTCGAGGCTTTACACACGGCTGCGTTGCTGCCAAACGGACAGCCGAAGACATTGTACAGAATCGACAGTAGCATCTCACACCATCGACCGGTGAGCTGAGCAGGACCATGTTCGCCATCAAGCAGTCGACAGATTCGTGGCAGCAGCTCCAGGTATCGCACGTGAGCTGCTGCGACGGCAGAGACCTTGACGAGAACGCTCAGTGGCAGGTGAAGGAGCTCTGGAGCTTCATCTGCGTCGTTGTCAAGGGCTGCTATGACAGCGGTGGTCACGTTCTCCACAATGCCGAAGAGCTTGGACACCACCTGAGCCACGTCAAACGCGAGGATGATGCCTTCCTCCTGGGAGAAAAGCACGTGCAGCATCGTACACGAGTCCTCAAACACCCGGCGATTGAGCGGAGTAGAAGCATCGCCACCGTTCTTGACAATGATATCAAGCGACGAGCTGCTGACTGCGAGGTCTGCCAGGATGAGGATGCCGTCCATAGCGCACAGACCCGGTAGCGTAGGCATATTGGCAGCCATGAGGGCCAAAATCGGCGTGATACGAGCCTGAAGAGGTCTGGATTCCGTCTGCAGCAAGCCCTTCAGTCGAGCCACCGTGCGGTCGGAGGAGAAGAGCAGCTCCGTGTCTTCGCCGTGTAGCGTGGCGAGATGAAGCATGCAGCGCAGCACTTCGTCCAGTATCCGGCGGTCGTGCAGCAATACCAAGTTGTCCAGAGCACGGGGAACGTGCAGTGCGAGGGCCTTCTCACTGAGTTCGGACGAGAACGACATCATGCGTCGGCACACGCGTAGTGCAGGTAGAACAGTCTCAAACTGCAGCGCCCAATCGGCTCGAGCACGCTCCACCACGTCTGATGTCTTGGTGGGGCTGGCCTCTTCACTGCACGCAGACTCCTTGCGAATGAGCGCGAGGCTTTCAGGACGGCTGGGCAATTTCTTCCCGCCGAAGTGATGCAGCGCAGTAGCGACGAGGTCGATGAGACCGCGAGGCGCCTCTCCTCGCTGAAACTGCGCTGCCAACTCGCTGTGTGCTGTCAGGACGCTCAACGAGCTGTACGCGTCACGCAGCTCACTTAGTGGAGAGGACTGCGGGTCTTGAGCGTAGACCTGCATCCACTCGGCAAGATGCAGCAGCACAGCACTCCAGTTCTCACTTCGGCCTTCGCCTCCTCCATTTCTGCTCCCTGTGCGCTCTTTCCCAGGCGAGTTTGCAGTCTCCAGAGGCTCATTCGCTGCCCACGACTGCTTGTTGAGCGTTCGAGCGAGAAGTTGCAGCGCCGGACAGCGAACCACAGGCTCCACAGCCTCCAGCAACGAAGCAACAGGGGTACACACTTGCTTCTGAACCAGTTGAGATAGCACAGTCTCTGCTTCGGGCTCAGTCTCCGTGGCTGTTGTCAAGACGGCAAGCACATCAGAGGTGACGGATGTCGGCAGATTCAGATAGTCAGGAGCGCGAAGTCCGCATCGGATGAGCACGTCAAGTCCACGAGTGTCTTCCCACACCCAACCACGCACGCCTTGAGCTGTCGCCACGACTTCCGCTCGAACGTCAGCATCTTCACTTGGCACCTGTGGCGTAGCAAGCAGTGCCAATGTCCAGATGCTGGTCGCTACGCCTTCAGGCTTCACGCGCTCGTTATTCGCGTAGTCGTCCTGAGCCAGAAGCCGAGCGATCGCAGAGCGTTCAAGTCGAAGCCGTGGCGCGTGGCCGAAGAACGCCATGTAGCCCAAAGTCTCCGTCACCATGAGCTGTACAATGTCCAAGCGATCGTCATAAGTCGGCAGAGCTGGTAGCGTTAGAGACAGCAGCTTCCCGATAGCAGGGAGGCCGTCCAGAGCTGCAATGGCTCGTGCAATCGCCTCGTCCGTGACTAAACGCTGCAGCGAGCGCATCGTATGCAGAAGCCTCAAGACGCTGTCGTCGCTAGCTGATACAGTGGAGCACTCCAGACACGACAACAGGAAGGGCAACGGCTGAATGGTCCCGCCGGTGATCAGCAACACGAACGCGCGACTCGCTGGCGATACTTCCATCACATCTGCAAACGCACGCAGTGCCAGTAGCAGCAGATGCGCTCGTTGCTGCGTCTGAGGAGCGACCATGAAGCGGAACAACGGGGCTACCAGATCCGGAGAGGCCTCGAAGTATGGCGCCATTATCGGCAGTGCAGTGAGCCCCGCGAGCGCCTCTGCTAGCTGTTCACGTTGGGGCTCAGGCAGCTCGAGGCTCCCCAGACCAAGAGCCTTCAAAACTAACGGGAAGCCTCCGCCTTGAACCAGAAGTTCTCGGTTCGGGGTCTGTCCCGAGAGCGTACGAACAATCGCAGCGAGAGAGACTGCAAACGCCGACACGAGGTTGTCGCCGCCTTCAGTCGGGAACGAGTCGGGGGCATTACCTGACGCCACATCCAGCCACAGCTCAAAGTATGTAACCAGCACCTCGACGCCACCTTCCTCTGCGAAGACCTGCTCGTCATAACCCCATGGACTCAGTTGACGCAAGACGTCGATGCACTCCCACGCCAACAGCGACAACGTTGTCGGACTACCTGAAGCTGGAGGTGCTGAGACTTCGCCTTCAACTTCAGGTAACGGGGGAGGTGGCAGCCCGACACGCAGTAGCTCCAGTAGAAGACTAGTAAACTCCAATTCAGACAGACGACGGACTGCTTGATCACCCAGAGCCTTGCACAGTCGAGCAGCGATTTGCACCGTGTGAAGTCGACGCAACTCCACCGTTGTATCAACCTGTCCCTTGTCGGTAGGGAGTGGATCGTTGTCAGCCTGTTCCGGCACGAGAATGTACGGTGGCAACCTCACGTACACGTCGTTCTCGTGCAAGATAACCGCGATTCTCCTCGTGCCTGCGATGCACGCGAGCAGTCCGAGCACCGTCTCGTCATTCTCCCCTAGAACTCCCTCCTCAATCCGCAGTTCTTGCACCATACGCCCCAGCGCTTCGCCGCAGTCTTCAAGCGTGATGGTGGTTTTGTGTTCCTCCACAGTGACAAGCAGCGCGAATATGCGCAGGACGTTTCGAATGGTCTTGGCGTTGGTAGCCTCGTGGACGAAGCACGCTCGAAGCAGCGACACGGTCTTCTTGGGCAGGAAAAACTTGAGCGAGTCGTCCGCCAGCAGCGCGAGCACCAGCCGACTGAGGTTCTTACCTAGTGTCTGCGGGTGGAGCTGCAGCAGCGGCGTGAGCACATCAGCGATGATTTCTTCGCCTTTGAGCGACTGTCGAACTCGTGAGAACTGGACCAAAGTGCCTAACAACCGCACGGCTCGATCGAGTACGCGGTCGTGCGGTACATTGGCAGGCTTTCGTAGGATTCCGTGGACTAACGTGGCTGGGACGTCAAGTGCTAGCAGCTTCATGGGGTTGTCACCGCGCGCTGCGAGCTTGGAGAGCACGTAGGCTGCCGCCTCAACCACCATGAGACTCGTAGATGTCAGTAACTTTGCCAGCGCTTGGAGGGCACCGCGTCGTGTTGCAGCGTCTTGTAGTGTGCTGTTCTTCTTCAACCAGCACGCCAGCGTGTAGCAGCCGCAACGCGCTACGAGTTCACTCGAGTGGAGAAGCGCCTGACACAGCACCGCGACCGCCAGAATGTCCACCGCTTTGGCCGATCGATAGTTATCCGCGCAGTTACTGAGCACCAGTAAAGTTTGCTCCAGCACTGCGGTCTGTACACTAGGGAATGCACTGAAGTCCAGCGTTTGAGGTGGGGATTCTACCTCAGCATCACGAGCTTCGTCGCTCTTCTCCCGTCTAGGAGAACCGCCTCGGGCGTCCGCGCTCTTCTTGGGGGAGTTCCGTGCCATACTTTCGTACATTTCTTCGTCATCTTCTTCTTGGATTGGCCAGGAGGGGGAATTATTTTCTGTATCAACTGGAGAAGCACCGCGGAGTGGGGATTTACCAGGCGATGCAGCTTTTGGTGGGGATTCTACGTCCTCTGAAGACATCAAGCGCGCGATCTCCTTCTCCGATAGATAGTCCTTAACCTGGGCGGGCAGTGCTGACGCGGCAAGTTGCAGAAGGAGCAGTAGTGATCCGCTACGATGGTCCTTCGCTTCCGCGATACGCGAGGCATTGCTTGAGGCGAAGGACAAGTTCACGAGACACGTGATAGTCAACTCCACCATCTCCAGCTCGTCAGCTCCACTGGTACCCCCGAGTCCCACTCGCAGTCGTGCTAGGAGAGCTTCCACACACTCGCGCAGACCGAAGCGCGTCTTGTTGAACGACTCGCGGGTGAGGTGACGCACTACCATCAGCGCTGCTCGTGCGATGCGAGGGTTGATGTGAGTGAGGAGCCTCACGACGGATAGCACGTCAACGCACCGCGATAGTTCGAGGGCTTGTGCTGGCATCGGAGCGAGCTCTCCCAGTACGAGCATAGCACTCTCCACTATAGTACCGTTTGAACCTTTCAGCAGAGCGCTAAGCTCAGCGACAACGGGAGCTTCACACTGGAGGAGGAACTTCTTGTTGGCGTCGTTGCCCACGACCAACACCGCCAGCGCTCGAGCCGCGCCCTTGGCGACGCCTAGTGTTTCGTGGTGAACGAGAGATAAAAGCTTCTCGAAGCACACTTTACCACCGAGTTTGACCTTGTTACCGGCGTGCGAGCCGAGCTTCACCACTGCAAGTAGAACGTTCTCCAGTACATGACGTCGCTGTGACGACAAGCGATCCACAAGCGGCGCGGCAGCGCCCGTAGCTCCCAAGCGGACTTTGTTGCCTTCGTGCCGGGTAGCTGCATTCGCCACAAAGAGCGCCGTGTAGCGCTGCAGGCCTGGAAGTTCCGACTGCAGGCCAGCGATAACTGCAGCAAGGAGGGCTTCTCCACCCTCGTTCAAGATAATGCCACGGTTCTCAGGCGCTTCCGCCAAGTAGGCAAGTAGCTGCGCAGTTGGAACACGCACGCGTCCGCTTGGGTGACGCAGTAACTTCGTGAGCAGCGGGACGATCCCAGCTGATACCAGTCGGCGTTGGTTTGTACTACTCGCATACGCTCCCATGGCAAGCGCGCGAGTCCACGCTGCACAAAACCTCTCATCTTGGGTGTCATTGACACTAACGAGTCGTACAAGCTCAGCAGATTGATCGCATTCCAGCAGCTCCTTCTTGGACGCGCGTGCTGCTGAGCCAGAACCTTCGCACAGTGCTGCAAGCGCCTGAAGACCCTTGATCTGTGGCTTTCGCGCCGCCTTTTGGTCCGTTGTGTACTCTGGAACCTCTTTGGCTTCACATACCAACGCCACGAGGAAACTTGTAGCACCTAGTTCCTGGAATTGTTGGCGATTCCCATCATGCTTATGCACGAGATGGCGAACCAGTCCACTCGCGCGCCGTCGAACTTCATGCTCGGGTCGTTGCTGCAGCGCTCGCATCACCACCGAAGCTCCGTTAGCGTCGAACACACACCGCGGCACTACAGGCTGCTCGCAGGCGAGACGCTGCAGTAGATGAAGACTCGCACGGGCCACGGGGGCTATTGCTGAGTCAGCGTGACGCAGCGAGAAGTCCACCATCTTGGCCGTGGCCACAACGCGTCTCGCAGGTGCCTCACCTTCAACCGAGTTTTCAATCTCCGTCTCGTCCTCGATTTCAGCTTGCGCCTGGATGTCGGTGGGTGAGCGAGCAGCGCTGCATACCCACGCCAGAGCATCGAGCGCCTCAGCAAGCAGCTCTGCATTAAGCGCGGTCGATGGCGAGTGCATCAGCAGCAACAGTGCCTCCAGCAACCGACTTTCGACGACGAAGTGCTGGATCGCGGCATCTTTTCGAGCGAGAAGTCCTAGGAAGCGAAGCACGTGACGTTGAGGCAGTACACCTAATCCAGTGGACGCGCGCTCGCGATCACGAAGCAGATCCTGGATACTGTTGAGCACCGTTGGTACAGCCAACGCGCGGCGCAGACCCGGCGTCTTTGCGCGCGCGAGCTCGCTCATGGTGTCGATAGCGAGCCGCGCGATGGGGTCACACGCGTGGGGGAATAACGCCACGATACTCAAGAAATGCGGCGCGGCCACGATAGACTGCTTGGTGATCTCACAGTACGCGGTTCGGAACGTACTTCGGATGACCCAGTACAGCGGCTTTAGACCTGGTGGGACGGACCGCTTCTCCTGCACTTCCAAGCCTTGAGAGCTGTTAGCTGATACTTGAATCATAGCTGTCAACGGCGCATCGTCGGCCGGTTGGCTGCCGATACACCGCTGCAGTAACTGGAGAAGACCCGACACCGAGTCTGGAATCTGCGCGAAAGCGAGTCGTTTGTCTTCGTACTGGAACAAGTTGCCCCAGACTCGACATGCGGCGACAGCTACGAGGAGATCGCCGCTTGACGCTGCTAACAGCTTCGCCAAATGACGCTGAGCTGCTCGTGAAGGAACATCAAGCAAGTTCAACCGCTTAAACAGTCTACGCAGTAGCGTAGCTGCCAGCAGCTGCACTCGTGTACTCAGCGAAGCTTGAAGCAGATTGGCGATGCGGTCTGGATCACTGGCAAAGAGCTGTTCCAACGCGCGCGTGTTCTTGTGTGCTGTGAGTCCATCCAGGAACTTCAACACTTGCTCATGCAGTGCCTCATGGTTCAGTCGCGTGGCGATACTCAGCGCCTGGTCCACGAAGAAAGTTGACGAGCTCATGTGTTCACTTAGCAGTGCCGAGTGCGCAGCTAAAGCGCCCAGTAGCGGCGCGAGACCGAAGAGATGCTCGGGCTGGTGGTTCTGGAACAATGCACCGAGTATCTGCATCGCATCAGGCGTGCTCTCCACGAGCTTACTGAACGCCAAACTGCTTCCAGGCACTTCGACTTCATCCTGGGACGCGATTTCTCCACAAGCGCAGTCATGGTCGCAGCTACAGCACTCGAGGAAGAGCACCAACAAGCTCGGCAGAAACACTGCGCTTGCACCGCGCAGATACTCCAGCATAATGGACACACTCGTAGCCTCGCACATGTGCTCCTTAACATGAGGAGCTGTACTGAGCGCGGCCAGCAACTTCAATGCATAAGTGGACCCTGCTCCACGTCGGGTAATTGCTCGAGCGTACACGTGAGGCAAGAAGTCGGCTCCCTGCATATTCCCACAGCTTGCGATCGTACTGATACGCAGGGGTTCGGACGCTCCAGAAGACGGCAACAGGAGTTCTGGTCGTACTAGTGTACCGGTCCGAGACACCAACGCCTCACTAGTGACCGTCCCCAAAGCGAATATTGCCAGCCGTGCTACCCTTTCGTCTCGCCCAGGACCTGCCGTAGCGAGCGACAAGATCACCAACTGCATGAGGTTCTGAGGTGCGTCAACTTGGAACAAAATCTGCCGTACGCGGTCGTTCGCATGTATCGCTACGATGCCCAGCGCATAGGCAGTTGACCCCAACACCTCCGGTGAGCCTCCAACCAGCAGCTTGGCTAGAATTCCGAGGTTCGTCTCGGTACAGATAGCGATGTGGAAAATACTGGACTTGGCGAGACTCGCGAACAGGAAGCTCGTAGCACTTGCGGATGGTGACCGTTTAGCTGCACCTCGCAGAGTCTCGAGCATGCGGCCAAGTGTGGTGGTGGTCTGTTCACGCGGGAAAATTGTATCCGTCTCGTCGGCGATCAGCGACAGCGCGAAGATGACAGCGTCGGCGTTGGCGTTCGAGGGCGTCATGAGACGCAGGAAAATGTCGATGCACCCGAGACGCAAGATCTCCGCCAAGTTTTCAGCTGTCATCGTAGAAAGGAAGAGAAGCAATTAGGCAATAGTGTTGAACTGGGGAAAGCTGCTTGGGCATACCGTTGGGGAGCGATAAACCGATACATGTGATGGCGGTTTTGGCGATGGCAGCGTGGGGGGAATGTACCAGCTCCATCAAGACTGAGAGCAGTTTACATGCTGGTAACTCGGCTTTGACGGCATCTACAATAAGACATGAATGCAACAGTGAAATTGATGCGGTGATAGAGTACGAAGCACGAATATAATGAAAAAAAAACTTACTCTGACGCAGCGTGAGCCGCAGCACCTTGAGCGACGCCAACACAAGCTCCCAGTTCTCCCCTTTTGCCAATTCGGTAAGTCGTCCGATAAGTCCTGCTTCACAAAACGGTAGAATCACGCTCGCTAGAAAAAAAAAAAACACACACACACACAGCCACTCTATCAGTTCAGGAAAAATAACGTTGAGATGATCAAACGAACGTACGACTGCCGGCACAGAGCGCGAAAATGACCTCCAACGCCAGATACGTCGCCTGTTGGTCCTGACTGTCCAAGAGCGCCATGACCTTGTTCATTCCTCTCACTGCGATGAAAATTTTTGCCACCGAATCTGCCTCAACACACAAACACAAACAATTTGTACTCAGACACACGTGTACCAAATACGAATAGATGAAAATCTATCCTACCTCTCTGAACAATCCTCGAGAGTAGTGCAAGCCCCGCACTCCTTGCAATTGGGTCGACGCAATCCACAAGCGCGACCAGTGGCGAGACCCACATCTCGTCCAGCATGGCAGGGAGGGCCACCAGAGCCTCGTGTGGCGTCTACATTTCCAAGAAATTAGTCATAATACAAAACACTTCTCTCCAAGCCAAAATTACCACCTTACCATCCTCTTGAGCGGGTCGCGAGGCGTTGTGCTGCGCTTACTGGGACTGCGCGCTCTGGCGTCGGCGGCCTCGATCTCCAGAACGTCGCGCTCATGCTCCCACCAGGGACCCGAGAGCCACAGCGTCTTCTCCATGCGACGCAGGTACTGGTACACATCGGCCTGCTCCGAGTCGCTCTGGAAGTTGGGCGACCCGAAGAGCGCGTCCAGCGACTGGGACGCCCCCATTTCCTGCTCTGCACAGGCGCAATGGGATCCACGGCGAGAGGCGCCCGCCGATTATTTTGGTGGTCGACCGACCGACCCACGACCTTTTGCCGGGCGGTCGAGCATCGAAACCGAGCGAAAGTTGAAGTGGGCTGCCTGCTGACATTTCATCGACGGCTATGGGCGATAATGCTGCCGACCAGTGTAACGACGTCGAATGGCCCCGCTGACGAAAGCTCTCCAACAGTCTTGCGTCTGAGGGTTCAGTCGCTCCTCAACAACGATAATACTCTACACTGTAGCATGACAATCGGGAAGGAGCTTGTGGCTTGAATTGGTGACTTCGATGGTGCTGCTCGGAAGTAGGTCGCACGCTGTCCTCGAGAGAGGCGCGTGACGGAAAAAACGTCGCGCGAGTTGTAAGTGTTCACGTTGTCCACGTTGGTCCAGCGTAGCGTCGCTGGATAGACCACAGCTGTAGATGGAGACAATTCCCGTCGTGGTGGTGGAGTGCCGTCGGAAGATCACAATTTGGCGCGGATCACATGACGATACTGGGGTGCATGTAATGCACGTTGACGCATCGGATCAAGACGCTTGGCGGGCCAAGAGCACCTGTTGTTGGCAACAGCCCATTCATCGACTGTTTGTGATAAAACCCTTTGATGATATTATAATACCGGTATTGCCGTTTGCAGATATTTTGGCCAACTCATGCTTATTATCTCGTTAATAATCTCGATTTTAATCCAGCCAGCTCTTAATTAAGACCTAGGTCTGATTTAAATATCTCGCCAGTACGGTCTAAGATCCGAGCTTGGGGCTCTGTTTTTTCGACCAAGGCGCTTTTTTACGACTTGGAAACGCAGAAATGCCGGAGTTTCTGGGCCTAAAAGCGGCCCCCAGCAAAGCATAAAGCTAAATCAGCCCTCGCCTATCTCGTGTCCACTCATATTAAGAGACAGTCGTGGTCTATTTTAGAGGTCTATTTTAGAGGGCAAAGTATTTGCAAGCGGCAATACTGGTAATACAATAAGTTTGGTCCAACCAAAATTATTGTCGACGCATTTTTTGAGTCGTACAATTTGTCGTGGGGGACAAAAATCGAACGCCCAGCCCATTTCGAACGTCGTGCATACAAACACCCAGTGTCGGGCCTTATCCGAAGAACGCCGTGACAGACGAGAGCTCACAATCGGCGTCGTCCAGTGCAGCGCAGTAATCCGCCCCCTGCTCCCATCTCCGTCCTCGTCCCCGTCGTCGTCGTCGTCGCCGCCGCTGGGTCGGACCGTCACTCGGTTGCCTGCATCGCTTCGCTTCGTCCCCCCTCCAGACTCCCCCCCCCTCCATCGTCGCGCTCCCCTGTCTCTGCCTGTGGCCAAGAGCGAGCGGCGTGACTCACAGCACGCGGCAGTAGGCAGCAACAGCAGCAAGAGCGCGCGTTGTTGACCCTCGCGATCGCCCGACGCACCCGATCGCGCGACAGAGGCCAACACGAAAGCGACGGCGAGAGCGCGAGCCCCCGACTCCCCCGGCAGCAGCAGCCAGCACCCCTCCCGCTCGCGCGCCTTCGACCGGTTCCGATCCTGGGCGGGCGGACTCCTCGGCACTTCGAAAAGCAAGAGACAGCGCGCAGCCACTGAGCCCGCGTTCGCCACCAAGAGCAAAGAGCAGCAGCAGCAGAGAGCCACGATGCAGGAGGTCTCTGCTGAGCTGCAGCAGCAGCTGCAGGCGCTGGGCATCAACCCGTCGGACGACGTCTTCCGCACAGGCTCGGAGGAGTACGACCACAACGGACTGAGCTCGCCCATCCCGCAGGAGGTGCGCTTCATGAACGCCGAGCTGCGCCGCTGCCCCGTGGAGGGCGTCGGCATGGTGCTGGCCATCTTCTCCGGCTCGGGCGCTGTCTACGAGTTCGTGCGCACGCTGCGCAAGTGCATCTACGGCAAGGTCAAGCACGCCGTGCGGCTGCAGATGACGCCCAACGGCACCTTCGTGCGCACGCAGTTCGAGGTGGCTATCAAGGTCATGAGCAAGGTACGGCAGCAGACTTTTTAGCTTGTTCGGCAAGTGATGCAGTGCAGTTATTGACTGGGCGCTGTGTGTGTGTTCTGTGCTGCAGGTTATTATAGAGGAGGGCAATCTCCAGGAAAACCCGCTCGTCGAGCTCGCAGCGCAGCAGTATCTGTCCGTGCCTGGCCACGAAAATGTGCTGACGCTGGTAAGCTCAAGCTACTAAACATTCTGGGTTGGGCGGATTTTGTCTAACACATTGATTTTCTTGTGTATTGGCAGATCGAGTGCTTGCACGACGCCGACTTCATCTATGCCGTACTCCCGTTTTGTAATGGAGGTGAATTGTTCTCCGTGGTCGAAAGCGGCGGCGCTATGGAGGAGGCGGAATGCCGCCACTGGTTTACTCAAGTACTGGCCGGCCTCTCCTACCTTCAGAGCCGCTACATTTGCCATCGCGACATGTCCCTAGAAAATGTGTTGCTGGACGGTGACACCTCAAAGGTTAGCAACCACGGATCGTGCATGTTCAGGGCCGTATTCCCTTACTAATTGGTGTGTTGTCCCCGTGTACATAAGATCATCGATTTTGGCCTGTCTATCGGTATCCCCGTGGACGCGCATGGCATGACGTATTCACTGCCGCCCGCTGGCGCAGTTGGAAAAATCTTTTACATGCCTCCGGAGGTAAGCAAGCTACGCCACTGCAACTACGATGCGCGAGTATATATCTAATCTCCGTGTGCTTTGCTGCGCTCTCAGATTTATCGTAACCAAGTTCCGTTCAACGGTTTCTCTGCCGATATCTGGTCAACGGGCGTCATGCTGTTCATCATGGTAACGGGTGCTCCTCCCTTCGAGCGCCCGGACGACGCAGACCCGCGCTTCCAGATGATCGCGCAGGGCCTCATGAGTGACATGTTAGACTCGTGGGGCATGGACCACGTGTCCGCGAGTGTGCGCGATCTGCTGTCGAAAATGCTGATTGTGGACGACCCGTCCCGGCGCCTGACAGTAGAGCAGATCGCCATGCACCCGTGGATTCAGGGTGGCTAAGACCGAGCGCTTGCAGCAACGCAAGAATGAACTGTCGTCTCCAAAGAAAAAAATCTTGTCTGCCTGGTCAGCAGTGGTGAAATGTGCAAATTCTGTTAATACTTTTTTTTCCAGCTTGTGAGCTGTGTTAGTTGCCTGCTTAGCCCCAATCTGAGCGGCAGTAGTAGAACGCATCAGGCGGAGCAGGATGCATCGATGGGGGCAAGTTTTGCAAGGCGAGAGGAGGTTCTTGACGGTTGGCAGGAGCTATGGTGGGGGATGGATTTACTGGCGTCCACGAAGGAACGTCCTCATGACCTGTTGCTGCGTGGCGTGAAGCTGATGCAGCCGCATGACGCTCTTGATCTGTCGGAAGGAGCATGTCGGAATTGAGTGGAGAGAAGGCGAGAGAAGAATGCAGGGAGAGGTGTGAATATTATTTACCTGCGAAGCTGTCGTACCAGAGCTTGACGTTGGCCTTGTGGTTGCGGCCGCGGTTGTGTCGCTGCCGGGCCTCCTGCGAGTCCTCGAACGACTTGTTGCAGTACGCGCACACGAAGCGCGGCTTGCCCATGGGTGATGCCCAAGCTCTGAACGGTTGTAAAACTATCGATGATAAGGGTTTGGATTGCTTCTTGAGGGTACCATCCATGCCCCACTCTTCAATCAGAATTGAATCTTGCGAATTGTTGTAGGTAAGCTTCTGCAACGTCGTTGTACGTTAGCACGAACTCGATAGAATAGCTGCTCTGTTCAATTAGGACGAAAAAGCGATTGAGATGTCGAGCACCTTAGAAACGACCGACCTCATGCTGCGCGATCATTGTTGCTGTAAGCAAATTCTTCAGGCATGGCTGTCGCAGCGGTCTTGATCCACCGATGTCACGTCTCGTTCGGCCGAGTCGGCAGCGACGTAGCCCACTCGCGAGCTGTCGCTGGCTTCACCAGACAGGATCGCTGCCGTGCCTGGGGGTCGAGGCTGACGATCCGATCATATTCTGTACGCTGGATTCGGCAAAGCCGATATTAGCAGCGCGCAGCGAGGCTGCGTCTGCGAACTTGTAGCCCGACGCCATCGACGCTTCCCATTGGTGCTGCAACGTCGTCCACTCGGTCGGCAACTTGTCAAGTTGGACCCTTCTGAGCGTTCAGCTAAGCCCTCAGCGTTTCCATCTCGCTAAGCAGCTGCCACATCGTGTCCAGCGTGGTGAAATTCTTCAGATTAGCCGACACTTTATTTTGCCACTCGCACACCATGGTGTGCGTGGCAAATATCTGGGTTTGAGTTGTGGCCAATTTGCGTTCCAATAGCGTCATGCGCTCCTGTAGACTGTCGGAGATTTGATCTACTACTATGGGTACATCTTGCGCGACCTGTGTCTGTTCTGTCACGCCGTCGTGGACGCCTGCAACTGTGACGCCCCTATGATCATTTCGCAATTGATTCGAAGCAACAATAAGTCCGAGAATTGCGACGGCGCAATCTCGCTCGCCTTGGTGCTGCTGCTCTCGCGCATCTCGTCTAGAAACTGCGCCTACGGCCGTCTTGGTAAATTCCAGACTGACAGAAACAACTTTTTCTTCGACCAGCATTCTCGTTGAAGGACCACGCATCACAGAGCAATTGTACCTTTAACTTGTAGGAGGCTGTAATGTACAAGTTTCAACCTTCCATTCACCGGTGCATTAGTTTCAACCCAAACTCAAGTGTAGGTGCCCGACAGCGTGATACTCGGGAAGAAGTAGGACGGCTCGCTGGTCTGCACAGCATTCACCAACACAGCCACAACAACAACGACTTCAACACTCCGACCGCCCAAAGTACCTTGTCAAGCCTCAGCGTCGTACCTGCTCGTCCAGCCACGTCATGCCCTCGCGCAGCAGCACATTGAGCGCCAGCATACTGCGCTTCTTGTCCCACTGCAGCTCGCGCGCCAGGATGCTGACGTTCACCATGCCGCCCGTCGTCTGCGCCAGCGCCAAGATCGTCGAGTGGTCCTGACTCAGCACCACTGGCACCGTCACAATCTAAAGCACAACAGCAGGTCAGGTAAACTTCTAGCCATCTCCCTCCTCCTCCTCAATGTTCCGCACCATGGTCCGCTCCTCCATGTCAATCAGCTGGAAGCCTTCGCCCAGCACGCTGAGCTTCTTGACCGCGCGCTTGACGTCGTCGTCCGTGACCGTCTGCATGGCGGGGCCGCGCTTCTTGCCCAGCAGCCTCAGCAGGTCGCTCATGCCAATGAGCCCGCCGTTCTTGGGCCTCGTGAGGATGCCCACCTCGATGATCTGCACCGCCAGCTCGTAGTAGAAGTCGCCCACGTCCAGCAGCTCGGACCAGAAGCCCTTCTTGGAGGCCAGCGGGTCCACGCCGATCTTGGCGCACATGACCTGGAACTTGCGCCGGAAGTCCGGGTCCTTCTTGATGCTGCTCTTGTGCTGGATGGCGAAGGCCTGCAGGTTCGCGCGGAACAGCTCCAGCTGCGACGCCACGTGCGACAGGTTGGCCTCCACGAGCTGCTCGCCCACCTCCGAGAACTGCTTGGCCTGCTCCTGCTTCTTGCGCACGGCGCCGATGCCCACGCCGCGCCGCCGCATCCTGCCTGGGCTATATAATATAGGTCAGGATGACCAGGATTGATGCTTTCTTTAGTCAGCGCTCATTGGCAGATACGAAGTTTTCGCCGCCACGTTTTTGGCGAATGGTGGCCTGTTTCGTGGCTATGGAGACCCCCCTTTTCGCCCAATGAGTATGCCGCGGCCCCCGGGTTTTTTCTTCCGTTGTCGCTCCCCGTTCACTTCGCGGTTTGCGGTCATCGAAGCAGCGGAAACGCCCCCAAACTCACTCACTCACACAGCTACTAGCAGCAGTATGTTCGTCTTCGACTGGTTCTACAACGTGCTGGGCTACCTCGGTGCGTGTCATGTTCTCCATCAGCGTCAGGTGCAGGAGCTGGAGCTGGCGGGGGGATCTGGGCGCGCGGCAGGAGGCTCTGGCGGCCTCGATCCATCCCGCCAGCGACAAATCCCCGCGCTTGCATCTCCTTCTCTTGAAATGGGTGCAATTTCTGCCGGATTTCTAATATTGGATTATTTTAATTGTTTATTGATTGCAGGCCTGTACCACAAGAATGCCAAGATCCTGTTCCTGGGTCTGGACAACGCCGGCAAGACCACCCTCCTGCACATGCTCAAGGACGACCGCGTCGCCGTCCACGAGCCCACGCTCCACCCCAGTACGTGGCTGGACATTGGCGGACAGGAACCGACCTAATGGGGTATTGATGTCTAACGGGTATGTTGTGGTTCTATTGCCGCAGACTCTGAGGAGCTGATCATTGGCAAGCTGCGTCTGCGCACCTTCGACCTGGGCGGCCACGAGACTGCGCGCCGGCTGTGGCGGGACTACTTCGCCACGGTGGACGGCGTGGTGTTCGTGGTGGACGCGCTGGACCGCGAGCGCTTCCCCGAGTCGAAGCGTGAGCTGGACACGCTGCTGGGCTACGACGAGCTGGCCAACGTGCCGTTCCTGGTGCTGGGCAACAAGATCGACGTGCCGCGCGCCGCGTCCGAGGAAGAGCTGCGCAGCGCGCTGGGCCTGTACGAGACGTTCGGCAAGGAGTCGTCCAGCGGCGACAAGGACGCCAGCATCCGCCCCATCGAGCTGTACATGTGCTCAGTGGTGCGCCGGATGGGTTACGCCGACGGCTTCCGCTGGATGGCCCAGTTCTTGTAGATGACGGATCGACCGGTGTCGCCGCCCCCCGCGCAGAGCGTGCCGGCGTATTAGCAGAGAAAGGAGAAGAGAAGGAAGAAGGAGCAGGTCAGGGAGAGAGAGAGAGAGGAGAGGAGGAATGGAATAAACGAACGCCACACAAAATCACTCGCTGCTGCTGCTGGCTCGAAAGCAGTTTCTCATCGTCCGTAAACGTAAACGTAGCACAGGACCGACACGTAAGTGAAGCCATCTATCATCAGATGCACGAGAAGACGACGCTGACGTAGCAGCAAGAAGGAGAAGAAGCTGGGCGCCGCGTCTCAGTCATCTCTTCGTCTTTGGTGTCATGGCCTCTTCCTTCCAGCCAGCCATGCTCATGCAGCTCGATGCAAACTGTATGACCAGAAACCTAAATCGGTCGAAGCGAAACCACCCACGTGCTTAGTCCTGTCGGCAGGTCCGACCGAGGGCGAGATGCCGCCGACCATGACGCCAAGATCGCGACGTCCCCGACCTGCTTCGGCTGCCGCGCTGTCGTTCAAAGGGCGGTCGGATGCCAAGCCCCAGACGATCGCCATGGACAGCATGATCCAGGCTGCGCACGAGCACCTGGCGGACGCGTTGCCTCGATCCTTCAGTCCGGGGCCCCGACGGAGACCGACGGACAACCAGGAAGAGCGAGATCGACTGAAGCAGGTCGAGGCTGCGAGGCTGGCGGACCACATGGACAGCTTCCCGTTGGTGCCATTGCCAGTTATCCCGCAGCTGAGCATCGCGGACCTGGAGAAGGTCGAGCGGGGACTCAACGAGCTGCTGGGGTCGTTGATGCCCCACGAAAGCGACCAGCAACTCGGTCGATACGCAGCGCGGCAGCTGTCGCTGGTGCAGCGCCAACTGACGCAGCAGCGAGCTCAGGAGCGGGTCTTTCAGTTGCTGCGTGGCGACCTGCCTGCGACTTTAGTGCCCATTGAGGCGGCCACGTTGAGGAAGAGCTCGTCGGCTGCAGCAGCGGTGAAGATCGGATCCTCTGTCGTCTCAAGCCCAGCTCCATGTGCTGTGTCGGACAACCAGAAAGGCCCACAGGTTGGAGCTACGCAGTCTCAACGTAGCAGTGGCGGCGGTGGTAGTGAAGCCGCGGGTTTGCGTTGGAAGAGCAAGAAGGCAGGTGTGGAGATGGCTCGAGCCATGGTTCAGGCCAACGCGGCCAAGAAGACGGCAGTGGTTTGTTCGACGGGCTTTGTGATATCGGCAGGAGGTAATGCGTCGAGGAAGCGGAGGAGGCCGCGCGTGCCAAAGCGCAGCCCTGAAGAAGAAGCTCGCTACCAGGTTGAGCAGTTAGAACGCGAGCGTGAGAATCGGCGACAAGCTGCGTATCAGCGGCTGCAAGTGAGACGAGAACTTCAGGCGAAGCGAAAGCAGGAGCACAAGCAGCAGAAGGAGAAAGACGAGCGTAAGGATCGAGTGGATGAGCTTGGAGGGAAGGAGAAGGACAGAAACGACAGTGAGAGCGAGGGTGAGAGTGAAACTAGCGACGTCAGCAACTGCTCTGAGAGCGACGAGGCGAACGAGAAGGCCATCCTCGCTCTAGAAGTGGAGATTCAAGCGCCACCGGAGGATGAAGAGGAAAGTCCAAGAAGTGAACGAGGTGACAGTCATCATAGTGATGAAGGAGGCGACGCGGAGAGCGCCGTACACAAAGACGACGAAGAAACTCGAGACAATGGCTCTCGAGTTGAAGATGAGCAGCCACAAGTTGATGAATGTAACTCGATAGACGATAGTGCGGTCGACGAGACCAGCGGGATAGTATCAGAGGACGAAAGTTTGGTGACAACGGCAATTGTGGAAGCTACGAGCATGGTTAGCTCGGAGGAGAGAGACAACGTCCCGAACGAAGGCGCCGGTGGAAAACAGTACGAGGAGCATGCAGTTGACGATAGCACTGACCAAGAAGGGTTTGCTCTGGATTTGCAGCGTTTCATCGGTTCAAGAGCAGCAACGAAGCTCGAACAACTGCAAGCAGAGAAAGAGGCACGGCGAAGTGCGCTGACCTCATCGATCGCCCCAGCTACGCCACTTGTCATGCCCGATTCAAGTTCTCGGAGCACGTCTGAGCTCGGCGACGGCACACCAGCAAATGAGTTTACCGAGAAACCTCACACTACACAAGTGCAAGCGGCAGAAGAGAATGGGAACGACTCGCTACTCGTAGAACGACGAGAGGTAGAATTGGATGATACCCGTGACAATGAACTACCAGTAGCTGCTCCAGAAGTTGATGGTCCTGTGGACGAGAAAACTGCGTCTTGGATCGATGAAGTCCGGCAGAGTGCTGAAGTATCAAGAGCGAAATCTCCCGAATTCGCAGACACTCGTCAGACTGCCACCCTCACTCTACCTCGCGCTCCTGTGGCCGAGTGCAAGGACTACCGGTTCTACTTCAGCAACTTCCAGTGCATCCTCACGTCCGTCTTCGAGCAATGCCGCAGCAGTTCGTCCAATACTTCTTCTGCGACTTCACTATATCATCGCCCCGTTGGCACTACGGGCGAGCACACGATGAGGCTCCAGCAGAAACTCTACGAAAGCTGGCAGAGCATCATGCAGGACTACGCGACAGTGTTTGGCCCCAAGATCGTCGCTCCAGAAGGGATGGTACCTCTAGCAGCCGCGAAGCCCTGGGCGCCGCACTATCGCATCAACTCAACAGCTCGGAAAGAGGTATCAGAGATCGTCACCCAAGCTTTAGAGCGCTTAGGCGGAGGCTGGGAGGAACATCCGTCGGGTCTCGGTCTAAAAACTACGTGGAACCTGCTGTGGACGTGGAGTAAGCCCCGCGTGGAGCGTCAGACGCTGCTAGCATGGCAGAAGGTGAACCACTTCCAGCATGCGAAGGCTCTCACGCGCAAGGACTGTCTGAAGAAGCACATCGGGAAGTACCTCGCTGCTGGTGGACGTCTCCGCCAAGCTTTTGACATCATCCCGCCGACCTTCTTACTGCCAAAAGAGTACGTCGCCTTCGTACAAGCCTTCCAAGAGCGCAGCGAGCGACTGCGACGCAGTGGGTTGTCCGAAGCCAAGAACATTTGGATCATGAAGCCCGTCGCGCTCTCGCGTGGGCGTGGAATCTCGCTCGTGAACGATCTGAGCCAGGTGATCTACGGGGAGCAGGTGGTGATCCAGGAGTACATTGCAGCGCCAAGGTTGCTGGACGGCTTCAAGTTCGATCTGCGTCTGTACGTGCTCGTGACGTCCTTCAATCCGCTCGAAGCTTTCCTCTACGACGAGGGCTTTGTGCGACTGTGCACTCGACCGTATGAGGACAGCGACATCAGCAACATCTTCGTTCATCTGACCAACAGCAGCATCCAGAAGGACAACGAGGAGGCCATCGCTGGCAGCGCCAACCCGATAGCTAGTGCCAACAACCACAAAGAAGGAGACGAAGCAGCTCAGAAAGATGCCGGAGGGACCAAGACGACGTTGGCGTATCTCTGGCGGAGACTCGCAGCTGATGGCGTTGACGTCGAGCAGGTGAAGCGCAGTATTGAGGACGTGGTCTTGAAGGCGCTGCTGTGTGGGGAGGACCAGATCCCGTTCCAAGTCAACAGCTTCGACCTGCTGGGCTACGACATCCTCCTGGACGCCGACCTGCGTCCGTGGCTCATCGAGATCAACTCGTCTCCTTCCATGGCGCGCGACAACGACCTGGACTACCAGGTGAAGGACGCCATGATGCTGGACACGCTGCGTGTCGTGGACCCATTGCACTTCGACCGCGCGAAACTGGCCGAGGTCATCGCCCGACGGCAGCGCGATCTAGAGGACGAGAAGCGACGACCGCATGCTCACACGCGCCACCCTCGCGAGGCGGAGGAACTGGCAGCTCGTCAGCTGAATGAAGACCTCACCGCCATTCTGAGGGGGAAGGTGCCTCGGGCGTACGGAGAAAAGCCCGAAAACATGGGCAGCTACCGGAGACTGTGTCCACACACCACCGGCTACAACCAACTTGTGAAGCTCAAGCGGAGCTGCTTGTGAGGCGGAGACCGCAAGGCATAGTAATGTAAACTCTGAAATAAGCTTGAAGGCTGGTTAGCCTTATCACGATAAAAATGGCGAACGGTGCTGCCTGAAGGAAGCACGCGATGGAATGCAGGCCTCTCGCTTTATTTAGCGAGGGACAGCCGTGGTGGGAGGCGGCAGACTTCATTCGAGCACCAAGCAGCTTCATTAGGCGAAGTGGTTGGCCATGGCGTCTACTGCGGGTGTTCCGACAAGTCCTGGAGCGTCTTCGCTCGCGATCGCGGCCACGTCTCCACCTCCGTCGCCTACCAAGTCCAAGCTGCTGCCCAGTACACCCAGCATTGCCGACATTCTGGCTCATGACGGCACCGTGGACGTTCGACGGCTCATGATCTCCATGTGGAAACGCCGCGCCAACGCGCCGTTCACGGCGGAACTTTGCCAGCGACTGTGCTCGATGCCCGTCACTCGAGCGATGCTGGACCAGGTAGAGTTCTACCTGCCTCAATTGGCGCACATGGTGGTGCATCTAGAGCAGGAGCTTCCCATGGAGGATATGGAACAGTTTGTGCTGCTGCTGTCGCAGAGCAGCGTGCACTTCGCGTTGCAGTTCTTCTGGATGATTTACGCCGCGCTGGACGAGAATCGACCCAAGCGTACAGGCAACAACCCGCGCACATTCGCCCGTTGTGCGCGTCTGCTGCTTGCTCTCGAGCAGTGCTTCGTGTACGGATCCCCGGCGGCACGTCAAGCCTCGGAGCTGTTGACGCGCCAAAGCATCTCAAGAGACGAGATGGAGCAGATTCTCATGGCGGATCGCCGCTTCTTCGCGGTTCAACAGAGCAACACGGACAATGGCAACGGCGTTGAGGATGTCGCTCCGATGACAGGCGGCTGGCTGCTGAAGAAAGGAGGCGGCACGCGGACAATGGGCCGCCGCAACTGGACTCTGCGCTGGTGTAGACTTGAGAAGCGCATCTTGCTGGTCTTCTCCAAGCCCACGGACACTCAACCGCGCTCTGCCATCCCGTTGCACGGAGCCAAAGTGCATGTGGTGGAGAACAAACGCCCATACTACTTCGAGATCACGCACGACTTCAGCGAGACCAAGGCCAAGTTTGCTGCGAAGACGGCGGATGAGTTGTCCACGTGGGTGGCGTACATTCAAAAGACCGCGACACTACCAGAACCCCCCGCTGGAAGCCCAACCAAGGGCAATAGCAGCCCCGAACGCACATTGGCACGGATGTCATTCGCCATGCGAACGTTCATCATGCAATCGTCTACTAACGTAAACAGCAACGCCACTCTGGCTGTCGATGGCACTGCATCTCCTCGAAGTGGGTCGCCTTCAAAGACGGATAGTACCGTTCGCTCAGCGGAAGCTACAGCCGACGCGCTAGCTGTGAATATTGAGCAGATGCGGACGCGTATGCTCAGTAGCGGGGCTGTGAGTGCGTGCTCGACCCATGCGGGCGACACCGAGGTGAGCCAGGCCTCAACGACAGACTGCTGCGGCTCGGACGCGCTCATGCAAGCTCTCATGATGCCAGACCAGCAGCGCCGATACGAGTTCTTCTGCAGCATGATCCACTTCGTTAAGTCCATTACTGACATTTCGGAGGCATTGCGTCGTGTTGAACCCCTCAAACGGAAAGAGCTACTGAGGCCACTGCTGAAGCAGCTTCGAATCCCGAATCGGGCTTACATCCCGCTATGCAAGTCGACTGATGTACGTATTCCTCTTTCACTAGCACTGAATTATCACTCAGAAATGATTCACGCGATGGTGCTTTGATTCGATTAGCCATACTGCAACGTTGTGTCGGTATTCAGCGATGAAGGCCGCGTCTTCAGCACCCACGTAAGTTATCTTCACGTTGGCTTTGTCGTGATGACACCCTCCGTTCCTAACCCATAAAATTCCATCAGGAACGAGCGCCGTGCTTGATCTACTTCGGCACCGAAGAGAACGAGAATGGGGAAGACGTGTCCACCGTCCTATTCAACGAGCTCTACGAAACCCGGACAGGCTGCAGTGGCGACATCGACGAAGACGACGAGATCGCCACTACGTTTGATGAGCATGCTGCTGATATTGCGATGCCGTACAGACAAGTGAAATCCTCGTCTTCGTTCAAGACAAAACCATCCGCCAAGCAAATGTCGCCGTTTCTTCGTGAATTGCTTGCGGTATGCCCATTTCTTTATAATCACCTACTCTGATAGATTTTTATCAGACTAATGATAATTGTTCCGTTCGTGGTAGGACGAAGAACGGAAGCAGCGTCTGGAGAAGACGTTCGGGGAGCTGACCTTCACCAAAGCGGAGCGCCTGCAGGAAACTATTCAGTGTGCGAACCCAGACTGCTGGCGTCTGACGGGGTTGATGTCCAAGAGCTACGACGACTTGCGCCAGGAAGTTCTGGTGATGCAGCTCATTTCGTATTTCCAGCAGATTTTCGAGCTTGAGAAACTGCCGCTGCGACTGCATCCGTATCGGATCCTATCGACAGGATCAAGTACCGGTCTCATTGAAGTGGTGCGTAATGCCATGTCCCTTGATGGCATCAAGAAAACTCCAGGCTTCAAGAACCTCCGCAGTCACTTTGAGCAAATGTACGGTGGAGCGACAAATAACGCAGAAGGCAGTGGCGATGGGGCCGAATTGCTTCGTCAGGCCAAGCTCAACTTCATCCACAGCTTAGGTGCGTCACCTTGACTCAAATCTTAGTACCTCAAGGGCTCTGGTTGACGAGATTGGGTGTTGTTATGTATTTTGCAGCGGCGTACTCGATCGTGTGTTACATTCTCGCGATCAAGGATCGACACAATGGTAACATCATGCTGGACATCGAGGGCTACATCATTCATATCGACTTCGGCTTCTGTAAGTTTTCTAGTTCTCGTAGCCAGGCTTATACTCACACTGCATCTCATACTCACTGCCCCGTTACTTACTGTATTTAGTTCTGGGGCGGGCACCTGGAGGGAGCTTCAGCTTCGAGACTGCACCGTTCAAGCTGACTGCAGAGATGGTTGATGTTTTGGGTGGCCGCCACTCATCCAACTTCCAGTACTTCACCGATTTGTGCGTGCAAGGAGCCCTGGCCGCTCGAAAGCACGCGGAGACAATCTACGCACTGGTGGAAGTCATGAGCTACCACTCGAAGCTTCCGTGCTTCCTTGGAGGAGCGTCAGGGCCGCTTGCGGGGCTGAAAGACCGACTGTTCCTCAATATGCCCGAGAAGAAGGTCGCCCCAACCATCCAGAGCATGGTGCAGCGTGCCTATGACCACTTCGGCACCAACAAGTACGACCAGTTCCAGGTCTTCTCGAACGGAATCGCGAAATAGGGTGGAAAGGTTTATAACTTATGCGGCCAGCACAATACACAGAGCTAGCAGGGGCTGAGAGATGGAGATCTGATGCATGTCTTGCAATTTGGTCCAGTCAAAATAGCCCCACTTCAAGTTCGGTCTAAAATACAGTCCACCCAAAAATTACCTCGACAATATTCTACAACAGAGGGAGTCTTCCTGCCGAGTATTATGGCGACGACGGCCAAGGACGCGGTGCTGGCGCTGCAGCTCACGTGCCGGGGCGATGCCGCCAGGGAGAGCACTCTGCGCGACTGGGTAAAGTTCCTGGAGGGCCGCTGCGAGACGGCGCTGCTGCAGAGCCTGCCCAAGACGCCCACTGGCGCGGCCATCGACTGGCTCAAGCTGTACGAGGAGGTGGTGGCGCGCGGGGGCTTCGCGGTCGTCTCGCAGCGCCAGCAATGGGCGGAGATCCAGGGCGCCAACGGTCTCAACGTCAAGGGGCTGATGCCCTACCAGCTGGCGGCGCACTACGACAAGTACTTGCGCGCGTTCGAGGAGAAGCAGCTCTTCGGCCGGGACCTCCCGCCGTCCCTGGCCACGATGAGCGTGCTGTCCTCCAAGCGCCGCGCGCAGCAGAGCGAGATGACGGACGACGACGCGCCCGTCGCCACGATGCAGGACCTTCACGACGCCCAGGGCGGCACGGGCGGGACCCCGTTGCCGCGCGCGAACAAGCGGTTCAAGGCCCAGCAGGAGCTCCAGACGCACCTCGGGTCGCTGCACAACATCGTGCTGGCGCTGGACTCGGACATCCCGGAGCAGGTTATGCAGGCGCTGAACCTGCTGACTGTTTTGTCGTACGGGGACAGCTCGGGCGATGCGAATGCGTCGCACCAGCACATGCACCACCACCATCAGACTGGGACGTCGGCCGCGACGAACGCCAATGCTACGGCGAACGAGAACGAGCTGCTGGTGGACAACGTGCCTGGACTGCTGGACGCGCTGTATCGGCAGTTGGTGGCGTGCAGGCTGCTGCCGAGTGAGAAGGAGCTGGAGCAGCAGCAGGCGAGAAGGAGGCTGCTGAATCTGACGGTGGAGGACGGAGAGCGTGAACTGCTTGACTCCCGCGCGCTCATGGTGCTGAACATTCTGCGTAACTTGGCTATCATCGGCGCAAACGAGAAGCCGATCGCCGCGCATGACGAGCTGTGCGTCTTCTTCATCATGGCGCTGCGGTACGTGAACAGCAGCGACGCGCGGAATTGCCGCGGTGGACGCTCTCGCGCGGCGGTGGATATTGGGGATCATGTGCTCGACACGCTGTGCGCTATCTCGAAGCGCATCGATTTCCTTGCGCTCCACCCGCCCGCTGCTCTCGAGGTTTGGCACCCACAGTACCAGTTGAGTTCTCAACTGTGGAAGAAGGAGCGCGTGGTCCCGTTGGAGTGCCTGTTGCGCGAGCTGCGCCGCATTCTCGTTGGCCGCGAACTCAAGCAGCAGCGGCGGTCCGTGGTGCTCCGCGCGTGTGAATTGCTCACTAACGTGTGCCGTGATGTTGGTATCAAGAAGTATCTATCGTCGAGTGCTGCTCTTCAAGATCCGGCTTTGCTGGACCGCGTCGTGGGGCTGATGGGCTGCTCCCGGCAGGAGTTTCTACCTCGCGGATCAAAGCACAAGCAACAGCAGCAAGCGCATGGATTCCCGGCAGAGGCAAACTATGACATGGATGCAGAGGACTCGGAGGACTCCGAAGACGACGAGACGGACGGAGACGACAACAGCAGGTGGCCTGCACCATGGGAAAACGACGGTCTGCCGTCCGGTATCGGCATGGGTGTTGTGTTCGTCAGCCCGGAGGGTGTTCGCCACACCACATCATCACCGCACGTCGGTGGAACTCATGCAGCACACTCCGTGCAGTTTGGCGACGAAGCGATTCAACTGGACCACGAAATGCGTGATGCTGCGTTGGAGGTGCTCTTCCGCCTGTCAGACTACGACGACGCCACCAAGCTTCGAATGGCGCAGCACCCGACATGCATGAGGCGGCTAGCAGGCGCTCTTCTCTCCTGCGTCGGAAGGGTAAGTGCATTTATCCCACACCTCCTGCTCTTGGCAAAACCCTGCAACTTCTAACCTCTCCAATGTGTTTTTCCAACCAGCCCGAAGCCTCTCGGATCATCGTGGCCACACTGTGCAACATCTCGATGAACCGCGCAACGTTCCCGTACTTCCTGGCGATCGAGAAGGACCTGATCCTGGTCGCGTGCTCCGACGTCAGCGTCTCGGATATCCTCAACAACGTCGTCGCCGACGTCTACGGCATGCACTCCCTGTAAACCAGCACTACACACGACCAAAACCCCAAAACTCCTGAACATTTTTGCCACCGACACCACCACCCTGTTGTTACTCTTCCTCCTCCTGTTACTACGCCCACAAGGCGTCAGCCCCGACAGCACCCCGAGAACTCTATGAAACACGTCCTCCCTCTCTCTCTCCTGCACTGCTCTTGTCTCTCTTGTGTCTTAGAAGCCCAGACCCACGAGCCACTTGCGGATGTCGCTGGCGTGGTCGCCCACGACCTCCAGGCGGCCGGGGCGCACCACCACCTCCTTGCCCTGGCACACCTTGGACATCTCGTCGCGCAGCTCCTGCTCGTCGCCCTTGTAGCGGCGCAGGATGGTCAGCACGCGCGTGCGGCCGTTCCGGAAGTCCCTGTACACTGGCAGCTGCATGCCCACGGCCGTGCGCTTGACCTGGAAGGGCAGGCCGGGCAGCGGCGCCTCCGGGGCCGGGGACCAGCCGTTGAAGCTCACCTTCTCGGGCACGTAGGTCGGCTCGTACTTGAGCGGCGGCACGACCACCTCCTCCTGCGGCTGTCGCTGCAGCGCGCGCAGGTTGGCCGGGTGGCGCGCCTTGCGCCGGATCTGGCGGTTGCTGGCCACGCGCTCCACGGCGTTGACGCTGGCGATCACTCGGCGCTGGAACATGGCGTGCGGCTGGCTGGAGCTCTTCGTCGATGCTCGTAGCCGCTCGATTGGCGCCGGCCGATGAGCGCGGATTGGCGGAAAATAAGAGACCGCGCTGCGGCAACATTTGGGTTCAGGCGACATTCGTGCGACAAACGATAGAAGTTAAATTAGCGCGTCAACATATTGTACAGCTGCAGTCAGTTTTGCATCCCGAATTGTAGCCAATGAGAATCTTATATTGGACGATTTATATCTGGGCTTCAACATGGGTGACGACGACCCAAAGGATCTTCCTGATGGCGTGCAAGTGGCGAAAGAACCCGGATCCCGCCAAGTACGAGGCGAAGAAGCCAAAGCGGAAGCAGGGGAAGAAGCCGCGCGAGTTCAGGTGTGCGTGCGGCGCCACCTTCCCGGCGAAAGGACCGAGAAACAGGCACCGAGAGGGCTGCAAGGCCCGCGATCTGGAGGACATGTTGAGATCCATGACGAGGCCAGGGAAAGAGTGCGACGAGTGCGACAGACTCTACTCGATGAACGACTTTCTGTACCGAGACAGGAACCTCATTCTCACCGACGACTGCACCATCATCTGCTCGGACTGTGCCGAAGCAGGCGATTACGACCCTGCGGAATTGGAGCCGGAGATCCTACCTGGAGAAATCGAAGAGTACCTGGTGGTTCGACGCACCGTGGATCCATTCCCGTGGCTCAAGAAGCGCCGAGAGAACTTGTGTAAGGAGCTGGTGGAGGAGATGTACAAGCCCGAGCGTATTCTGAAGTGGCTTGAGAGCGGGCGTGACTTGAAGGCGTATCTGAATTAGGCCCCGCTTCGCTGAACTTTACCGTTTCTGAATTAGTTGCTGATCAATCCACGTTCATCGTTAACGCACTTGGGTCACATTTTATAGCCTACATGATATTTTACTGATCGCGAATCAATCTGATTGTTCGTCGTGGTGGTGGTTGCATGGATCATGAAGACGGTAGCTCTACAGTAATCCGTTCAAGCAAGAAACTCGAAAAGAGGAAAGTCAGCTTCCAGGTTTTCTTCAAACAACTCGGTCTTCTGTATCAGGGTCGATTGACTCCAGCTTAGCCGCGAGACGACGGGCAGCTATTGCGAGTTACACCGCTGTAGCACTGGACTGTAGGTCGGCACCGCGAAAATAGTCTTCACTTCAACTTCGGACTAAAATATAGTCCCTCCATTTGTCTTCACACAATTCCACCCATTTTTTCCATCTCAAAACCCCATGAGCAGCAGCGGCGAGCTCCCACGCGCGCTCACGGCGGTCGGCACCCTCGGCGACGTGGGCGCGGCGTACGCCGTGTACGAGAAGAACTGGGTGTGCGCGGACTGCAGCCACGAGAACTACGCGCGGCGCAAGCGCTGCTTCCGCTGCCGCGCGCCCAAAGTGGAGCGCCCCGACGCGCTGGTGGTGGACAGCGCCGGCGACCAGCACGCGTGGCGCGAGGCGCTGGACCCGGTGTCCAACAAGATCTACTACTACAACACGCAGACCAACGCGACGCAGTGGGAGCGGCCCGCCGAGATGGGCGCGGCGCCGCACGCCACGGGCTGGTTCGGGCGCGGCAAGGCCGGCGCGGAGGAGGGCGACCGCTACGAGCGGCTCAACGCCGTGTTCCTGAGCCGCCCGGCGCGCAAGCAGCTGGACGCCATGCCCACGGCCAACTCGCAGCTGGAGGGCGCGTACGAGTACAACATTTGGTACGACAAGTACGTCGGGGACCACTGGAGCGACGCGCGCGGCAAGGAGCCGGCCACCACGCGCTGCCACCTCGAGCAGGACGCCGGCAAGACCAAGGCCGACGTGGTGAGCAAGGCCAACCGCTACTTCTGCGTGCACTTCGCGCGCGGCATGTGCGCGCGCGGCGCCGAGTGCAGCTACTACCACCGCCTGCCGTCCGCGGCGGACGAGACGCGCATCGGCATGATGCACGACTGCTTCGGCCGCGAGCGCCACGCCACGGACAGAGACGACATGGCTGGTGTCGGCAACTTCACGCGCAACTCGAGGACGCTCTACGTGGGGGGACTGAAGAGCGCCAGCGGGCGGGAGGCCGTCAAGGAGCAGGAGGACGCGCTCTATAAGCAGTTCGGCGAGTGGGGCGAGGTGGAGAACATCAACGTGATCCACCGCAAGTCCATCTGCTTTGTGCGGTACCGTCACCGCACTAGCGCCGAGTTCGCCAAGGAAGCCATGACCAATCAGGCGCTGCAGAGTGACGAGGTGCTCAATGTACGCTGGGCGTTCGACGACCCGAACCCCGTCGCCAAGCAGGCCGGCGAGCGCGCAGACAGAGACGCTATTGTTGCAATGATGCAGGCAAAGGGCGCAACGACCGGGGAAGACGCAGCGTTCGACTACCCCGAGCAGTACCAGATGCCGGCGACCAAGCGCCAGCGGATCGAAGGCGACACGGTGGCGTCATACCCCGACACGGACACGCATTTCGTCGCCGGTAAGGACTCTGCTACTGCATCGGAAGACGCTCTGTATGCACAGCTGAGCTACGCCGACCCTAATGGAGAAGTCTCGACGGACCAGCCAGAGGGAGACGCAGACAACCAGGAGTAGAGAACCAGCTATTATAGTGGCAAAAATCTTTCTTTACTTGCGAATAGATGTTAGTGAACTGGCTAAGGATCGAAGTAGCGATACACCGGTTTTGGTGGTGACGGGGTAGCTTGATGTTGCATTTTGTCGGCTTCGCGTCCGCCCAGCAGTGGCTGCACTAACGATACGCTCAGGCCTCTTTCTTCGTTTGGTAGTCCGTTTTCAAGACGTGATATACCGGTGTCCTGACCTGCCTCCAGCTCATTGTTATCCTTTGACCCACAGAGCCCCCAGTCTGCGTCGAAGCACCCCGTTGCAACACCCGCAAACAACAGCAGCACGAAGAAGAACCACCACGTCGCTCTCAAGCCTGTCGGGTCCGTGTTGCAGATCTCCTTCCCATTGGAGCCGATCCAGCAATCTGCAGCTGCGACTTGAGCTTGACACCAAATGGAGCACTGGACGACAACCACCACCGTGCGAACAACGCGGATGCAATGTCGTCGCCGCATGAATATCGCTGGGCCAGGTTGACTAGGGTGTGACCTTTCAGAAGATATCGTGCCCGAGCGCGACTATTCCAACAGCTCAGTCGCGGCAAGCAGTGGGAGGTACCATCGCTCCCTGGATCATGGCGATATTATAGTATAGCTCGCTGCGCGGAGGCCGCTGGGCCTGTGTTTCGTAGCTGCAGAGCGTTTTCGCCGAATCTACAGCATAAGTGTCCATACTTACATGGTACCGGTACCGATAGCTGGTATCCAACGAAACTACAGTATTAGTGCTCAAGAGGAAACCGCGGCCTTTACTGGGTTTCTTTTGTACTTTTAGCCATGAGAATCCCGCTTGAGCTACGCATTATTATCTCCGCGGATAACCGTGTTGCTGCTCCTGTCCTAGTTCTGGTTTACCACTTACACAAATTATTCTCGGTCAACTCAGTTGACTCAACTGATCAAGTACCAATATGGTACGCCGGTATTGGAATGGACTTCGTACAGCAAAAACTGCCTTGTATTTTTTCTACTTTGAATAAGGAATTCATGTACCAAAGGGGTAAGAAAAGAAAACGAGAAAAGTTGCTAAACAGTTCTTTTTAGTTCTTTCAAAATTTCTTCAGCGCCGTCTTACGACCCATTCTGAAAAAATCGTAAGTGTACATTATAGGAATGGTCCATTCCTGAGTGGACACTTTTAAGTAAAAAGGCTACAGTACAGTGCTTTATACAGTACAGTACATGTGCGTTGGACACCAGCGGTGTTGGTGTACAATGCAGTCTTTACGATTCACGTACACGACATGTAGAGGCTCGCACCTTACGTAAGTTCGTGCATGTAGCCACGCTCGGTACGCGCGTAGATTCGCGCTTCCCAGAGCCTTGCGTTTGTTGCCACGTCTAACAGGTACCTCCGAGTTCCTGGGAGGTACACTTGTGACCGCTGTGCGAAGTGAGAGACTCAGCAATAGAGCAGAGTCTCTGCTCCATTGTTGCGTCCATCGGTTGTAAGCAAGCGAGGCTTACACCGCGCGTGCCGGGTGCCTATCACAACGAAACCCGCCAGTAAAATGGGCTGGCCCTCATGACTCAGAGCGCGTGGCAAGTCTGTGGACCAGCTCTCTTCGTGCAAAATACGTTCAGGAACGCTTGCAGAAACGAGTTCACTAGGGACGTGTACACAGTATAATACGGTCAGTATTATGGTACACGTGCTGAATGCCATTTGGCAACCTGTAATACGCGGCAACACCAGGCTCCACCACAGGCAGGCAACACGTTCCCATCCAAACTCGTACATTATTTTTCATTTCGAGAATTAATTAAAGAAATATGCAAATACTACTCTTTAGTGGTGGAGGGTGCGCGCGAGTGCCAACTGGCTGGAATGAGTCGGTCGCCTCGGTGGTGCGAACAGCGAATGGGTCGTTTTCCGTGCACCCTGTGTACGTGCACGGACATAGCCCCGAAAACATTATCTGGGGATTGTGAGCCAGCCACAGACAGCGATACGTCAAACAAGACAAAAGAATGCTCGAGAATCCAAGTCGGATGCGAGCGCCGATCCGAGGCAATGAGTGTCCGTGTATGTCCGGACTGCGCTTCAATTTATTAGGTGACATACATGGCCTGGGTGTGATCTGTGGATAGCAGTCTGCCAGCGGTCAGCTCAGGCTGGCAGCCAGTGACCCCGTGTCAACGAATCCATTCCGTATCTGACCCAAGGTCACTTCGCATTTTGCCTTCTACTACGAGCATCTCCAAAACCAGCCACACCGCCAGTTTGCTCAAGAATGTCGCGCACGCTCCAAGTCCTTTTGGTCGTCATGGTCGCTCTGCTGGCAAGCTGCAACGCTGACATCGCCACCAAGAACCAGTTCACCATCGCCACGACCAACGCTGCTGCCACGACCAAGGCGCTCCAGAAGTTCTTCGCCGAGGACAGCAAGCAGAACAAGAAGAACGGCTACCTCATGGTCCTGAGCGGCTCCGCGGCTGCGGACGAAGAGCGCGTCAGTGCGGGTGCCATCGCGGCCGCTGAGGGCGCTCGTGCTGGCGCTGGAACCACCGTGGTCTCGAGCACCTCTGGAACGACCAAGACTGTTACGGTGACCATCTACAACAACAACGGCCTGTGGCAGCGCTTCCAGCGCTGGTGGAACAGCCTGTTCGCCCGCCGCCGCCTTCGCCATGCCAGCAACTGAGAGGGGGACCAGCGTCACTGAAGACACTGCACCGTCGACTGCAGACTTCAGGACTATTAGATAGCTCCAGTTATTATTAAGTAAGAGACCGCAAAAACGGTAGTACATTTTCATTTTTTTCCCCACAAGAACTCCTTAGCTTTGAAACCGAGCTTTTGTAGCTATTGTATGCAACCTCAAGTCGACGAAAACTTCTTTTTTCGTGTCCGACTCAAATGATACATGCACCGGTACCAACAGTGGTCTTCCTGGCAGGAAGTTCCTGTAAAAGCTAATCCAAACCTGCGATACAATGATACTGTACGTCTTCAGCATTGAGCTTGAAGTGGTATTAATAAAACCGAAAAGAAAGTTTCCCTTCCCGCTGCAGTTTAGTATGCCCAAAGGATTGCTAAACCGACAAAGCTGTACTACTGTCAGTACCAGCGAGATGCAGTAAAAAGTCTTCTCAAACGCGTCACCGGTTCGGAACACACAACAGCGTTTATGAAAAATGTTCTACCGTTCATTACGTTTTATCACAATTGTAGCTTATCGAAGTCGGCGAGTGGAACTCGACTTAATGTTGAACAGTCGGTCCCACCACCGCTGGAAGCGCTGCCACAGTCCGTTGTTGTTGTAGATGGTCACCGTGACCGTTTGGCTTGAGCCAGTGCCACTTGACACCACCGTGGTGCCAGCTCCAGCACGAGGTCCTTGACCGGACGCGATGGCACCCGCACCGCGCTCTTCATTGTCCGCCGACGAGTCGTTCAGGACCTTGAAGTAGCCGCTGTTCTTGTTCTGCTTGGCGTCCTCGACGAAGAACTTCTGGAGAGCCTTGGTCGTGGCGGTGGCGTTGGTCGTTGCGATAGTGATTTGGCTCTTGCTGGCGGGGGCAGCGCCATTGCAGCTCGCCATTAGAGCCGCCAGGACCACGAGAAGCACTTGGAGAAGACGCATCTTTATGAAGAAGAGTGCAGGGAGACGAGTGTCGAAGTGGTTGGAGGCAAATTGCAAAGTGGTTTGTGGATGCCAACAACGGAGGAGGAAGAGGACAGGAGATGTAGAGATACGAAACCCTTCACCGAAAAAGGGGTGGCAAGGAGCGTGTCATGAACAGAGCAGGTTAGGTTAGGTGGGTTATCCGCACATCAAAGCTTATCTGCAGATCATAAGTAGACGTTGAAGGCGTCAAATGGATAAAATGGCCAATGAATGGTTGAAGCAAAACCCGGTCACGGTACATGTACACGCGGGGGGGGGGGATCAGTTTTGCTATCACGACTTTTGGGGTTTTGGCGCCTAGTTTGCCGGCTCATGGCTGGTTCACCTCATCTCTTAGTCTAAGAGTCTTAGATTGCAGCTACTTGCACAGCAGGCAAAAGACCAATGCAGGGTGCTTCCAGCCAGTGCTTCCTGGGTACCAATGGTTTGATTGCATGCAAGTAGTGCTCGCAACGATCTTTAACGAGCCATTCCGGCTATCGTGTAGCGTTGGTTGTTGGCGAGACCAATGCTTCTGTGGCGTAAACCTCCACCGGTAGAACTTTTCGTTGGTACGTATTTTGTACCGGAAAAGCTCGTTCCAAGTCTTGTCGATGACGAGGCGGCATGGGAAGCAATTCTGCATGCATCCCGCACCGGCGGATTTGTCCTGTGATAGGCAACCTTGAGGGTTACCCGAAGCACGTCGATTCGTGTCGTGAATCATGGCCGTGAAGGCGAAGGCGCCGTCTGCTTCAAGCAAGCACGTGAATGGGGACAGAGCCCACACGCCGAGTTCTTGGAGGAACCGTATGTACGCCTCAATGCACACATCGCCTCGCAATACTAAACGCTTCAACATTACCGTGCGCGGTACCAGTGCTATAGTTGCTTGCTCTCAATACATATAATACGACCCTTCCGTTTGGTTTAGCATGATAAAACTTCAACAAGACCTCTCCGCCTTGTGTCAATTGCCATCACCGCTATTTGTGATGCCTTTGTTTTGTAGATCGCCCACCTTCAGTTTCCGACTTGGCATGAAGCTTCGTTGCGCGTTGGTGGGTTTCAAAGACAAAGCTTTTGCCATTAATACCGAAAGATGTGAGGTGGTAGCTGAATTGATCAGGCTAGTCCGGGACGCGAATCCAACAACGCTCAGGTCGGTTGACTCAATGCGGATCGATTTGTTCAGCACAAAACAGGGAGACAAGTGGCTGCCGACTGACAGCGCGGGCGTGCGGGCGTTGGAAAGTGGCGCGATCCCAGATCTGGTGAAGAAAGTGATGGAGAACCGACCCATCGACCCCGCGACGACGTTGAAGAAGGTGTTTGGCGGTGCCAGATCGACGAGCGCAGTCCACATTCTAGTGCGTGTTCGCCACCCCCGAAAATTACATTCACGCCAATGGCAATATGGATGCCAAGTGCGGAGGCAACACACTCGACGTCCCAAGAATTTGTGCACTCTCTTGCTATCGATCCAAGGTATGGCGGCGCTCTCAAGGCGTACCAGGAAGTCGCCTACCGTCTAAAAGACGACCCCAAAGTACGAGAACTAGCTGATATACTGAGAGATATCCCCACTCATGAGCGATCGACGCCCTTTCCTGTGCTGGAGAGCTCCTCTGGCACGGGTAAGACGCAGATGGCGTTCAACTTGCAAGCCGCGGACCTGGAGATCTGGGGACGCAAGACGTGTACGCAGCCTACGAAAAACGATCGAGGGCTTTCCGACTATGCGTGAGGCAGTACATGGAAAACGTTGATGTTCTCGAGCTCCAATTGAACGTGAATCGGCACGTGTACACTTTTATTTCCGCACGCGGCGAAACCGAGTGCGGTGGGGAAATGTCAACGTGGCGCGCCGAGGTTGAGGAGATTCTCCAGACTCGCGAAGACAGTGGAGTCAAGCCCTGCATTGTTTTCATGGACGTGCAACGTGTTGTGAGCCCCACACGCTTGGGGTTTTGTCGCGACTGTGCTGATGCAGTCCGAAGTCCGTCTGGCCGTCAGTGTCCAAGCGTAAGACACTGCGCCGGTGCGTGCCCGACTGGCAGCACACCTATTTCATTTAGATGAACTAGCACGATGTAAGCCACCGACTAACTACAATACACGCTACTTTACGTGTACAACTTGAGTGCCGCTCGTACGCCTGCTCTAGCCACTCGGGTGTACGCCCACACGCGCCTACCCTACTCGTCGCAGCCGTCGAGAGACTTGGAAGCCACGTGCCTCCTAGTCCGTCACTCCGTTGCCGTACACGCCGCTGTAGCCGTCCACCGAGGTCGCCGTTAGCGTCCACCGCCGTTTGTCCACCTTCCGTCCGTCCGTCCGTTCGTCGCTTGAGTGCTCGCTGCCGAGAACGTGTTCGTTCGGCCTGTTCGCCAGCCGTCCAAACCAAAAGTCGTGCGGCTTGTTCGCTAGCCGCCGATTTCCAAAGTCAGCGGCTTGCTCGTTAGCCGTCAACTTCCAAAGTCAGCGGCTTGCTCGTTAGTCGTCAACTTCCAAAGTGAGCTCTGTCGGGGGGCTCGCAGAGCCCGGAGGTCTCGAGGTCTTCGGGGATCCCGTGCAGCAGATTCTGTCGACCACACGGCCGACCGGATTCTCGTTCCACGCTGGCGATGACTTCAACGCCGTCAGCTGCTGACGTCACGTCTGCCGCCTCACGCTCCGCCGAGACGCTCGCCTCCTTACAGACGAATTCGCCACAATTGGGTAGACATGGCGGAGTATATGAGGCTGAGTTCAAGTACAACGCCAAGTTGTATTCCGTGATGATTAATGTATTCCGCGCGCTTGGGACTACCGCTCGTTGTGAGTTCTACGAATGGAACCGCGCGTAGTCTTCTGGAGGAAGGCACGTTATGGAGTCTAGACGTATCAGCAATGCGACTAGGAATCGCACAAACTCGAGCGTGTACATTGATCCCGACTCTGCCTTCCATTGCTTTCGATGATGAGGCCATCAAGCAAGCGCGAGTGCCGGGAGAGATCAAGAATATCCTTCAGCACAGCAGACCTCTTTTTGAGGAGCTAGCGCTTGAATACATGGGAAGAAAGCACTACTTAGGAACCAATCGCGTTGCCCTACTCGAGTATTTGAGCGTGATGGTCGGTGAATTGGTGAAAGATTTCCAAAGAATGAAGAAGTTTGCACGACCCAAAGAGTTCGAATTGGGGCAGATTGGCTTGCTTCTCAACGCAAGCTACCCAACTAACGAAGGCTCGAATATGATCGATGGACATTATGCACAACTATTGGAGAAGGATTCGTTTGAGCTGTTACCATTCGGCGTGTATTTGCTACGAAATGAAGTCAAGCGGAAGCCTCGTTGTGCATTTCCACCGACACAGAGCGACATGCTGCTGCATTTGACATTGGTTGGAGGTCGCGATTTTGCCCCGCTTGAGCTGCCGCTGAGGAAGAGGGAGATGGAAAGCCCGTACGACCAAGTCTCGATCGACGTCACCGACTATCACCCACTCTACCGCCATGGTGAATTGGATACGGAGGCGCTGGTCACAGCTGCGGTTGTTCTTGCCAGTCACCGAGGAGGTTTTGGTGGAGTGACATTCCCAGCGCTTCTGTACGAAATGGAACTATCTATGCACGTCGCGCCACCCTGACTTTGAAAGCAAGCAGTTGGATCGCCTCGTGGTGCCTTTCCTGTCTCCACCTAACTCGAAGTGGCCGGATTGTTTTCTGAAAGATTAGGAGGGCAGTGGAGGGAAGTTTTCAAACTTGGTGCGCCACGTTCATGAACAACGAACAGTCCTTTTCGACTCAGAAGGTGTGGTAGCTGTTGGGTGCATGGATTGGAATCGAAAACCGTTGACTTCGGGGTTGAACAAGTACGCTTTGAAGGGTGTTGACGCAAAGGTCACCTGCTTTTTATCAGGCGCTCGGAACACTCGAAATCGATGCTAGTGGTTTATGCAGATATCTAGTCCCTTGAAGAAGAAAAATGAACTGGGCGATGCAGACGGCTACCGCATCTCGAAAAGACCTGGGATGACACGAGTCGGAGGCGAGCAGGTACAGCGTCCTGCATTATGTGGAACTCAGATCAAGAAGTCCAGCGAGGCACAAGCGATGAGGAAGCTGCTGCTTTTAATTGAACATGGATAATAATCATCTCCTTTGTTTTTATCTAACGCGGTGGAAGCGCCAGTTGTAAAATGTTGTTGTTGTTGTTTGTAAGTGTGGTTGCAAGCACCACGGGGTGGGAGGGGAATTGCAAGTCAATCCCTTGAAACGTTGTCACTTTCAAGCTTTCCGTTTGGAGGGTCCCGTTGTTCCACTGACAGGTAGTCAGCTCGTGGGATGTATTCAGAAACAGTGTTTCACAAAGTCCCCACTCATTCCTGAATTTGCCGTCTGCTAGAAACGATGGTGCTGCTGGTGCTTTCCTACGTTGTGGTGGGAGAAGACGGAGGCGCGATCTCTGTGAGATTCGACTCAAGCGACATCGTGAACCTCTTGAAGTAGAAGATCAATCAAGAGAATGAAGAAACCGCGCACCGACTACAGCTCTTCTTGGCGACAATGGAGAGTGAATGGTTGAAAGACGACGATCCTGTAGCGCTTGAGCTAATCGCAGGTGGGGAGAGTCGTGATGGCATTAAAGCAATGCTCAGTGGGCAGCAACCGATGGTGACCAGACCATTGAAGTATTGGCTCGACCAAAGCAACATGCCAGAGCCATCACCCAGTGGTCAAATTCACGTCCTGGTGAAAGTGCCGAGCAAGAGGCAGACAATTGAAGAAGCTCCGGATAGCTGGATGAGGGTCCTGTCAGAGGAACAAGTGGGCGTCCTACCATCGAATGATATGGCTCTTCGACTCCACTTCGAACGCGAACTTCGCGTGAAAATCCCCATTTTGCCTGGATTTCTCCAAACAATTATCGAGACTGACAAGCAGGCGCGATGCGCTGAGGTAATTCAGAAACTTTTTATTGAAAAAGACAGCGGCATCTCCGTGGAGACGATGGGGATTGTATGTGACGCGATTGCCCCGTTGATGCATGGCTAGGGGTCTGCAACCGAAGATACCTATCATTCATTCTGGGATACGCTTATCCTCAAACCACTGCGAGAAATTCTCCGAGGGGATTTCCGTCGTCACTCAAATGCGACGACTTCTACGCGCTCCTATCGTCCCGATCTGTGTTTTTATCTGGAGAACGTGTGTATTTTTCGAGGGGAAGAAGAATCGAGTGGTCCCATGCAAGTTCCAGTTCAAAAGCTATGCGAGAAGTTAACGTGGATATACGACAACGCGCCTTACGTCTTCGGGTATGCTGCAGTCGGGTATCAACTCAGTTTGGTAGTGATTAAAAAGTATAGCACTATCCAGAAGCCCCACGGTGCGACTGCAGAGGTGATCCAGCAATATGATTTGGGTCAGCTTCATGGCCGACTTTCGTTGTTACTGGCGTTGCTGAACTTGTCGACACTCTTCCGGCCAGTGGTGGAATTGATCGAACCCTTCAGTGAACCGGACTACGCTAATAGTGACTTGAGTAGTACGTTCTAATGAACACCACAGGTTGATCGTGTATTCAGTCCTTTAGTCCTCGTGGCCCGCAGACTTTACCGACGGGAACCACGGTACCAGCATGGACACACGCTGCTGGTACTCCTTGTACAGCGGGTACTTGGACGCCGTGATGTATTCCGTGAACGGAGCCGACCCCTGAAACAGCAGCGTCAACAGGATCGTTCCCAAGCTCGACGGGTTGAACAGAGGCTCCGACACCGCCACACTGAAGAGGTAGAACGCCCACCAGAGCGACATCTCGCCGAAGAAGTTGGGGTGGCGGCTGTAGCGGAAGAGTCCGCTGCGGTTGAATCCAGCCTTGTAGTCCCCCGTCAGAGGCTTCTTCTGTGCGATGAGCTCGTACTTCTTGCAATAGAATCGCCACTGCTGCTGGTCAGCGACGCTCTCAAGCACCAGCGGCAACAAGAACAACGCCGTAGCGACGCCGTCCACCGCGTTCAGCTCTTCGTGGCGGTGGAAGTACACGACGTACGACGGAACCGCCAACAGCATGAGCAGCACGTGCTGGTATCCTGCGATGAACACGAGGTTCAGCACCTCGAACAGCGTCCAGTGCATGTACTGGCGCACCACGGCCCAGCGGTAGTCCTCCTCGCTGAGCTTGTAGCCACCTTTGCGCCAGAAGTTGAACGTGAGTCGGACGCCCCAGAGCGTCGTCAACAGCGCCATGAGCAGCAGTCGCTGGTCCCAGACGCCGCCATCGGCCACGTGCGCGTGGACGGCGAAGTGCCAGGCGAACATCGGAGGCGTAATGGACCACAGCCGGTCGGTGAACGAGTAGTTGCGCGTCACAACACTGGCGAGCCACGTGAGAGCGACCAACACGAGCAGCAGCTGCAGCGCCACAGCGAACGCATTGGACGTTGAGTACGGGAGGACCTTGAGCTGCCAGGCGTCCGCCCAAGCGTCTTGAGCGTGGAGAGCGGCGCCTTCCCACGTGGTGAACGGCGTATTGATAGCGGTCGCCATGGTGGTGGGGACGGAGAGGAATGAGGAATGACCTCACGCTACAGCATATAAACGGTACGCAGTGAATCCTCTCCGGGTCCACTGGAGCCCTTTGCTCGTGACCAGACGTTGCCGACTGCAGCGTAATCGAGAGCATGGGCGTCTGCTTGATCCCCTGGGTGTGTGAACTCCACAATGTGAGTGACCTGCATCTGGAGGCGGCGGCTGCTTCATTGCCGCACATCTCGCGGAACTAACTCTCGTGTCGCACTGCGTTATGGCAAGTTTGAGGCTAAAGTGTTCTAGCATACTAGTACCAAGCTGCATCATTCCTGTTCATGCCTTGGTGATGCCTCAAATGGCTCCACGACATTCATTGCCCAAGCTCTTCAAGTCCTGCAAGTGCAAGCTGCACTCTTCAACTGCCGTTGACTTGAACAAACTAAACTCGAAATAGGTCCCCCCAAATCCTACAAAATAGGTCCTTCTTCTTCATTTTTCATGACACGCCTTTACAATCCGAGCGTACCCATTTTACAGTCGAAAACCGCCCATGTCACTCGCTCGAAGTGGCGGCGCGTTGGCGTCGATCACGCGGCTTGTACTGATCCTCTCGGCATGCACTCTTGCGCACGTAGCAGCCCAGATCGACGTCTTGTCGGACCCTGAAATTCCCGTTCTCCCGAGCTCCGTAGCGCCCACAGAAGCCCCCACCGCCGAGCCCAAAACTACGGATCCCTTCGGTATCGAGGCGAAACCCGCGCCTTCCGCCGAGCCCCTGCAACTTTCGAGCCTGGATTCCAGCACCGCAGGGTCCCAAGATGAAGTGGCGGCAGTGGTGACAGCTGCTGATGTGTCCATCGACCAGGTCGAGGAGCACCTCCACATCGTGCAGCAGCTCGAGCTGTCGGTGGGCAAAAGTCTGCAGGACATGGAGGCCGGCGACCAATTCGCGCGGTACACGCAGGCCCAGATCAGGGAGAGGCAGCGGCTCAAGGACGAGCTGCAGGCGGTGCGGAACAACCTCAAGAGACTCGCGCGGGGGCTCAACGGGACGCTGCTGGAGCTCGAACACGTGGAGCAGGAGGAGGTGCTGCAGTCCCAAAAGCTGAAGGAGGTGCTGGCCCACCAGGAGGAGGAGGAGCGAGAGCAGAAGCTCGAGAAGGACGGCATCAAGGAGATGGACTACGAGACGGGCCACCTCAAGAACACGACGGGGCTGAACGCCGAGCAGCTCAAGAAGCTGGAAGCCGTGGAGAAGAAGGCGGACCCCGCAGTGCTGCACTACGATATGGAGTTGCTGGCTCAAGTGGCGGTGCTGTTGGGTGTCTCGGCTATTGGAGGGATTATCGCTACGTACTTCAACATCCCGCCGCATGCGGGGTACGTGCTGGGAGGAGCGCTCGTGGGTCCGTCGTGTCTGGGAGTTGTGAGGCTTTACAAGGAGGTGGAGACCATCTCGCTGTTTGGTTCGGTGTTCTTGCTGTTTGGACATGGCGCGGCGTATTCCCCGCAGCAGCCGGAGGATATCTTCAGGAAGTACTTTGCTGGAGGTGTGGCGTATATCCTGTCGACGGTGCTGCTGGTTGCTGGGGTCGCAGTTTACATTGGCTGGACGAAGTCGTTCGTCGAGGGATTGAGTATCGGCCTTGGCGTGTGCTTTTCCACCACTGCGCCACTGTATGAACACATTCGGGAAAAGAGGATCCAAGACTCTTCCTTCGGTCGGGTACGTTCCAAACAGTAAGAGAGTTTTGCGGCTACATTCACGCACTAACTATGATATTTTCTGTGTAGACCGTAACATCGATTATTGCGATCCAGGACGTCCTGATGAGCTTCGCCCTGGGCACGCCTGAGTGGTTTTCGGTGCGTTCAGTTGGCTGGATCGGCGTGGCCATGTTGCGTACGATCGTGGCCTACGCTGTGGTCGTGAGCATGACGGTGTGTCTACACCAGTACGTCGTGCCGAAGCTGCTACGCTTCTTGACAGCCATGGAAGAGGTCCACAACGCTCCGCTCGTGCTACTGGGAGTGGTGTCTGTGTGCTTGTTCATGGCGCTCTTCTCCGAGATGATTGGACTTTCACTGGAGTGTGGCGCCTTCCTGGCTGGTCTAGCCTTCGTCCATGTATCGGGCAACGCAAAGGGAGCGTTCATGTCCATCCGCGTGATGGAAAACTTGTTCGGCAGCATGTTCTTCGCTTGCGTTGGCATGATCCTCCACCCGATGTTCCTGATCCGCAACGCTGGCGAGATCCTGTCGATGGTGCTGCTGATCGTGGCCATCAAGACGATATCCATGACCGGTGTGATGACCTTCTTTCGTATCAGTCCGCGCAAGGCGCTGATGGCCGCTGTTGGTCTGTGCCAGATCGGTGAGCTCGCTCTCATTTTCATGATCAAGGCGCATGCATCCAAGCTCGTCTCACGCCGGACCTACCTGCTGTTCGTGGCTGCGATCTCCGTCTTCCTCGCCTGCTCGTCCTTCTTCAACCGGAGGATCGTGCTGGCGCGACGGAAGTCAATCTATCGCCTGCCGTCGTCGATGCGAGGAAAGCCGATGGAGCGGCATCGGAATTCCAGCGATCTGCACGACATTCGGATCGAGACGCGACAGCACGCGAGCTCCAGTGGCGCCTACATGGACTCAGAGGGGGAAGAGGACGCGTTCTCACCGACTTCTAGGATGCGGCGCCAAACCTCGAAAGGATTCGGCCATTAAAGGACGAAAAGTAGTGCAGTGCTAGAAGGCAAGCATGCTGCTTCCATTAGATTGTCGATTACTACGCGGACTAATAATTAAAAAGCAAACTCATTCGTCCTGGTTGTTGGGGCTGGCGGCCGTCGCTTCCTTCGCTACGGTCTGGACATCTTCGTCGTCGACTTCCGGTCGACTGCTATGTTCATGTTCACGGCGGTTCGTTTTGTCGGCTTGTTGCTGGATCATTACACTTTGTTCATCGGACTGCATCTTGGACTCCTCCTCGGGTGGCGTCATGGGCACAAAAGGTTCCTGAACTCGGTCAGGCAGTTTGATCGGAGCTGGCGGCGGTGCAGATGTCGACTTCATCAGACGCGGAGGCTGGCGCTTGTCGCTCTGCTGAAGTGGCAGCGTCGCCTGCTGCAGTAAATACATGAAGCCATCGCGTACGCCTTCGTTCGGGAACTCGAGGTGGAGCTCGCGGAACCGAGTGCACACTGACAGCACGCACGCCGGGTCCACTGCGCGCTTGGAAGTATTGGGCAGGTTCATGGCGTGACCGGCGAAGAATGGGGCGTCGTCACCGTCAAGCATCTCTCGGATGTCGTGCAGCTTGATGGAGTCGTCCAGGCGATCCGGAGATGTAGCTGACGGGGTCACGGGCTGCTCCAGAGTCGCGCTTGGTGACCGCATGCGCAGCATCTTCGCTGCTGGAGGGGTTATGGGCGATGACGGGGTGCTGCCGGTCTGTCGAGTGGCAAAGTTGAGCGTGAATCCGCCGCTCGCAGTGCGCTCAGTCTTCGCACCCCGTTCCCGACGCAGCGAGCGCCACCACAGACGCTTCTCGTTAATAGCGTCGGAAGTGCTGCTACTCGAGCTGTCACAGGAATGGGGAGACGAAGCGTTAGCACTCTGTTCGGACTCCTCCGGGTCGGGCCTAGGCGTACCGGCGACACCACCAGCCGGGATTCTGTTTGCTTCGGGTTGCGCAGCGTGCAGATCCGGCTGGCTCGTCCCGTTGTTCTCCTTGCCGCCAATACCAAACAAACTCGTGAAGCTGCGCGCGTTCTGGTAGCGTAGCAAGCTGCGCTTGAGCAGCTTGGGCTGCCAGCTGAGAACTTTACCGTCAGTCGACAACCGCAGCTTGGTACGATGCGGGAGCCCATTGCGGCCGTACTTGACGGCTTCAAAGCCGCCCATAACCAGCTTCTTGCGGATCGCTGACGCTGCCTGCTGACGTCGCGTGAGGTCTGCAAGACGCCGACGCTCCTCGTTCTCTCGACGCAGACGCTCGAGCGTGATTCTACCCGCCTGGATCCACGGGTGACACCGCAGCACGGCCATCGACGGCCGCTCCTTCGGGTCGACATGCAGCATCTTGGAAATGAGTGTCTTGACGTCCGGGTGAATGGCAGCCCAGTCTTTAGAAGGGTAGCGCACATTGAACCGATGTGTTCGTAGCTGCGCGAGCTTCATGGGGAACGGGGGGTAGCCGCACAGCATGATGTACGTCACGACGCCGAGCGAGAACACGTCCACTTCGAGGCCGTACGAACGTCCGTCCAAGATCTCCGGAGCCGCGTAGCCTGGTGTACCGCACGAGTCCGAGGCCTGTTCCTCCTGGTGGTTGAGTTGTCGAGCGAAGCCGAAGTCGCAGAGCTTCACGTCGTCGCCAGACAGCAGCACGTTCTCGGGCTTGACGTCGCGATGGATGATGCTGTGCGTGTGGCAGTAGTGCAGCGCCTCCACGAGCGCAGCCGTGACCTTCTGCGCCTCGCGCTCGGGGAACTTGCCCTGCTTGACGATGCGGTCGAACAGGTCGCCGCCTTCCGCCAGTTCCGTGACCAGGTAGCACTTGGCGTCGTCCTCGATGACTTCGTACAGCCGCATGATGTTGACGTGGCTAACGCTCGACAGCACGCGCACCTCGTGCGAGAGCGCGGCGCGATCCACGTCCGAGAGACTCAACTTGTCCACGATCTTGCATGCGTAGAAGCCGCCCTTCTTGCGGTGCGTGACCTGCTTGACCGTCGAGTACGAGCCCTCGCCCAAGTGCCGGGTTATGGCGTAGTGCTGGTGGAAGTCGAGGAAGCTCTTCTCGCCCTTGCGGAACGTCACCTTGGGGACAGGCGACGCCGTGGGGGACGCGATCTGGACCCCCGCAGCAGCCATTGACGATCCAGAGCTCGTCGGGATGGCTGCACCCGACCGAGACCGAGACGAAGACGCAGTGCTGCTGTCGCTACTGCCGTCGCTACCGCATCGGGAGGTCCGAGGTCGAGTCGCGCCTTTCTCGGGGGCACTGCACGCCGGTGAGAAGATCGTCGACGCCTTATCTTCCGGTTCCTCTGGTCCGTCTTCATGCTTGCTCTGCCCACACAGTACACGGTTAGTCGCGACGCAGGTAGAACGGTGGGGTATTCTACTCACGCTGTGGGTTGACGCCTCCATCTCCTTGGGGCAGTTGTTGTTGCCCGCGCGTGGGGCGCCGGGCTCGGGCGTGGTCAGATCGTCGATGCTGAGCTTGCCCATGTCGGGTTCGAACGGGGGTCCCTCGTCCTCGTCGTAGTGGTGGTGGTCTCTGTTGTTGCTGCTGCCTAGATCCGCCATGTCTGTGGGCGTGGCGGGGCGTGTCCAGCCGAGCAGCTGACGCACCTTCATGCGTCCTGGTGGGGCCTCGTGGGGCACTGCAGCACAACACAAAGGGTCAGGCTCGCCTCCGATGCAGCGCGCGAATGTCATGCCAGGCTGCAAGACCAAACTCTGGAAAGTGGGCGCCAGTAGGACCGAGAGCTGGGACGAAGGAGAAACGAGCGGCGCGTGACGGAAACGGACGCGTCGACCCCAGCACGCACAATGGTCAACGCCAGCTCAGCTCGAAGCTCCACGCGCGCGCAGGACTCACCCCGTATTTATTTAAAAGTTTTGCCGTTCCCCAGCTCACGCGCCTGCGATGCTGCAGACGTTGTGGCCAGGCGGACGCTTCCCCTAAAGTAACAGGCCCCCGGTTTCTCGCCAGCGAGCGAATCCGTTGCGGCCGGTGATTCCTTCCGCGGTTAGCGGCGTTTCACGCGCCACTAGTGACCCGTTTCGACCGGCCGGGTGTCTTGCGCCGTGAAGGGAATAAGCAGGAGTGAGTGAAGCATGGGTTGCAGATTGCGGCGGTGGACATGACTCAGTACATGTCATTTGCTGTCGTCGGACTGATCCGCTGAGTTATTAGCTACTGCAGCCATCTTCTCACTCAGACTCACGTCGTCCAGCGCGCGTGAGAGCGAACTGGACGGGAATTGGTGCGCGCTGAGGTCGTTGAAGGCCGCCTCGTAGCGCACAAAGTCCGCGTGCGCTTTGGTGACGCCGCAGGACAGCGGCACTTCCTCTAGATACGGCAGCACGCGAACGAGCAGCAGCTCTTGCCGCGCTTGCGCTGCAAGCACGCGGTCGCCGTAGGCCGAGAAGCTGAGGAGCAGCAATGACGTCATGTTAGCTGCGCGGCTTACTCCAGCGCGTAATAGAGGTGGCTGCGCGTGCGTACCTGTTGCCGATGATGACCAACTTCTCCATGGCGGGCCCCCAGTTGCACGCGAGCACGTTCTCGTACAGCGTCTTGCCGCAGTGAGGCATGAAGAAGACGGTCTTTCGATCCACGCAGCGCCGCCCGTGCTCGTTGTCTTCAATCACGCCCACATTGAAGCTCCCAGCAATCGCAGCGTCGCTCTTAAAGGCCAGGCACGTCAAGTACAGGTTACCAGGGTGATGAGGGAGTAAGCTACACGCTCACCACTCACCTTGTTCATGGCGGGGTCAAATATCTCGACACGGTGTTGACTCTTGTCTTTGCTTGCCGCAACCTCCGCAGTCGGAGTCTCCTTTTCTGCATCCAGAGCCTCTTTCAAGGCCACCAAGAAGCCCAACTGGTGCACCGCATTGGACGACGCACAGAAGCTCCCGAGCCCGTAGCCAACAAGAACTGGCCCGACAGCAGCGTCGTCGTCTTCATCGCCTTGCGACTGGAGCTCAAAGTGTTCAACCACGACGCGCAGTGCGTCCTTCAGCAGTAACGAGTCTCGTAGGACGTCGGCGATGGCGCGCACGCGCTGGATGATCAGCTTCTGCTTCTCGACCGAGACCTCGGCCACAGGCTCCACCGCCTCTTCGCCGACTGCAAACTCACCCACGAAAACCAACAGCAACCATAGTCAGCGCGTTCAAAAGCACCAAAGCATGAAAAAGTGCGTTGGCACCGCCAGCGGCGATTCCAGCCTCGCTAGAGGCTGTGAACCACTCGTTGAGCTGCTGTAGCCTTGGTGCAGTAAGATACAGAGCCTTCAACAAAGACTTTCAAGGTAGTACCATTCGAGTGGAGCTTGGGGGCTTTGGACGGAGCTGACCGGGGCTGCGAAGGCCCATTGCGAGCCTTGCCACGCCTCTGGCGGCGAGACACAAGCTGCCATTCCTGCTCCATAGTGAACCGGAGACTGTGGCGCCCGTTATGGCTACGACCTCATTTTGACCAATTGAAACACGTCGATTAAAAATGTAGCCATGTCCGTGAGACGAGGCAAGAACTGCAACATCAACGGGGGTATCAACCAAGTCAACTAAACCACTCGCGTATATATTGATACTGTATGGAGCGTCTTCCGGCCCCCTCTGCTTGTGTAAAATCTGTAAGTTGTAAGTGGGCTTTATCCTCGCTCTACGTCTCTGGCGGTCTCGATGACGCCGTAGGAGATGGTGCCGTCCTCTTCGACGTCGTACGGGATCACTCCAGCACCATCGTTCTCGTCGTCGTGGCGGTTGCGGCTGAAGCACAAGCAGCCGTTGCAGTTGCAGTAGCCGAAGCTCGCGGTGGGGCAGAACATGGCGGCCACGAACATGACGCCTGCGAGGAAGAAGGCGGCGCACGTCAGTACGATCAGGTCCACGTAGAAGTACACGACGCCGCTCATGTACTCATCGGGCGTCATGATGCTGTACATGCTGCTGGCGTCGTACGAGAACCACACGATCAGGACGAGCTCCAACGCCAAGGAATAACCCAAGGCTCGCAGTGACACAAAGTCGTCCGTGCCGCCCACTACGCCGTACAGGATGCCCGAGATGATCGCAGCCACCGCAAACGCCATGCAGCCGGAGACTAGCGACGAGCGCAGCACCATCTCTCCGTCACTGTCTGGCTGTTGACCTGTGCTGGGGCCTGAAGGAATAGCGTCTCCGTGGTATCGGTACGAGAGCCCCGAGAGGACGATCATGATACACACCGTCACGAACGTGAACGCGCAGCAGAAGAGCCCTGCAGGAGTATCGAGCCACGTCTGTACACCAGCTACCAACAGACTGAGTACGAGACTGAAAGCCGCCACCATCAACCAATTGAGCGGGAACCGCGTGCGAACGAAACAGACTGCGCCGAGAGCTGCGATTGAGCCTACGAGGGGCCCCAGGAGGTCCACCGTTCGTTTGAATGTGTCGTGAGTCCACTCGCTCAGCTTGGAATCGTACGTTAACGCAGCCACGAGAGCCGTGAGCACCATGAGCTGAAGCGCGAAGATGGACAGCATCTTGCGTCGAAACGCGATCTGCATGGACATCGGCAGCATGGCGATGGTCCCGGGGGCGTATGCCTTGCGCGATTGAGTCTCTTGGTTCTCGTCGTTGCGAGTCCATTGCTCGTACCGCCTCCGCCAGTACGAGCGCGGTCGTGAAGCTCTCTCGGTTTGCGGAGCTCGGGGCTCTGGAGCAGGCAATCGCGGGTTCGAACCGGGCGTTCTCCAGCCATCGTCGTAAGTACCTTCCGTCTCGCCGAGATCCACCGCCACCACCCGAGACGAAGGCCCGCGTGAGGTCGGGTGCATCATCTTGGCCAGGCACTTATCTCGCCAACGTTGAAAATTGTTGACGTCGAGCCACTATGCAGCTTGCAGTATTTGCCTGATAGAGCTAGTGTGTTTAGTGACCCCGAGGACGAGGAGGAATGATGCCTGACGACGAGTGTGTGAGTTGTTCTGGTGACAAGCGCTCAGAATAGGCTTTCGATGCTTAGCAAGGCGTGAGACCTTGACCTGCCTGTAATGGCTAACTATATTTGACTTAAGGGGAGGTCGGGTGTGAACTACGTAGTTTGGTAGTGAACCACCAATAAACGCAGTATACTCTCGACTCCCAACGTAACGCTCCACATGCAGTTGTGAGAGCTCTGCATTTTGCTGCGGTGTTGATTTTCAATTCCTAGCAAGTTGACCAGCACACTCGATAAAACGAATGAAAGGACTGTAGGCCGGTTGTCGGTACATCAAAACCATGCTAGTGACGAGAAGACCGGCTCGGAAACGTCCCACGCCAACAAATAACAAGATGGCGTCGCAAGTCTGTGTAATTAATGATTCGCCACACAAGGATAGCCGGCGTCGATCCTGAGAAGTAGGTCACTAGACCACCGGCTGAAAACGTGAAATATTCGCGAGTTATTACTGTGCAACTTAGATATCAGTGCTATTTCCTGGACAATTCTGGCTGTTAACTCAGTCACGTGCATCAGCACATGCCAGAAAAACGGAATAAATATGAACTATTTCGCAAAATCTCCGGCTGAACTTAGTGATACGCATTCTAAATACACTAGTTCGCTAAATGTTAGTGCGGCCACTCGAAATTATTCAACCTGGTCATTTGTGTTGAATTCGTTGTGATGGAAAACCTGGGGTTTGATAGCGTCGCGCATGCTGTCGACCTCCAGAAGAAGTAAATATTCTCACAACCGATGGACAAACCCTTTCAAATTATATATGTTTAGGAGGTTAAATGAGTTTTAACAATCCTAACAAGCCTACGGCATGAAGCGGAGCATGTGATTTGTTCCGAGACAGATATTTATTCGAATAGACTCTTGTAGTGTGCCCTGCATCCACTATTTTAGATAATACACAAATCTATAGAAAATATACCTGAACTTGGTTTAAAGTAGAACTTTTGCAAGACTGAGCATCACCCGCTAAGACAGACTTTTTGCGACTGTTAACTACTAATTAGAAAAAGAGAATTTGGGCGTCCAAACTACAACCTAGGAATAAAGATCATTGTTTCTGGAGGACTCGCAGTTTCTTTGTTGTAGACTTTAGCCGGCAGAAAGATGGTGCACTTCAACTACAAACAACAACAAGTTCGTGTGCTGGTTGTCTTGATTGCCGTGATCCACATTGAAACTGTGATTGTTTTGAGCCGATCTACCAAAACTACAGACCCTGCTTTTTAAGAGACTTCCATCAGCTCGCGAGCCGCGGGGTCTTCGGTAGAGTAGTCACTACTAAACGCTGGTCTCGTTGGTCTCGCTGTAGAGCTCAATTAGCAGAACAAGTTTACCGGGGCTGTTGGGCCTCGACAGCAGTTGCGTGTCGGATCCTTTCGAGATGCAGCAGAAGACAGTAGCGTCCTGATTTCTGGATGCTCGAGTGCATTCCAATGTCCTTGCTCATTTTCTTCACTGCGGCGAAATGGGTAATCGAAGCTTTTGACACACGGTTCTGCATTTTGGCGAGATCCAGCGAGTTGAATTCATCGGACTTTCGATTGATTTCCCCTGAAATCACCCAGAGGAGACACCAAACTCGATCCGATCCGAGTCGTAAGCGCGTCGCACCCAAAATTTAGCGAAATAAACCTTGGCACCCCTCCAACCGCTTAAAAACCTTTGAGGCCATGGCTTGTTGGGGGCCGATAAGAAGGGTACCAGGATGTTAGTGGACGGGATGGGGATGCTGCGAAAGTCGATACCCACCGCAAGTTCGTTCAACATCTCCCCCAGAAACTTGGCCAACGACACTCCAGCACCACCTCCGCCCTACTCGCAGTGAAAATTACATGGGCTGCAACAAGCGACTCAGCAGGTACCCTCATTTCTTCATCCCGCTCGATTGGCGCCAATTCTTTATGGGGCTGCAACGCAGCGCTGACGAGACGACTATCTCCACTTTTCTTCACGTTGTCGTCGGTCATCCGCGTTGAGTTGTCATATTATTGGTGTTTCTCGCTGCGAGGATTAGTATCGTCATCTTCCGTGGCCCCGACATCCAGATGTGTGCACTTCGCCCTCTTCTTGGCGTTTCCCTGAGCAGATAACGGGGGTAGCGTGTCACCATGGTTGTCTTCCTCCGTATGTATCAATCTCTTCTTAGGGATCTTGAAGCGCGTGCTAGTCGATGCCAGTAGCGTTTGTGCGGATTCCTTTCCCTTGAGTTCGTCGTCGATGAGCACAATCTCCTCTGTCACTGAGGTATCACCGGCTCTGGCTGGTGGCACCGACCCGCACAAGCGCCGTAGAGCTTGATATCCGTCCACGATCTTTCTGGCGCGGTGGGGAAGTAGCTGCGACTTGCTGGAGTTTCCGTTGGTCTTGACTGGGCGAGATGCACTTGGGTACTTTCGGTTCCCATCGTTCGTGGTGTGGAGCTTTCTCGGTCGTAGGCAAAATGACCTGTACTGCTGCTTTACTCGGAGACATCAATATGGGGAACGACCAGAAGTGACCTATTATCAACTGGCAGTTGGAATTAGTGCCGCAAAGCTACTGTTCTACTGCTGCTACTCGAATAAAGCGTTCAGTATTTTCAATACCATATGTGTCTAATGTGGTCATATCGCTTGCGTTTGGTTAGCAAATCCCTTTCAGCATCCATGACACTAGAAATCCCTTGCCGACACGTCCATTGGAACAAGCTTCTTATCTTGCCCAGCTCGTTGGGCAGATCGTATTGCTCTGCTGCGTCCGCTCGCCCGTCGGACTGGAAGTCAACTCCGCGCTGGCCGACAGCAGCTAACTGAGCTACTGCGCCGGATCGCTCGCGTACACGAACGAATCCAATTTATTAAGGAGGCTAGATTACTCAATAGTCCTCACTAGTTCGAAGCTATTAGCCCACAGCCAACAACTAGAACTAACAACACAGTCAATACAAAGAGAGTTCACCCACACACGTGAGCTACTAACGCCACACTCGTTCGTCCCAACCACAGGGGCTTGCACACCCGAGCAGCTTCGTCGTCCCCAGATCCCACGCGCGGTACGTACGTGGCTAATGCCGGACGCTCGTGTCCGACACCCACTGGCACCTCACGTCGCCTGCGACCCAACTAACCCATCGACTGCTTGTCCCGCTGCAGCCACTCGTTCGTCAGCAACAGCAGAGCACCCGTCGGCACTCCACCGTCACTCGTCCACTCGTCCAGAAGGAGCTGTCGCCCCACGATCGTCACCCGTGAGAGCTGCTGCTCTCTTTCGTGTCCAGCGGCCCGTCACCAAGCCACCGAAGTCGTACGTGCCCACTTGTCGCCGAGCCCGCTAATCTTGTAGTCTGCGCTCTTCACGCATTCGCCACCGCTCGTTCTTCTCGCCTCCAGGGCCAGCGTTCTCTGCTGACCCTTCGGCTTCGAGATCTTCGCCGTCAGCCACTCCCAGCCGTTCGTTCCAGCTGCCACCGCTCACAGAGGGACTGTTCGCCGTCAAGATCGCATTCGTGCGGTCCTCCACGCCCACCGTAGCGAACCCACGCCACTCGTTCGTGTTCGCCACGCCGAACTCGCCGTTCGACCCGTACGGCAAGCTGCCGCAGTTCGTCGTCATGGTCACCGTGCCGTGACCGCCATCTGCCCATGTCCTGTTACACCATGTTTTCCTGGTCCCGCTCTGGCAACCCAAATACCTATCTCCATTCTGATGAGCATCTGCTGGTCCAGAAATCTCACTTGTTGAGTCTCAAAAAATATAGGCATGATTCTACTGAAAACGTTGGACAGATGATGGATAACAGATGGATAGTCGTTGGACGGCAAGTCCAACGATTTCGAATATCGAGTTGAGTCTATTTGAGCCTATTCCTGTTTGGCGACTTAAATAGAGCCGAAAACGTTGGACCGTATACACAATAATGTGTGGCAGATGTAGGTTCGCGGGCAGCTTTGAAAAGCGGGATAAAGCAAGACACAGAAGCTAGAGAAGCAGGCACTGGTGAAACATGGCACGACTTCACCCAAGGACCATCACGGCGCTGGGTTTCGTAACTTGACGCTGAGCGCCGTATCTTCGTGCTGGGTGCCGTAACTTGGCACATGTAAGGATCGCATCGTGCCGGTGGCTAAGCGCAGGTGCAGATGACCCGCCAACTCACATTCTTGACTGACAGGGTGCAGCCGATGCCTAGAAGATGCACCGTGAGCTCTGAAGAGCACGACTTTCGCACAACACGAGCGCGAGATTTTGCCGCTGTCGTAGTCAAAGAGCCAGCATAGCAAGACAGACCCGAGTATCAAGAAGGACGAGGATTCCGCCATTAGAAGAGCAACCGAGAGCAGAACCAAGGTGTGCAAACTAATCGGAACGGCTAACATGTATTGACTTGCATTAACAATCTATCTCTGTGACCTGTTGTGGCGGCGCAGAAGATTAACGACGGTAGACCATTGTAGCTGTTCTTTACGGCGAGTGCAATTTCGCTGGGTTTGATCTCCAATCGGCAAAATGCCCATTGCTCCAACCAGCATTTGCCTTGCCTGCTGAAGCGACGGATTACAGTTGTAAGTATTATTTTGCCGGGCAATGCTCTCGATTTTCAGCATTACGAAGCGAGAATCTGACAATCGCTTTCGTGTGTTTTTGTTTGGCAGGTCCATTGGCACAAGCGATCGATACGGCGGCCAGTTTTTGCTTGGGCATCCAAACCACCAAAGCCCCCACGCCACACTCAACCGAACCATTGCGAATGTGAAGCCGCCTATCGTACGATGCTGCCACCAGGATGAAGCCTGGCTGACCGAGGAAGTTAGCTCACAATCAACTTGAGCGACTCGTCCGTTGACACCTAGTTATGCTTGTGTTTGTCGGGCAGCAGAGCGGCTGCTGCTACTTGTCTCCTCTCGTCACTAGTATAGTTTGCAGTGATTGATGTCACTGTCGGAAGTTTTGCCTGCCGAACAACTTGCACAATTGAGGCGGAGTTTGCGTGGATGGTGTGCACCATTTGCGTTATGCCGGTGGAGTGAAGCGCTGCGGCTACGGCTTCTGTGAAGCCACAATACGAACGTAATTATGCCATACGAGTACACCTCTCTCAACTTCGTGCTCACAACGTTGCTATCTCTTCGATGAGTTCGTCCACTGTCTGCTCACTAAGTACGGTCCAACACCACTAAGTTCGTTTCCATCCAAATTCGTACTACATATGAATACGTGGCAAAAAGTGGAGGTGCAAGCCTTGGTTTGTCTTCGATCGATTTACCTGCGGACTCGCCTTGAGCACCCCTTACTACTGCTTCTACTTCTTCTTCACGCACACCTAACTACCAAAACACTACCCTTTTTGTTCCAGACACCACGCTTCTTGCTGCTCATATCACACACCACCTGCCACTGACTTCAAATGCCGCAGAGGAACTCCGTCGAGAGCGCACCGTTGCTGGTATCCACCGCGGCATTCCGATGAACTCGCCGCAGCTCCTTCTCAAGCCGAGCTGCCGTCTGCTGAGAGCGGTGCAACCTCGCGCGCAGCGACGCCCGCTCCAGCGCCAGTCGCTGGATGGTCTCGGCGGGCTATGAAGATCGAGGGGCAAAACGCGAATGGAACCGCAAGAGGACGTCGTCCAGATGCAGAAGCAGAAGAAGTACCAGAGGAGTCGTCAGCACTCCATGACCAGCTGCGGACTACTACAAAGCAGAATCATACACAGCACGGCCCAACACGGGCCCAACACGCCAGCATTAGATCCAGGACTGAATGCTATCGCATTGAGCCCATGCAGTGCCTGCCCTACGACCACTTACTTACTTTAGGGAGGGCGTCACTGTCTCCAATGAAGTCTCCAGCTCCACTTCGTTGCAGCCGAAGCGTGGCGATTTCACACCTTAATCGGGTCAATTCGTCAGCCTTGCTGTCGTCACTTGCGTCGTTGGGATCTTTCTGGTCTCCCGCGGCGGCCGCGGCCAGCAATGATGACAATAGCTGCAGGTTGGCACCGCTCCGTTGCCGCTTGCCTTGCAGATCACGTACTGTCTCCAGGAGCTTCGCGTTGTCTTCCAGAGCACGGTCAAGTAATGTCTGCAGTTGAACTGGGGTCTCGTCACCGCTTGCCTTCGGTAGTTCCTTGGTAACGGGGGGAGACTGTTGCGAGGTCTCTATCTCTCGCTCTAAATCTTCAATTCGCTTCTGAGCAGCCTGCAACGCACTTGTCATCTCTTCCTTGTCATTGTCGTTGTCCCCAGAATCACTGCTGCTGCGAAGGCTGTGCTCCAGACGCTCGACCTCACGCCGTGCCACCTCCTGCTCATGCTCAAGAGCACGCGCATCGTCCGCCGCCTTCTCGTTCAGAACTTTAGACATCTCGCCCCGTTGGAAGCGAACTGTTTGCTCCAGGTCCTCAAGTTTCTTGCGCAGCTCATCCTCGGCTTGATTCTGCTTCGCTTCCTCGTCTGCTGCCATTGTGCGGAGCTGCTGGAGCTGGAACTCGGCGAACTTAGTGGCAGCACTTGAGGTCTCCAGCTCGTCCTGAGTGGTTTGCAACTCCTTCTCAAGGCGCTGAATTGCGTCCTGGTAGAGATCAAGCTTCCGGCCGAGACGCGAGCTTAGGGAGTTCACACGACGAATCTCGCGGTACGTGTCGCTGACACCTCCATCACCATCTTCGCTGGCATCGAACCCATCCAACGACATGCAGTCATCACCGGTCTCATCTTCGTCCCCAGAGGCATAGCTGGTCGAGTTGGAGTCTGTCACTACAGAAGATCCCGATTTCGGGCTGGGAGGACTGCACAGCACAGGCTTCTTCGAGTACACGAGTTCAGTGACGTCATCGAACAACGACCGGTACACGTTGAGCAGCTCTTGCAGCTCCTGCATTTCTTCGCTCGGCACAGTCGATTCTTCAAGCATCGGCGTCTCTTGAGGCTCCACTTCGTTCTCCTGCTGGAGGTTCTGCGGGAGGTCCAACGGCACGGCATCACTGACACGGCGTCGCTGTTCTTCGACAAATGCCTTCCACTCCAATAGTTCACAAAGCTCATGACGAATGAGGTCGTTCTCGGCCTCAGCCTCCTCGGATCGACGAAGCAGCTCGTCAATACGACGCTGTTGATCTTGAACCTTTTTGTACAGCTCACGCTCTCGCTTCTCGGCTGCCGCAAGCGCAGCGGCAGTCTCATCATCATCGGCAGAGTGCTCCTGGTTGTCTACATGATGGTAGCGCAACGCAGAACCACTGTATCTCTTTGGTGCAGGGAGCATTGACATCCGCGGGGCCTGAAGCTTGCTCGGCTTGAGCTGGTGCGGGCGACGACTGTACTTGTAGCGCTCGGGGTCAAAAGTGACCTCTTTGTACTCTTCAAAGCGGCAAATCATGCGGTACAGCAGCATCTCCAGTCGATCGCAACGGGCCTCCACGACATCCCGCTCCTGCTGCTGGGGCTCCTCTCCGTTTTCCTCAGCAATGTCGGCGGGAGACAAAGCACCACTAGCGCGCAGCAGTTTCTGCATCATGTCAAGCGCAGGTTCCCAGCGATTCTGCTTCTTCTTCTTCTCCTGAGCTCGGGCCTCGGCTTCGGCCTCAGCAATCGCCTTCAGCCGCAGCAAGTGCTCGTTCTTTGAAGGATCGGAATCTGAGGACTCCTCCGTTGACACTGCGGTACCAACACCCACGCCACTTCGCAACGTCGCAATCTCCAGCATCAACTTCTCAATCTGCTCCTTTAGCACCGGCACGAGCGAGTCCGCATCCTCGTTCTGCACAGCGTTATTCTTGATAAACTTGGCGCGCTGAGCGAATTTGAGCGTACTCAGGGTTTCAGTAAAATACTTCTCATCGGGCGAAATCGTTGCCACAATACTCGTGATAGCGTTGCCTCCCAACGCATCGCGCAGAAGGAAGGTAAGCTTGGAGTCACGGTAGTGTACGTGCCTCTTCTGTCCATTGCTCACATCCACAAGCGCCATGATCACGTTGCCAAGCGCCGACAGAGATTTGTTAATCTGCGCAGCCTCTTTCAACCGCTTGCCAGCCACTCGCGTCTGTCGCTGCTTCTCGCTACCTGCCAGGTCCACCAAGTGCAAGCACGAGCGGCGCGTGCGTTTCACTCCGGCGGACGTGCGCTCCTCAAGCACCAATTTGACCGAGAAAACGGCATGAGACCGGGAACTTTCGCGGTTCATGTCCGTCGACGAAATATGCCGGTTCTGCGAGCCCAGTTGCAGCAACGTCAGCGCTTCCTCCTCGCTCCCCACATCAATCTCGCGTAGCTGGTCCACATACACCTCCTTGTTGCGGTCTTCACGAAGGCTCTTCGGTTGCTGTGCAGCGACCGATCCACTGGGTTCCAGTAGGTCAAAAATCTTCTCGTTGTAAATCTCCAAGTATGAACACGCCAGCGTGTACTGCAGGGCTCGCTCCTGCTCCTCTCCGCTGTAAAACGCGGCATTCCGCTCCCGCGAGAGCGCCGCGAGTCGCTGAAACAAGTAATCCAAAATCCGGGGCGTGAGACCGCGCAGCGGCGACAGTCGCAGTTCATGCACGTTCGTCGTGGTGCCACCCAGCATCGTAAACGTCTTGCCCGAGCCCGTCTGGCCGTACGCGAAGATGCTGCCGTTGTAACCTTCAATAGTGTTCTCCACCGCCGCGCGGCCTGCATCCTGGAAAATGTCGTCCTGCTGGCAGCTCTCGGTGAACACGCGGTCGAAGCCGAATCTCTTCTCCTGCTGCGAGGACGGCGCCAGCGTCACGCCGCGTTGGTCCGGCGCCACCTCCAGACATTTTTTGCAGTCACTGCCGGGCGACGGGCGGATACGCAGCAGCACGCGGATGTTATCCGACTGCTCCGAGGACGGCACGAAGCTCGACGAAATAGCAGCAGCAGCGGTAGCAGCGACTGGAGACCTCTGCGGGGCGCTCATCGGCCGAGGCACCTGCACCTGAACCTGCACTGGAGGCGGCTGCGCTCTAACAGCAGCTGAACTCTCCTCGTCCATCGTCTGGTTGCTCGTCTGGTGGCTGGGGAACTGCAGGCGCTTGGGTGGGCGCTGGAACTGCGCGGGGGGCGTCGTGGCTCGCATGGCGGGCCTGGCGGGCGACGGCGCCGCGATCCCCGACTCGTGCGCTCTGGCAGCGCCGAAACCCGCCGTTGGAGGCGCCAGGAACGACGGCTTGGCCGCTTTCCGTCCGCCAGGACCCGGGATGCTGCAACAAATGAACAATAACTGTTAGGACAAGCTCTAAGCGCAAGGAAAAGTTGCTCTAAATCCCCACCGAGACGACGGGAATGGCATCGTGTTCTCTCGGAGTTGAGAAGTGAGTGAGGCTCCGCCAGTCGCGCCCGTTTGCTCTGCGAATCGTCGTAACTGCAGAGAAAAGCGGCGCCTTCTTCTATCACTCGCTCAATAAATCGACCTGCTGCTGCGGCGGTGGCGAGGGAGCAGGTGGGAGGTTCGCTTCGGCCTGGCTTCTTCTTCCTCTCCTTGGCTGGAGAAGGCGGAGCGCAGGAAGTTCGGTCGGTCGGGCCTTCGCCTCGCACACGGCCGAATTCAAACTGACGCAAAGAGCCGGGGATTACGCTAATTCGTGGAAGGTTAACAGACGAATTAGCAACCACGTCCCATCGGGCCGGATGGCACTGGTTTCTGACTGGAACTGAGTATGCGACGGCGCTCTGGACTGCAGCTGCGCCGCGCAAAATGGAGACTCTTGTCGGCTGCCGCAGCGTGCATGCAGGGCGGGAGGGCGGGGACCTCACTACATATACACTACATGTAATATACAGTGACTAGGTGGAGGAAACGATCTCGCAGTATGATACGCTGTACATGGTTACGACCACCTGGAATTGTACAGTCAGCGTCCTCCGCGAAGAGACACTTGTCGGTGCTGTAGTTGAAGTGGCTGCACATCAGCAATTCCTCTCGGTGGGTCATGTGGAGGCGAAAGCGAGCGTGTGCAGCTCATGGCGACCACAGGCAAGAAAGAAGCTTGTCTTGTTGCCAATTTCATGCATCTCTTTCTTGGGGGTTTTAGTCTGTTCCCACATTGAAGTGGCAAAGCCCCTGTGCCAGTTTTCCTTTTCCAAGATCGAGCTAAAGCCTTTATATCTGCTGCAATATCAGAGAAGAACTATGCGCGCAGCCTTCGAATTGGCACAAGCGAATTGGTACCGGCTTGTCAAGGTCAACTCGGAGCAGCAGCGCAACAGTGACGAGAGCGACGATCCAAGACGGGCGATGGAGGCTGACATTTGCAAGCTGAAGGTACTCGTGGGGGCTGAAAACCTGGCACTGCGAGCGCGGGCAATGGGAGCCACTCAAAGTCCGTTAAATCTGCAGCTTCGTCGGGCCAGAGCAATTGTGAACGGGTTTCAAGATCTACATGACTTCTGTGTGTCGACGCCACCAGTTGAGAATGCTTGTCATTCATCCGTGGAGAAGGTTGTGCTGATTAATGACGAGAGCGAGGAAGACGAAGCAGCGCCGACCCGTAGGCTCTTCACGAAGAAGAGAATGATCGCTTCATGTGAAGACGGCACCGTCCAGGGTAAGGAAAACAAGAGGGCTAAGCATGCACACAACTTGGCTTCAATTGGTGATGACGGTGTTGCTACCGCGACTGAGGAACACAAAGAAGAGCGTGACAGCTCAGCGCAGATGGCCGAAGTGGACTCAGAGCAAGCTCGAGATGAGCGTTTTGCCAGCGTTGAATTGCACGGTCAGGAGCAGCCTGAAGGCTCTGAAGGCTTGACTCTAACGGGCTGGGCGGTGGGAACGGGCATACCCGCCGAGTCGTTCGTTGCAGCTCGTGCCATTTTCACCGCGAGTAGGACGGCGGGGGTGCGTGGAGTGTCGTTGGCTCAGTTCGTGGGGGCGTTGCTGGGAGAAATTGAGGTGGATATCGACATTTGCAACATTCCAATTCCGTCGGCCGACACCCCGTCCCCTTCCTGTCGCCCCCCAACAAGCCATGGACTCAAAGGTTTTTGAATAGCTGGGAAGGCACCATGACCAATTTCGCTGATCTTTGTGTGCGGTGTGCCTGTGGCTCTGGCCGGATCGACTTTCGTGTCTCCTCTGGGGTCATCTCGGGGGAGTGCAATCCCAAGTCCGGCGAATTCACCTGGCTAGATCTCGGTGAAGTGCTTGATCGCGTCCCAAAAGAATCGATTGTCCATTTCGCGGTAGTGAAGAACATTAGGGAGGACATTGGAATGACCTCAAAGGGCCAAACTCACTCTTCTACGGCCGTCTACCGCATCTCAAGAGGGTCCGACACGCAGCTGATTTCGAAGACGGATCCATCCAACAAGCTAGTTTTGCTAATTGAGCTGTAAGCGGAAGACCGCAAGTTGCAACGTGTATCATGGACGCGACGCCTTTTTGCAGCTTTTGAACGTTATCGTGCGTCGGGAATTTAGTATCTGTAGCTATTCTGCCATGTCTGTCGCCGTCAAGTACAAGACAACTAAGGAACGCATCATTGCACCTTCACTCTTTGCTGCGTTAGTATTTTGTGTCTATCGCTTGGTGTACAAGCTGCTAAAGTGCATATCGAAGTACATTGTGGGGTGACAGCGTGCGACGCTTATAAAAGAGCACATAGGCAGCATCCGTGACGACATCGCCCGGGGCGATTTCCGAGACCTTCTCGTCGTCGAAGCGGAACCACAGATCGGAGCACTGGACGTCACCGTTCTCTTCGTTCGCTTTGAACAGCGCCGAGCTCTCTGGGAAATCTGCATCATATCGGCAGTAAGCTGTGTAGTGACCACGCGTAAGGCCGCCAACGTGGTTGGCGACGGCATAAAGATCATACACTGCTGAACCGGTAGCGTCTTGGTGGCCCATCCACTTAGAGAAGTCCAGGCCTTTGAGGGGAAAGTCGACGAGTGCTCGCACCTTCTGCTTGTGCTGGTTCTCAAGGTACTGGAAACGCTTGAGCTGCACCATTACCAGGTCAGGCAGACGCCAAATCGCCGAGAACCGCGAACCTTCGCGCGGCACTCCACACCGCTCGCATACCCAGTGATCCTCTAACGAGATGGCTTCCTCGCGCATCAACGCGTCCATACACTTAGTCAATGGGACCGCGTACATCGGTGGACTATCGTCATCATCCATCGGCGGTTGTTTTTCCTCCGAGTCCGTTGCCTTCTGCTCGAGAGCTGTCGCTGCTGCGTCGAGGTCAGCACGAAGATCTTGATCAGTCTTGGCAGCCTCCACCACTTCAACTGGTACGTCATCCGGTGCTCGCATTTCAAGACTTGAATATTCGCGATTGTCGAACCAGTCAAGGGCTAGAACACTACGCGTGGAGAAGTGCTGCAGCAGTGCACTTGAGTCAAAAGGCAACAGCTCGCCGCGCTCAGTCGTCAAATCTTCCAAATTCACCACTCGGACCTCGTATGGTAGCGTCAAATGATCCGAGTCTTCGTGCTGGTTATTGCCAACAGAAGTCTCGTCGCCGTTGAAACCCCGCCAGAAGCGAGCTGTCTGTAGTAGAAGTGCCTGGTGCATATCTTGCGCTGTCTTGTCAGATGCAATAGTCACAAACAGCGGTAGGCCAAAGACGTTCAAGGATAACCGTTCCAGCGTCCCAGAGTTGCTGAACTTCTGCGAACTCGGGAGATCACCCGTGAACGAGTGATCATCACCGCTTGTTTGCCCGGCTTCTGATGTAGACGATGAAGGCTGGGAACAAAATCGATGCACAACTTGCACCTCAAACACCTCCGTCGCCTTGGATGTGCGGGTATGCAGCGGCTGCAAACGTTTTGACTTCCAGTCACGTCCGGTAAACCACTTGTCCCATTTGCTGCTGAATGCATCGAAGTGGACGCGAACACGCTGGTGGGAATGTTTATCAACCACCTTGTGGTGAGCATCCTCTCGTTCAGGTTCATCGCCGCCGAGTTCGATCACCGTACCAGGATGCCAATCATTGTGGTTATCCCTGGCATCGACACGCGACCCCACCCGTAGATCGGAAAAGTTCCTAACCCCCTCGGGGACAATGACGCTCTTCCCACTGTCAGTGCTGTCAATACCGTGAGCACGAAAAAGCTCAGATAGAGCTGCTGGAACGATAGGAATCTCTGACAGCGTCCACGCACGCTCATAAGCAGCAAGAGAACCAGCGGCCGCGATTGCCAGTTTGTCCACCACTTCGTCTCCCTCAACAATTCGCTTGATACGATTTCGACGTATCTCCACAAGCAAGAAGCGATTTCCGCTAGCGCGACCGTGTACTGCAGCAATGCGATCACAAAAAGCACCGACATTGCTTCCACGCCGCAGCCAAAATCCACGTTGCACAGCTTGGACGGCGGTATCGGCATCGTCCTCAATTTCGTCGTTGTTCGGCAGCTTTCGCGCTTGCAGTAACACGCTCACTTCCACGCGAACAAAGTTTGACTCTGGAATGGGTAGACTGAAGAACAGGTTTGGGTCAAACGTGCACTTTCGCTCGCCACACGTGCCGCATACGGTCTCAGTTCGCATCTGTCCATGAAACAAGTCCACCACTACCGAGGAGTTCACGCCAGTATACTCACGCCAAGCTGCGTCTCCCTGAGCTTCATCTGAAGAAGTTTCGGCAGGGCCGTGATGAGTATGAAGGTCTTCCTCCTCATGCTCGAGATCATCGTTGCCAATAAAACTTCCGAATCCCAGACATTTCGAGCTTCTGTCTTGAATTGCAGCGTCCGCTGATGCTGCAATCATGCGACATCCTTGATTCAGGTCTTCATGAAGACAATCGAGAAGCGCAACCATGAATTCATGCGCGTCATATTGACGCGTCTCCTCAAAGTGCCGACGAACACGGGTAAACTCGTCTCGAAACCTTCCAGGAAGCAGATGGCCCTGGTCGCGTTCGCGCCAAAGGGAGCTTTGCAGCTGTGCATACGCTGCGGCAACTGCACCACGACTTCCAAGATGATTCCTCTTGTTGACTTCTGCCTCAAATCTGTTGGACAAGAAGTACTCCCGGAAAACTGGTGAGTGGACGAAGCATTGCAGTGCACTGTTCATGAAGCATGTGTTCCCCATGTTGATCAGTCCGGTGGCACGCAACCCAACGTGAGCAACCAGCCTCCCGCGAGATTTTTGCGTCGAAACTTCCATGTGCTTGGTGAGACCAACGAGTACACCGCCCGGACCCACATGCGCCGAGACTAAGGAGGCACTGGCAGCAGCTTCCTGTTCAGCAGCCATACTCTCACGCAGAACCTTCCAGTCACCAGTTCTGGCAAACTTAGCGAGACTCAAACTTGGACAGCAGACAAAGTCATTCCCCACAGGTTGAAGCATTGCCACATTGAAAGGGGCACGCATGTTCGCCAAACTACTTCGCCGCCGTTGTTGTGCGATACTCTGAGGATCATCGTCAATCTCCAGCGCTCTGAAATCCACAAGCAGCTCCTGTGCACTTGTGATCTGCAGTCCTCTCAGCGTAGCGTGCGGGGCTTCCAAACTGCATTCAAGCCGTACCCATGACTGGAGACGATGTCTGCGCAGCCAAAGCGTCACCTCCCTCGCATTCACACCAGGAAACACTCCCATTCGACACACGATCTCCTTCAAAGTTGAGTCACGAGGCAGGAGGAATCGTCGAGCGTACACCAGATACACGTGTCTTGAGTCGTGTCGTGCTAACCGAACCTGCAAGGCCACGGGATACAACTCCACTCGAATCCGTTGCTGCCGTTGACCGTCGCTTGACTTCAGCACCAATGTGACCCCTGTCGACTCGGAAATTTTCTCATCCTCTCTGGTCGGCATCTCCTGCTGCTGTTCATCCAACACCTCGATAATTTGTCGCGGATACTCAGGTCCGCAGCCATAGGCCTGCACAAGTCGTTTCCAGACGCTAACTGACACTAGCACATAGTCCCTGCCTTCCGCAATTCCCGGTCTCAAAGTCCCCAACTGCTCGTTTGCAGTTATGTCGCTGTTGTCGATAGGTCCAGGTCGAGGATGGCACTCCGCAACGTGCTGCTGCTGTGGTGCATTCCGCTCCTGAGGCTGCTGCTCGCCAGCGTGTTGCTCCTGTTGACTCCCGTTCACCTGGTTCGGTTGCTGCGAATTGCGCTTGCATTGATCAGGCTGCACGTACTTCCTCCACTGCGTCCACCAGCTACTCGACACCACGTACGCCGTGTCTCCAGATTTCCACTGCGTACTCTCCACCTCCTGCAGTACCGTCTCCTCGTCCAGCAGCGCCTTCACCACGCCGAAAGGCGCCAACAGCACGTGCAGCACATGCGCGCCCAGCGCGCAGTCCATCTCTTTGCAGAAAGTCTGTTTGTTCACTTGGTGTTGTCCGTGTCCGAGCACCAGCTTGGTCAGCGACGCCACCAGGTCGTAGCCGTGCTCTGTCTGCAGCTTGCTCTCTCCACCAAGTTCCGTGACGGTCACGGCCAGCAGCTTCACGTCCGCGTGAGTGAGCACGCCGTCGCTGCGGTCTCCTTGGAACCAGGAGAAGGCGAGCTCCGCCATCTCGCGCACGGACGAGCCCCTGGCCTGGCGCACCCTGGCCAGCATCTCGCACAGCTCGTCGAACTCGATCTTGCCCGAGTCGTCGCAGTCGAAGGCGCGGAACAGCGTGCGCTGCGCCGCCCTGGACGCGCGCTCCAGCAGCGGGAAGAGCCGCACGAAGTGCCGTCGGCTGCTCAGCTTCAGCCTCGAGTCCGCGCGCCGGCTGAAGTAGAAGCGCTTGCCGCGCTCCAGCGCTGCGTCCACGCGCGTCTGCTGTGCCTGCTGCCGCTTGAACTCCTCGAAGCTGGCGAGTGACGGCGGCGTCGCGGACGTGGCCGTCGTGCTGGAGCTGGCGGAGCTGCTGGCGCCCGCGCGCGCCGCCTCGTGGCCGCGCGTGGAGCGCTCCACCGGCGGCGGGTCCTGCTGCACGTCAGGGGCGATGGGCGTCTTGTTCACGGCGACGTGCACCAGCTCGCGCAGCGCGAAGAGCTCCGGGAGGCTCCACGAGTCCAGCAACCGCGTGCGACGCGCTTGTGACTGCTGCGCGGCGGCTCCGAGCGGCGCAGCGGCACGCGCGGACGCGCCGCGACGCCGCCGACGAGAGAAGAAGCGGCGCAGCGAGCCGCCGCGCGGGGAGGCCGTCGACGGAGCGGAGCGCATCGAGTCAAGGCCTGCGCGTGGCGGGGGTTTTCTGCTTTTGACGTCGATTTGAAGTTCGAACTGCGCTCCTTGATAGCGCTCGCTATAGTGAGCCACTGTTGATGATTTTTCTTCCTTCTTTTCGGTTCGTTTTTACGAGGAAAAAGCGCCGTAAGCTAGCACTCGACTGATAAGCGTTTGCCAATGCGCTGGCCGACGAGCGTTGTCCGACGCGTTGGTCACTACAGCGACCGTGCCAGCAGCATGCTGCGAGCAGGAACGCCTGTGGCCGCGGGGTTCAAGCCAGCTGGACTGCAGTGACAGAGGCAGGAGCTCCTGGCTCCCTACTGGCGCCACGCTGGACTCGCAACGTCCGGCGGAGTGGGCCGCCGCTATTATTGCCTCCAGCCAGCATTGCAGCGGCCCCATGGAGATCATTAGCGTCGAGCTCGGAGCTGCAAGCGCCCCATGAGCGCCCACGCCATTACACGTATTGAGCGAGGCCGCAGCTAAGAGAAGAAGGCACCGTCTGCATCATGCGACCTGAGAAAAGCGGCCGGCGTAAACATCCACACCAAGTGAGGGCCGTGTGTGCGTTGCAACGTGACGGTCGCAATCCTGGCAGCCTAGTGTCTTTGGCCAGGGCATGTGCATTGTGTCCGCAGCGCTCATTACCATGGAATGGAAATGCTGCACTAACGCTGCCGCCTTGACGTCTGCTGGCGCTGATGCCTCCTCGGGCCGTTTCTTGAACTTGAACCCATGTTCCGACGTTGAGTCCGTACTGCATACATCAAAAGCATTCCTACCCTCTCACCCTCGAAAGTAAGCACCACCTGTACTTCAAGGTATCTTTGACCATCACTCCGGATTCCGCCCGCAATGGAGGCGCTCGACCGCGCGCGCGCGCTGAACGCGCTGCTGGCGCTGCCGCGGCTCGAGCGCATGCTGCGCGTGTACCGCACGTGGATAAACGTGGAGGGCGTGGAGGGAGGCATGGCGCTCACGCGGCGCGAGCTGCAGTGCGTGCTCGAGTTCCCCACGCAGGAGCAGCACGTCGACTTCCTCTTCGATACGTTCCGCTGCGGCTCTCCCTCTCGGCCTCGTGTGGACCTGCTGACGCTGCTGACGACCGCCGCCGCGCTGGCGCAGGGCGCGCTGGCGGACAAGGCGCGCTTCGTGTTCGCGCTCGTGGACCTGGACACGGAGGACGACATCGTGGAGGCGGAGCTGGCGCTCGTCATCAGCTCATGCTGCAGCGGGCTCTACAGTCTCGGGCTGATCCCCGAGGAGGGTCGCGTCTCTGAGATGGACGCGATTTCACTCGCGTACGAGGCCTTCGACTTCGTGGAGCTCGAGGACGGAGACAAAATGACGTTCGCCATGTTCCTCAAGTGGTGCGTGTTCCACCCGAGACCCAAGGCGCTGCTAGAAAGGATCGGCTGTTTGTTGTCTGCGTGCGACGTAGTGAAGAAGATGAAGGACGCGCTGCAGGAACACAAGGAGATGCTGGAGGCTGGTCCGTTCTGGAATCGGAACGCTATGCACCTTGACGTGCTCAATAAAGATGCGGAGGAGCCTGCAGTTGTTGAACGGGTGCGTACGTGCGTAGCAACTGGTGTACGACAGTCGGACCTAACTTTGATAGTACTGGCTTATAATTGGTCTTGTATGGTATTGATAAGGTTGAACTCGAACCATCACAAGGGCCACGTGAAGTTCGCCGAGTTGTAAGTTTTCACGCGATTTTTTAAATGGTTTGCGCCCCTAACAAAGTAGTTCTTGCCGTGTTTAAACTTTATCCAGTTGGGCCCAGTTATCGGCTGTGTGACTTCTTGTGCTGCCCGTATCTTAGTTGAGTGTGATACAGAGGGCGATATTTCGTGCGTGGCTGTTGATCGGCTCAGTTTAGAAGAGCAGCGCGTCGTTCAGCGAGTTAAAGCGTATCGCCCGACCGTGTTTGCCTTGACAGATCTAACGCCAGGACGCATGTACAATTTATCATTTCAGGTACACTGGATTCGAGTTATTGTTTGGAGAAAATGGAGTGGCTAAGCTGATACGTCGCTGTATTTATCGACATCAGGGATTGCTGAAGGAAGAGTTTGGAATCTTGCAGACGCCTCATGAAGGTCTACCGGCATTTCGGCTTGTAATAGTGTCAGATGACCGCTTTCTGGATGGTACCGCAGAAGACGATGCGGCTTTCGAGAGATTACCTCCTTATCTGGGAAATGTGTCTTCCAATATTTTACCTCTGGTCGGCACACTCCAAGCCAATGCCATAGTGCATTTAGGAAGCGTTTTTGCCTTGGCACATGACCTTCAACGACTATACAGCTTCTTTGCGCATGGCCGGCACAATTTTCGAGCTATGGAGTTGATGAATTCTGTAAGGAAATGCGTACGCCAGCATTGGAATACACCAAGAACTCAGCAACTGCTTGCACGTGGTGGGCATTGGTTTCCAAGTGTGGGTGTCTTGCGCGCATTGTTAACAGATCATGATATTCCTGTTTCCTTCCTTAAAGTGGTTCAGCAAATTTTGGCGGAATATGAACAAGTTGGAGATTTCCGATCGCACAGTAATTTACCGTCTGAGAAGTACTTGTACCGCCTTCAAAAAGGCGTAGCGCTGCTTATGCTCGATACGCTTGAAGTGATCCTCGATAGTCCGGAATCAACACCATTTGTTCAGCTCTCTGAAACAGTGCTGTCGGCTTCCCAGTGGGAGGCTCTGGAGTTTTGGTTGCAAATCGATACACCTGAAGACGAGCAACTTGGCCGGAGCGACGTGCCTAATACTCTTGTTATTATGTGTGATCTTCCATTGATATCGCAGCGGGGTGAAAGTGGGGAGTTGATGCAAATGTGGGAGCAAGGTTTGAGAGTGAAAAAGGATACAGCCGATTCTCGCTACCGCTCTAACCTAGCTGAATCGGGCGCCACGTCGTGGGGCTTATATCCAAAAGAGCAAGCTCGCCTTGTTCACCTGATATTCCGCAAGCTGGAGAAGGTATGAGTGTTTATCTGATCGCTGTTCATCTACTTACTGACATTGCTTCTAAGTAGGATCCCAGGTTTCATATCATTTTTGTATGTAGCGGTGCATACGCCTCGCGAATGAAGATCAAAGAGTACTCGACACAACGTAATTTTGAGCAGATAGTCGTGGGGCCCATTTCTCGGTCTGCGTTACCCTCATGGTCAGACCAAGCAACCACTAGGAGCCCTACATTTGCCGACCAAAATCTATCGACCAGATACTCGATTGAGCAAGAGATACCCAAGGGGGCTACCAGGTCTCAACAATACTGTGTTCTAGAGTTAGTTCCCCATCCACTCGGCGCTTCAAGTGATGTGAAGTTTTACGTGCAGAATCATGGTGAAGCAAGGCTCGTCCTAGGCCCCATCATTGGGCGTGTTACGCCCAGAACTGCGAGAATCCTCATTGAGGTCGATCGAGCGGTGCAAAATTTAATCTGTACACTAACCGATCCTGCGACGTCCCAAAGGTAACATGACGTCTGTGGTGCATTTACTTGTTTCGGTTCTCACAGCTTTCGTGTATTACTGTAGCTTCTCGTCGAAAACAAGTGTAGAAGCATATGTACCGACAGTTCTGAAAGTGGAAGGTCTTCAGCCAGGAACTCGCTATGCTATCAGCTTTGAGGTAACGTAGAAGTTCTTTTGACGTGTGCAGCAGAATACATAACTAAAATGTTTTCAATAACTCGTCAGGGTTTGATGGAGAGCAGAGACACTGTGTCCGGGCATGTGCTCACACCGGCATGGGTATCACTTACATCGGAATGGCTTGTGGTAAACTGTAACTCAATGACAGAATTTTTGGCTACGCAAACCACAGAGCCAAGCATTCGGCCTAATTCTCAATGGCCCAGAATTCTTGCAAGTGGTATGCCTTCATTCAACGCCCAGCTCGCGGGTGGCACAAGTCACCGCAACGGTGACCATCTTGGAGATCACGACGACGAGGGGCAGCCAAATTTTAATCCCTGGCACAGTATTGAAGACGAATATCTATCTGAACCTCTCTCCAGCCCACAAATGCTGGTTCACCTAGGCGGCCAAGTGGACATGAGCCGAGCTTTCACTGACGAAGAGCTCGCAAATCTCGTGGTTCGCCTGGCAAAGTACGTGGAGAGCGGTTCCTATGATGAAGACAATGAAGATTTCTCACTCCTACGATCAGAATTACGGCATCGCATGCAGGAGGTATATCGCATCGCTTGGGGCGTACCACCAATGAAGCATCTACTCGGGTACTGCAGCAATATCATGCTTTTGAACGAAGGATCGGACCTTTACTTCAATCATAGTAATTTGCGCGATATCATCAGCAGAAGCAAGTACGCCAGCGTACCCGATGTCACATTGATTACTGTGGTGACCATACTGAGAGGGCTTGCGTTCGAGCTTTGGCAGCTATACCAAAATCAACTTTGGGTCGACCTTGCTGAGCGAGAACTCAAGTACACTAGCAAAAGCAGTGGTAACAAATCCGCATTCTCCACCACGTTTGGTATCAACCGCATCGTCGCAGCAAACGTCAGCCATGAAGTGTACGAATACTGCCGTGTTGTTGAAGCTGACAGCAAAGTACCTGCACCCGTCACGCAAGCAACAGAGGAAACCGGCAGTACACCAACTGTCAGTTTGTTTTCTGCTGCCTCTTGGAAGGTAATCGACGAAGCTCTGGATAATTCCGGTACGGCTTCTGAGGCTGCACAAGCCCGTGCAGCTCCTACTAGACCCAAGAATCCTCTTCAGCAACTTGTTTTGATCGTTTCCGGTGATCTTATGACATGGGGTGGATCAAAGACGTATCCTGCTCTACGTTCCGAGATCGTGAAGTTGTTCGAGAAGTTGTTTGCGTGGAAATTCGTTGATCGAGTTCGGCGAAATGTCGCGGTGATATGCTGCCGTACGAATGGAAGCTCCATTTCTTTCGAAGTGACGGACGAAAAGATCAGTGAAACCCTTACACTTACTTGCGTCGGCTCCATTAGTGAGGCTCGTGAGCTGCTTCATCGAGACCCAAAGAAAGCAAAAGGTGCTGCACCAGTGATAGCAAAGGGTGCAACAATTTCCAAAGGCCATTTCTCAAAACGATTTTCATATCGGAGCATCACCAACACTGGTGGTTCTGCGGCAAGTGGGTCAAACTCGACAGCATCGGGGCAAGTCAAACAACATTCAGCTGATAATGAAGTGGTAAATCGGATACCGGCGCGCTGTCGAACATTTGCCAGCTATTGCTTCGTCACCGACTACCGTCGAGGCTTCTTCGACGAAACTCTTCGATTTTTTCCTTCTCGAGCATCATTACCGAAAACCGTTCTTGGCCCCGTTATTGGTCGAATGGTTCTCAGCGAGGCTCCCAAAGCAGACGTACAAGAACCACTTGCTGACGGTGACCCTGGCGATCCGGTGAAAATGCAATTTACTGTTCCTATCCTTCTTGAAGTCAACGCAGATGCACGCGTCGTTTGTATCGTGACGGACATTCTGGCGAACCAGGACGTTCGTGTTGTGCAAACTCTGACAAGATACCATCCTCACGTGTTTATAATCCCGTCTTTAGTACCGGAACGTCGCTACGTCTGCCGCTTCGAGGGCATCGCTAACTCTGAAAGCCGTCGGGGGAGCTTTCACACACCACCAAGCTCTTCAGCGGCACTCAATTTCTTGACTGTTAGCTCCAACTTTCCCGAGCAAATGGAGGAGACTTCAGAAAGTTTGTGGGCAGCGATAAGAAAGCGCGCTCAAGTGTCGTGGTGTGGGCTGGATATGATCTTGCACTTGGGCGGCCAGGTGCCCATGCACGAAGCTGCGTTCGAGTGCTTGGACTGGGTTCGTCGAGAGTTGAAGCTTCGAGGCAAGGACCTCGTTGACGATGAGATGGATAAATTACTGACCTCTTTGCGTCGAAAAGTACGGCAACGCATGCAACAGCGCTACCGTTTATGCTGGAACATCCCAAACGTGCGTGAAACGCTAGCACACACCAGCAACTGGTTCCTACGCTCGCAGGCAGACGTTGCGCAATTTTTCCGCAATCACGAAATCCTTTACACAAAGGCTGCACAGCTTGTGCTCTCTGAAGCCAGACAGATCGTTGCAGACTACCAGCTTTCGCTCATGCTGCAAGATACCAGCGAGTTGATGACTCCTAGAGCCGATATCACTTCCAACGAACCGCGCCATAATGATCGACAAGAGCCTGAATGTGTCGAAACTCGAATCATAGACGGCAAGGTGTCAGAATCCTCCAAGGAATCGCGAGGTAATGAAGATTCTAAACGAAACAATCAGGAGAGGCACAGCGAAGGTGAAGTAGTTGATGAAAGCCGAGACGAGCCTGTTGACACGGCCCAATTCATTCAGACTGGTGAGGTGGGGATCTTCATGTGTGATATGCGCAGTACGCCTCACGATGACGTTGTGACGTGCAACAATCGACTTCTAACTCCACTCACCCAGCAAGAACGCGCCGTCATAGGTGAAAAACAATGGATGTTGCTGGAAAAAGCTCTGAAAAAGAAGGCCGTGATGGTGTTTGTGCTCTGCATGGAGCATCCGCTGATACTTACCGACGCGAAATACGTTGACGCTATGCGTGAAGATGCTACGCTTTCGGGCGTTGATCAAAGTCAGGAGGAGGCCTCAGGTCGCTGGAAACTGTACGATCGCCAAAGTCTAGCGCAGCACTGGGTTTCGTGTCGCCGGCAGCTGGAGCAGTTGCTGAACTTGCTTTTCCGATGGAAAGCAAAGCACCGTGGCCGGGATGTGATCGTGCTTAGCGGTGGGATGCGTGTTGGGCTTGAAACAATGCTGCAAGATCGTGACACTAAACTATCCGTTCGCAACCTTACCGTCGGCCCGCTAACAGCACGAGTTGAGCCGGATTTCAACGACATGCCCCTCTCTGGTACAGCATGCCCGACATTCCTCGGTGGTGCACAGCGAGACGAACGCTTTACGTTCTCGCACTCAATCGTAGCCAGCAAAAACTACCTTTTGACGCATGCTGTCATCACTCGTGAGCAAGGTGACCAACCGGGTAGAGCTAAAGCTGGTGAAGAGGTCAAATCTGCGAGTATCGAGACAGAGTTTATCGCAGACGATGGTCAAGTGGACACAGCTCACCCTGTCAACCAATACCGGAGGTTCCCAGGTTGGTGGTCGGACTACGTGCCTATGGGCAAGGTCGTTTTCTGGGACGACACTGTCATGATGCGAGCGCAGTCCGACGAGGACGTAACGTCGCTGGCGCGATATCTGCGAGATGGACGAGAGTTCACCGCAGCGCTTGAGGTTCTCTTTGAGAAGCACCAGTTTGCCGAAGCAGCGCGTATGGAAGAGTTGCGCAGTAAGCACCGCAGACGACAGCGCGGTCCCGATGAGCTGCGGTCAAGTCTTCGCGCCGTCTTCGCCGAGCTGTGGAAAGTGCTCCCGGAGTCACATCGCCAGCGCGTGGCCTACTTCCGAGACGAGTTCGTGTTCGACTTCTTGCTAACGTACCTGGGGCCGGACCTGTTTAAGGACAACAAAGCACAAGACGACGAGAGGCCACCGCTTGAGTTCGCGGCCTTCTCCACGCTGTGTCGAGACTTCATCTTCAATGCCGCGGTGCTCAATCTGAGTCTGAAGATGCAGCAGGAAGACGAACGCCGCACGATTGCACTTCAACGCGCCGAGGCTCGCCGCCAGGCTGCTGAGCGCGAGGCTCAACGACTTCAGCAGGAGCAGCAACGTGCCGAAGAAGAGACCGAGCTTGAGCGTTTGCAGCACGAAGACCCGGAGGAATACGCGAAACGGAAGTTGGCGGAGCACGAAATCGCCCAGCAGGAGAAACTGGCGAAGGCCGAGGCGGCTCGGGAACAACGCAAGGCCGAGAAGCTGCGAGACGTGGAGGAAGAGCTGGCGATCGCGAAGGAGCAACGCAAGCTCGACAAACTCGCCGAGAGCGGCAGCGATCCCCACGAATTCACCCGTCGACGCGAACTGCTTGCAGCACGAATTCGCAAATTCGAAGAGCGCAAGCGCCACCGCGAAGCCGATGAAGCACGCCGCCGCGAGAAGAAGGAGAAGAAGAAGAAGGAGAAAGCCGCGCAGCAGAAGGAGGCGCACTAAAGCAGCGTGTCAACCCTGATAACGCTCCAAGATACACGATAACACCATAACTTGATACGCGAAACGACACACAGTTGTCAGTGCCTCAGTCCACCCTGTCTATTTACCTAAAACTTTTGTTCACGTTGCGTCGGCTCCGAGGTGAGCTGGAATTAAGGCCTCGGGCCTTCGACACCAGACCAGACCCGTGAGCCACCGGTGCCTTAGGCAGCTGACGACGGATGTGGCCATCTCGCAGGGCTTGCTGCGGCTACTCTGCTGGCCGGATTCATATGTGCTGGTCGTCTCCCCTGCGAAGGGGGTCAAATAGTCTGCCTGCCTAGTGTGTGGGGAGTGGGGGGATCTGGAGTGGCCCATGCCTATGCATTCAACGCCTCACACTCGTCGATCCAGTCCGTGTACACGTCAATGGGTGCGCTCAAATCTGTGCGTCGCGGGCGAGTAGTTAGCATAGAATCCCAAGGAGGGCCTCGATATCTCCAGCACGTACAATGGATGGGAGTCTGGAAGCTCTCGGTACACACACGGCAGGACAAGTGGCCGATGTTGCGCTCGCGGTCCCTGCACGAAGCAACACAATAAAGTTAGGATACTGCGCGACAGGGGGAAGGAGAACGTTGGGCAGCATTTACATTTTACACTCGACGGCCTCGTCGTGCGAACAGAAGGGGCACTTGAACACGGTGGAGACGACCTGCTTCTTGCGCGTCTGGATCTTCTTGGTGGATTTCTTCCTTCGGCCCATGGCGTTTTCTCTGTGTGTGTGTCTGCCTTGGTCTCCTCCTTGGTCTCGCCTTGTGCCTTGAGCTTGTGCTTGCGTCCCTCAGGAAGAATTCAAAAGTGCCTTCCTTCGTGACTGGGCTGCGTGCGGTGTTTTTTTTTACACGGGTGCCCTAATTGTGCAACCGTTTGGGCGCGACCCCCTCTTTGGGCAACCAGTCAGAGCACTACCGTGGTGCGTGGTCAATTTCGTGCTAATTACGGTACTTGCATTCCCGAGCATTATGGACACCTTGGTGCACCCGTTGCAAGATGTAGTGTATCATGTGTGCAATGCTGGACGCGTGCAATGATGGTGGACTGTTTGCTCAGCCGTCTGCTTATTCTCTCAAGTAGATGGATGGTCCATTCATTTTTAAACTGCCGAGGCCACGAGTCTGCGTAGCTTTTGCTCACTTGGCTTTCCCACACTGCACGTACGGTCGGGTCAGAGAACGCCAGCAGCTTACATGAGCTCGAGCTTGACCTCCTTGGGGGCCTTGAAGTCGGCGTCCTCGAGGTCGAAGCGCTTCATGTAGGCGTCCAGGTCGGCCTGCAGCTCGCTCTGCTCGGCCTCCGTGAGCTTGACCACCTGGCCCTGCTTGGCCTCCAGGTCGGCGGCGTAGGCGCGCAGCTCCTTAGTGAAGAGAGCAGCCACGTCGTCCTCCTTGTTCTCGTCCACCTTGGCGTTGCCCAGAACGTCCAGGGCATTCTTGAAGGCGGCGTCCTTGAGCTTCTTGTCGCCCTTCTCCACGACGGCGCGCACCTTGCTGGTGGCGTTGGCCACCATGCTCTTCTGCAGCTCCAGGTTGTAGCTGGCCTCGATCTCGCGGATCGACTCGAGGTTCTTGACGAACGTGTCGCGCGTCTTGTGGCGCAGCTTGTAGGCCTGCACCTCGCACATGAGGGCCACGGCCTCCTTGTGGGCCTCCGCCACGGCGGCGATGTCCTCGTGGATGTTCAGCATGGCCTTGTGGGTTTCAAGGGTCTCCTTGGCCAGGTTCAGGTTGGCGTCCTCCACGGCGTTGTGCTCACTATGTATGGCAATACACAACCAGGTCAGATATCTCCTGTTGTGCCTAACTCAACCTCCGCATCAATTTCTCACCCCAGAATGGCGGCAGCGCGCTCGTCAAAGTACGAGGCGATCATCTCGCCGCCGAACTTGTACGCGGCCGAGCAGAAGAGGAAGAAGCAGCAAGCCAGCTGGGACTCCTCGTTCAGCACGTAGAACTGTACGTCGTAACAAAGAGAGAGAGGGGCAATTAGCGTACAATATGCGTGAAGGGCGGGGAGAGAGAGGGATGAGAGTGATGCAGCGTGGGCGTACGTGGTTGGAGATGGCGGGGATGGCCAGGGCGCCGATGATCGGGGCCGAGATCTTCCAGTCCGTGAGACCGGCCTGGTCCAGCAGGCCCTCCGTGGGGACGGGGATCTCCTCAGAGGCCTCCTCCTGCTTGCGCACGACGCCCGTGGTGTGCAGGCCCATGGGGCGCAGGTTCTGGGCAGACGCCAGCTTGGACGAGCGGAGCACCGCCTTGCGGAGAGCGATTCGGCCGAGCATGGTCACAGAAGTCTCTTGGTCTGTCGGCTTAGCAAAGTGCAGGGTAAAGGCAGGGTAAAGGCCCCCTCCGGACCGCACGATTCCAGGGCCAGTGGCTCCGTCCCTACATTAGGCTACTGACTCCTAAGTTAGGCTCGTGTTGGATCCTACTCTAGGACCGAATGAACTGTTAAGTTCGCACATTTAGCATCTGTATTTTAGAAAGTAGGCATGACCTGATTTAGAATACTTGTTTAACAAAAACTAATTGAATTGACAGAAACAACGTAAGCTACAGTATTTTAATATTTTAAAAATGATACGCTTACTGCACTCCCGATTAAAAAAAATGGAGCAACACCTCTCAATTTCACTCACGAGCCATCTCCATTGCTGTTAAGATCAGCTATACCGTCTCGAGATCGGGGATCTCGCTGAAATTCTCGTCCACTTCTGTGATCCCCACCTTCACAAATTGAAATGACAGCACATGGTTGGTAATGAAATGAGTGAGAATGTATCTCCACATGTGTGCTGGTGCCGTCATTGAGCGCCACGATACGACTAGCCCATAAAATACACAGGCGAATCCTGCCGAGATACACCTCATCAATTTATGCAACGAAAGAAATTTTTTTCAGATTAGCTGAGAGAATCGGCTCTGCTGTTGTGGGCCCGCCACAGAGTTACTTCGTCGTCCACAGATCAGCAGCCTCGTCAGCATCTGAATCCCACATGAAGGAGTTGGATCCCCACTTGGTGCCCTCGTGAGGTGGACATCCGCCATGACGACTCATTAGGTCAACGTCGCCTTCGGCGGTTTGAACGTAGAAGAGCGAGGCGTGCAGACCGAGCGGAGGCACGGCCAGCCCCGACGAGCACTCGTCCATGCCATCTCGAACAATCTCCTCATCCGAGTATCGATCCACAGAGTAAGGGAAAACAGTCTCGCCGCCAACCTTGGTCTGGTTGTTCAGGTACAGGAACAACGTCACGTAGCGCTGCGGATGGAAGTGCTTCACGTACGAAGGCAGCGAGTAGCGCAATTGCGGAGGTGCGCGGACGCGAGCTTCCCAAGTCTTGATCACCAACTCGGCAAGCTGCGGAAACGTCTTCAGTCCCTTGAACAGAACGTGGTTCTCGCCGCGATGCTCGACCATCCAGCTATACCATTCAGCGTTGGTGATGCGCGTGACTAGTCCAGGTGTGTGGTCGTCGAGGACAAGCTCCAGCAACTGCTCTTGGAACGCAACCGTGTACATCGGATACAGGTCTCCCGTTGGACGGGCGGCGGCGGGAACTTCGTCGCCTAAGAACTCAATCCTCTCCTTAGCCCAACGCACCCACGAGAAGAAATGGGACACCGAGTTCATTTCAGGCTTCGGAAAGGTGTAGTGCAGCTCTGGAATCCCTAAAGCCTTCTCCCAGGTCTTGACGAGCAGCGGAAGATATTCGGGTTTCTTGTCAGCGGCGAGGAGGCTGTCCATGACTCCCAGCGCGTTGTTGTTCACGTTTTCATCCAGCCAGGTAAGCCACGCCTCGTCCCCAAAAGCCTTGAAGAAGTTGCTAGCGTTGGCGGCAGAGTAGAATAGCTTGGCCAATGCGTTTGGAAAGCGTTGGTTGTCTTCGGCGCTCGGGAAAAGCGGCCCGCCTTCACGGAAGTCTGCGGGGATATCGCGCTGAACACTCAGCTCGCGGATCTTGTCCGCAGCCCAGTTAGCCCATTGTTTGTACGCATCCAAGCCATACTTGTGCTCCGCCCCCTTTGGTAAGAACTGTCGCGACGCAAACGTGTCCAAATGTTTGCGGTAGAATTCCCCTGCATTGTATCGCACGAGCTGGAGTCGCTCCGCGAACGAAGGGCTTGACAGTCGAGCTACACGCGCCGACCGCACACGGAATTCTCTCGTGAAGAAGTTGTCTGGCAGGAACGCCGTATGGCTCGTCCGGGACTTGGTCACCACCTTGGACGAGTTGCTGCTGTCCACTTTGGACCGATCGAGGTGCGGTGAGCCAAGTTCGATAATTTTATCAGCCTCCTCCTGCGTCAAGAAGTACTCGACATCGAGCACCTTGGGGCTAATACCCACAGTCGTCAACGTCACGCCGTCCTCCAGCACGTACTTGTACCCCTTCTTGATACCCGGCCACTGCCACAACTGGAAGTCCAGCAGCACATGCACGATGTTCTTTGTCTCTTTCAGCTCCTGTAAGTTGCGAACGGGCTGACCCATCTGACTGTACAGACGCACACCGTTCGCCATGACGTCGCGGTCAGCGCCGAGCCACGCCGCAGCCACCTCGGCCGCCTGACCCACGCACTCGAACTGGCCGTTCCACGAGACGTAGACACCGTCGTTGGCGCCGTTGAGCATGAAGAAGACTCGGTCGTCGTCCATGGGCTGCGGGGCGTCCATGGGCTCCGTGACGTGGAACAGCTTTCCGTCGAATAGCGAAGACGCTGTGTAGTCCGAGTCGTTGCACTTGAGGTCGCTCACGAGGTGTCGAGTACGAATCTTCACGATCTCCGTCTCGTACTTGTCTGGCAGCAGATTGAGCGAGTCGAGGACGCTGGGAGGCAAGCGAGACATCAGTCCGGTTTCTCTCAATACCCTCAGCGCCACGTCATCGAAGTCCCGGTCCTGCTGGAAGAACCAGGCGCCGGCGATCGCGAAGCCGACCACCGCAACGGAGAGGAACGTCACGACGAGTGAGCCAGAACCACGCGTCTTGGTCGAAGCCTTGGATACTACAGCATCGGCTTCTGGTGCCTTGTCCTTCGCCTCCTTCGCCATGCTCGGAGACTTTTCACGATCAACAATGGGCGTGGGGTTGGAAAACCGTTGTGCTCGGTTCAGAAACGAGCCAAAATGCATGCCGAGCGTCGAGCACTTCAACACGACACGACATGAATGGCGTGTGATTTGACACCGACGAAACAACGAATGTATTGCAGATGAAACTACAAATGAATCCACCTGTGCATGATGATAACCCTTCACTCTGTCTTCCTTACTTGGTGGTCCAGAGATCGGCGCCTTCCTCGGAGTCCGAGTCCCACATGAACGAGTTGGCGCCCCACTTGACGCCTTCGTGGGGTGGGCAGCCGCCGTGGCGGCTCATGACGTCGGGGATTCCCTCAGGAGTCTGCACGTAAAAGAGCGAGGCGTGCAGACCGAGAGGAGGCACCGCCAGCCCTGTCGAGCACTCGTCCATGCCGTCGCGGACGATCTTCTCGTCCGAGTACCTGTCCAGTGAGAACGGGAACACAGTCTCGCCGCCGATCTTGGTCTGGTTGTTCAAGTACAGGAAGAGCGTCACATAGCGCTGCGGGTGGAAGTGCTGCACGTACTCAGGCAGCTTGTAGCGCAGCTTGGGGGCGTTGCCCACACGCGCCTCCCAAGTGCGAATCGCCAGCTCGGCGAACTGCGGCCAGACCTGCATCACCTGGAAGAGGACGTGGTTGCGGCCGCGGTTGAGCACCATCCAGTCGTACCATTCCGGGTTGGTCATGCGCGTGATGAAGCCCTTGGTGTAGTCGTCCAGAATGAAGCCAACCAGCATTTCCTGGAACTCCACGGTGAACTTGGGGTAGAGCTTTCCGTCGGGGCGGGCAGCGGCTGGAGCCTTGTCTCCGAGGTAGCTCACACGCTCCTTGGCCCAGCGAACCCACTGGAAGAAATGCGAGACGGAGTTCGTGTCGTGCTTTGGGAACGTGTAGTGCAGCTCGCCGAGGCCCAACTTGTCTTCCCAGGTCTTGACGATACGTGGCAGGTAGGACGGGCGCCTCTTCTCCTCCATGAGGTCCTTCATCAGGTTTTCAGCACCGCGCTCCAAGTTCGTGCGGATCCACTCGTCGTAGTCCGTGTCGAACAATGCCTTGAACTTGTTGGTCGTGTTCATGTAGTCGTAGAACACCTCGAGCAAAGCATTGGGGAAGAGAAGGGGGTCTTCAGGATTCGGGAACAACGGGCCACCCTCGCGGAACTCCTCAGGCACCTTGGTCTGGTCCAGACCACGAAGCTTCTCGGCAGCCCACTTGGTCCATTGCACATAATCATCGAACTCATAGGAATCCGCACCCTTGGGGAGGAACTCACGCGAGTGGAAGGTGTCGAAGTGCTGACGGTAGAACTCACCAGCAGCGTAGCGTACCAGTTGCATGCGCTCCACAAACGAAGGACTGGGGAGACGTGCCACACGAGCAGAGCGCTTCTGGAAGTCACGCGTGAACAAGCTGTCCGGCAGGAACGCCGTGTGACTCGTTCGAGAGATGGTCACCACCTTGGACGAGTTGCTGCCATCAACTTTCGATCGGTCGAGCTTCGGCGATCCAATCTCAATTACCTTATCAGCCTCCTCCTGGGTGATAAAGAACTCCACATCGAGCACCTTGGGGCTTATACCCACAGTCGTCAACGTCACGCCGTCCTCCAGCACGTACTTGTACCCCTTCTTGATACCCGGCCACTGCCACAACTGGAAGTCCAGCAGCACGTGCACAATGTTCTTCGTCTCCTTCAACTCCTTCGAGTTGCGGACAGGCTGACCCATCTGACTGTACAGACGCACGCCATTCACCATGACGTCGCGGTCAGCGCCGAGCCACGCCGCCGCCACCTCGGCCGCCTGGCCCACGCACTCGAACTGGCCATTCCACGAGACGTAGACACCGTCGTTGGCGCCGTTGAGCATGAAGAAGACTCGGTCGTCGTCCATGAGCTGCGGGGCGTCCATGGGCTCCGTGACGTGGAACAGCTCGCCGTCGAAGAGCGTCGCAGCGGAGTAGTCGGAGTCGTTGCAGTTGAGGTCGCTCACGAGGTGGCGCACGTCCAGCGCCACCATGTCGGTCTCGTACTTGTACGGGACGTTCTCCGTGCTGGAGGACACGAGCCCAAAAGGTTTGGCGCCGAACTGGACGGACACCTGGTCCACGAGGCTCTGTAGGCCGTCGGCGTTCAGCGGCACATCCGCGTACTTGGCGGCGCCGGCAGCGAGGGCGACGACTGCGGCCGAGAGCAGCAGCGGCACTGCCGGGCTCTTCTTCTTGGCGGCCGGCTTCTTGGGGCTCGCGGGCGGCGCGCTGGCGCTGGCCTTGCTCTCCTTGGCCTTGGCGTCCTTCGTCATCGCTGCGCGCGCCGGCAAACTGGATAGTGTCGATACTGTAGCTGCTGGACGATCGTCGGCAAAAGTAGCCGTTGAGACTGACGGACGTCTACCCGCTCCTGATTGGCTGCAGGGTGACTCGAGCGGCTCTGTGATTGGTCATAAGGGGGTCTCGGTTTTTTAACTGGACAAAAGTGGGACAGCCTGCCCTAGCCGCTGCCCTGGTGCAGTCTATTATATAGTGGACGCGAAAGACTGCTGCATAGTAAAGGCTATTGAAGTCGTTGTTGGCTGGGCTCACAGTCAGCGCTTGATCTGCTCGAGCAGCCCCTGGCGGATGAGCTGCTCGACGTCCACGCGGCGCAGGAAGTGCTGCGAGTGCGCCTCCAGGTTCACGAGCCCGCTCTCGGTCATGACCTCGCCGCAGTCGCGCAGCACGCGCACCTCCACGTACAAGTCCTTGGGCGGCTTCAGATCCTGCGAGCGACGTCAGCGAAGCAATCGCAATGCACAGGATCAGCGCCCGAACGGAATCCAGTGGAGTGTGCAGTACCCGAAGCCGTACCGCTGAGAGGTCGAGCTCGAAGTCGGCCATGTAGTCCGTCAGCATCTGGTCGTATTGGTTGAAGAACTGCACCTCGCGCTGGCACAAGCTGCAGCACCGATCGCAACAGATCGCAACAAAGCGTCAGTACCTGGTCACAGCACAGCACGGCAGCGCGGTAGTGCGGCTGCACTGAATAATAGTTGCACTCACTTCTGAGCCAGCGGACCCGGGATAATGGTACCCGTTTCCCACCGCAGCGCCTTGATCTTCTCCATGCGGTGGTGCCTGCCCACAGAGCAGCACAGCACAGCACAGTTCAACGCAGCTTAGCAAATTGTCGAGAGGTTGGCACTAGAAACACTACAACGCTCGTACAGGTAGGCGAGCAGGCAGCGCTTGTTGCGCAGCAGACCCTGGTGACTCACGACGAGTGCGCACTCCACCGACTTGGGCATCCCTTCCTTGAACGTCCTGAGCATCGCAACACAGCCCATCAGTCCTCTGCCCTCCAAGACCATTAACGCTACAAATGACCCCTTCACTCACTCGAGTTTCCTGTTCAGCTCCTCGTGCAGCAGCCCCGACTCCTCCACCACCTGCCGCACAAGATCTTCCTGCACAGTCCACCCACAACAACGTCGTCAATGCCCACAGCCGCAGACATCAGCATCCTGCCAGCCACTCGACCGCTCTATCTGCTGAGCACACGCACATTGTACGGCGGCAGCCAGTCGCTGCGCTGCAGCTCGCGCAGCAGCTCCTTCCCCTTGGCATTCAGCGCCATTGCGACGAATTTGGTATTCCCGCCTAAACTTGCGCTGCGAACCTAACCCGAACTTAACACAGAGTGATGGTCCTCGCGCCGCTTCAACATCGGCAACTCCGTCATGGCCGCCTACGAGATCCCGGCCGAGTTCCGCGGCAGCCTGACGCCCGCGCAGGCCGAAGAGCTCGCGGCGCAGTTCCGCATCAGCGACGCGGATGGCAGCGGCTCCATCGACGAGCGCGAGTTCCGCGCGCTGCTCGGGCGCATGGGGATCGAGATCAGCGTCGCAGAGGCGGACGCGCTCGTGTCCAGCATCGACGTGAACGGGGACGGGCTGCTGGACTTCACGGAGCTGGTGCAGATGGTCGTGCGGCTGCAGCACGGTGACGCGAAGCTCGCGGCACTGCGGAAGTTCATGGAGACGCTGGACACGACGCCCGTCGCGCTGCTGGAGCGAGAGGCCTCAAAGTTCGGGCTGCAAGTCGAGTACCAGCTCGTGGAGGACGAGGAGGGCAGCGACGAGGACGTCGCGGAGCCGTCCGAGCTCGTGCAGATGCAACTGGAGCTGCTGGGCAAAGCCTGTGGCCCCACGGGCCGAGTGACGGTGAGAGCCACGGGCAAAACCACCAGAGAAGCCAAGTTCAAGGCTGCGGAGGTCGGGCTGGTGAAGATCAAGAAACTGCAGCCGGGGCTTGCGGTGGAACCTGGAGAGCTCCCACAGCAGTGGGAGAAGTGGCTGTTCGCCAACATTGAGAGGGGCGCCAGTGTCAAGAAACTCATGCACACGCTGGCGCAAAAGGGGTTTCTGCTGACGGGGAATGTGTTGATGATGCAGAGGATCTCGACCAGAGCGTCGTCCTTCCGCCTGCGGGCCAAGGTAGGAAATGAGATCAAGCTGGTTGATAGAGTTTGCGACTGGAGGAGGGTACATTGAGCTGAGCTGACTCCTGAAACTGTGTCGGCTGCAGCGTAATGCCCCGAGCGGCATCTACGGTTCAGGGGTTGATGCTTCAATTGAGTCTGACAATAACAATACGACACGTTCAGGCTCGCCGATCAAGTCATCGCGCACCGCACGCAGCATTGCTGCGGTGGAAAAACTCCCGTCTCCGCCCGTGCAGGTCTTACACCCGCAATGGGCTCACTGGTGTCAACAGGAGCTTGCTCGAGGCATTGACGGCAACGTTGTTTTGAGTGAGCTTGTATCTCAAGGCTTTGAGCCGGAGAGGAGCCCACTTTTCACCCAGAGATTGCTGCGCGTCGTGAAAAATCGAGATGATCGCTGTAGCAACGGTGCGGAATCACCGAGGACAGCAGCGAATAAGCCGTTTTCGTTCCTGCGGGTGCTGGAAGAAGGCATCCCGAAGGAGGTTGAACTCTTTGTGTTCGGTGGCCAAGACGTGAACGCACTACAGTTGGACACGCACACAAAGTTGATGCAATCGCCTCTGCATATCGCGAGCAAACACGGCTACCACTCGATCGCACAGCTACTTATTGAGCGCGGTGCTGAGGTTGATCACTTGGATTCTTTTCGGCGTACGCCGTTGATGGTAGCAGCAAGGTGCGGTCACAGCGAAATCACTGCACTAATGCTGGAGCACGGGGCCAACATATTTCAACTGGACAATTTGAAAAACTCGGCTCTGCATTTGGCTGCGTTCAGCGGGAGTTCGACGATTGCTTCGCAACTGCTAAGCGCGCATGACGACTCTTTTCGCTTATTCATAACTAATCTACCGCATCTCCGCGGTGAGTGTTACGAGTACTTACTCCAGAAAACGTACGACACCATTATGAAGCGCAAGTTGCGCGACAATGAACGCCGCCGATTTCATGTTTCATGGCTGTTTGAATCCGTTCAGTGGCTGCACGCTGAACTATTTGGCAGTGGCGGTGACAACACCCGCATCTGTAAGATGCCAGTACCACAGAAGGCTTTCATGGATTATCTCGTGTCGCGGTATCACAAGAAGCTACCGAAGCATGGTTTTCACGATGAACTTGCAGCTATGGGCGAAAACGACAGTGAAGAGGAGGAAGAAGGCGCCGACGACGAGCAGGCGAGGCGAAGAAAGGAAGATGACCCTGCAGATTGGATTTCCGTCGCAGAAATGTCGTTCTTTATGGATGTGTGCTTGCGTGAATTGTATAAACACTTGCCGAACCTTCAGGGACGCACAGCATTGCACGTAGCATGTGAAGAAAATCTGGTATGTACTCACGAACGCGTGATCCAGTGTCTAGCAGAAAAGAACGGGTGCAGTCCTTTTCTGCTTGACCACAGCGGTCGAACACCGCTGCAGCTTCTACTAGCATGCCGAGGTCGCCCAGGTAGTCCAAAGGGAGACGCAATTTACGAGCAGCAAGTGCTACAGCAGCGTATCGAACGTGTCCTCGCGAAGGAGGCTCGTCTTGAAGAGGAGCGCGTCGCTCACCGACGAAAGGTGTGGCAGGACGAACTCGACCGAATGAGTCATGATTTCAATGAACTGGATACGTTGAATCGGATGCGAAAGCTTGTCAAAGAAAATGACGGCAAACCTGTCGCGCGCAGCCCAGGTTGGGACATCTACGAAGAACCATTGAGTCACAACCGTCTATTTGAAAACACTCGCAGTGGCTTCGTCCAGCGACAGGTTCCAGCACAAGTTGTCGAAGAAGGTCGAACACGATTAGGCTGGAAGGAAAAAATGGAGACAAGCGCACATTTTGTAGAGCGCCATCGTTCGCATCCAGCTTGGGAGCTGTACCGTGTGAACGGAGCCGATGTGTACTTCTTTTTCAACCGCGAATCCGAGCTATGTCAATGGGTGTCGCCTGAGGGTTTATCTATCAAAGAATGGCGAACTAAGCGCTTCTTTGAAAATGCTGAACAACTTGAGGATGAACCAGACCAAGAAAGTCTTGTGGTGAAGTTCTCCGGAACCGCATCAGCAGCGGTTGTGGATAATGCCGTAAAAGGCCGAATGCTTGGAAGTTGGCGTGAGTGTCGGGGATTCGGTGGCGTCACATTTTATCTCCACACCGTTGATAAACGAGTTGTAGTGGAGAAACCTGCCGAAGTACTTTTACACGAAGCTTATCGGTACGCTCAAACGCTTATCTTTGAGCGCAGTGAGGAGATTGAGACACACGATCGCGGCTGGCATCGGTACTATGATCCCCAAACATCACATACTTTTTATCTCAATGAATTATCAGGTGACTGTGTGCATGACACATTCGCAACCAAGAAATTCTTGCAGGAGATTCACCGGCCAAAACGTCAGGCACGGTTTGCTCTTACTAATGAGGAACTACGTCGTCGTCGAGAGGAGCAGGAATGGAAGTCAGCGTTGCAGCGAGCACGGCGGCATGATGAACATCTCAAGACTGCAGAAGAGCAAAATACCATGGCTACTGAAAAACAGAGACAGGAGCAAGAGGAGCTTGAACTTGCACTTCGTCAACTCGAAAGCAGTGTTACAGGTGAATACTTGACGATAGCTGGTGACGACGAAAATCACGCTGAAAGTGAGACGGACAACAACTTAAAGGAGAAACAACGGGCTAAGGCTAAACGAAGGACAAACAATAAGGGGAGAAGTTTGGCCTACATCGATGCTCGGTTCCGCCGAGAGCGCGAGGTATTCCTCCGAGCGAGAGAACAGAACCTGTTGACCTCGATCGACCCAAGCCGAGTAGATCCACGGCGTGAAATCGAGCGAGGCCAAGCACTGGAGCAGGAAATGAACGAAGAAGAGCTGGAAAATGCGCGGCTGGAGGATACCGACGCCAAGCCCGCAATACGAGAGCGTCGTCGCGTTAGTCGTATCTTGACACGGACAGATGAGCGACTGCATTTGGGCCGAGCATTGTGCCGATGGGGTTGTGAGCAATGGTTCCCACGTGAATTCAGCCTCGAAGAGCACGAACACGTTGAGTGTCCAAGGAGACTCATGGTGTGTCGCCTGGGCTGCACGATGGTTATGGAGTGGCGGCAGTGGCGCGAGGTTATCTATGACCACGAGTCCGAGTTCGAAGAGCAATGCTCGAGTCGCATCGTGTATTGCCCCCGAGATTGCGGTGTGTGGTTGCCTCACTTCGATCTAGCGGTGCCGCATATGCGGGATTTGTGTGTACGACGACCCGTGGGGGACTTGCGATGCAGGCTGGGCTGTGGTCGGGTATACCAAGGCGGCGCACATGAATTACTGGCACTAGAGCAAACACGCTTGGCTCATGAGCAAGATGATTGCGAGTTACGCAAAGTGAAGTGTACGTGGCCAAAGTGCAATGCGATGATTCTGGCCAAAGAGCGCAATGCTCACCGCCGCGTCCACTTGCTATCGTCGGGCATATTGAGTTTTGTCACGGCCGAGGTGCACGAGTACAAGGTGCCACGCGATGTGAAACTGCTAAAGCTCCAGGCATGGGGTGCCGGCGGTGGTAGTGGTCTCTTGCGTGGTCAAACGGTGGGCCACGGTGGTGGCGGCGCGTTCGTGGAGGGTATCTGCCCCGTGTTTCCAGGGGAGACGCTTTACTTCTCAATTGGATCGGGCGGTAGCGGTGGTAAGTTCGCTCGAATGGCCGAGGCTCCTGATGATGAAGCGAGCGATGATGCGGACGGAGCAAGGAAAACCAAAACGGTGCCTGGAGGCGTTCTTGTCGCTACGCAGGTATCCACCGCTGCTGGAGGTTTCCCCGGCGGCGGCCAAGGTCACAGCGGCAACAAAGAGTCTGCGTGTGGTGGCGGTGGGGGATTCACGAGCATTTACCGACAGGGCGCGTACGGGATCGAGTACATTTTGATCGCTGCGGGCGGAGGTGGCGGGGGTACTTGCCGAAATGGCAGCGGAGGTGGTGCCTCTAAGGCTCGAAAGCTGCGAGAAGGAGACGACTTTCGGTGCGGACGACCAGGGGGCGACGCAGCAGGTGGCGCTGCTGGAGCGTGTGACGAATTTAACCCGATATGCAAGTTTGTGGGCACCAGCGGGACGTCGATGCAAGGTGGGGACGGTGCTGAGTTCGGTGGTGGTGGAGGAGGAGGGCTCTTCGGTGGAGGGGGTGGCGGGTTCGCTCCGGGCATTGTCGGTGGCGGTGGCGGCGGTTCCAGCTACGTTAATTCAAGTCTCTTGAACACCAAAAGTGTTCGTGTTGAAGCGGGTATTGTGGTGAAGCCTGGTGGAATGGATGAGAACCCACCGCAGAGCGTGCGAGGCGCGTATTGGGACGTAGTTGATGGCGTGGCTGGCGAAGGCGGCACCGGATCGACACGGGCTACTGCACGCGGCAACCACGGGGGTGTACGAATTGCCAGGCCTGGGTTCTTCGACGACATGAAGTTCCATCGCTAGGCTTCGGATATAAAGAAGTTTTTATATTATAAAAGACGTGAGGCCAGCGCCGTGTTCCCCAGGATGCTGGTTTCTCTACACATTGACGACGACGTCGTCTACATCTGCAGAAATTCCAGCATCAGCACTGGCAGCAACTACTTCAACGGCACTGGTCTCCTCTATCTGTGGATCGTGCTGAAAAATCTGCTTAAGAACGGAACGACTTGGTGCCAGATGAGGTTTGTCGCTGGCTTGGTCGGCTAGAGCAGTGACTGTAGCCGAGGTGCTACCATGCGAAGACGCGCACGATGAAGGGGCACCGCCAGGGTCAGCTGAGGTAGCATCAATTGGATTCGAACTTTCGAGTGGTTTTGGAGGAGAGTCGACCGTAGACTGCGCTTCATCCCCAGCAACCGACCCAGCAGATTGGCGACTTTTGTTTAGACTACGGCGTAGTGTGTCCGCAGCAACTGCAGCCATAACGCTTGACTGTCGAGAAGAAGAAAATGCAACAGGAAAACTGCTGGTTATTACAAGAAAATCATCAACTGGAGTCAAACTGACGAACCGCACGTACCCGGAACTTGCGACGCATGAGGTGTCGGTACTGCTCAAGGCCCTCCATGTCCGAAGTCGAGACAGCCAAAGACAGACGCGACGTGTGCTGAGACTTGAACCATTCGTAGGCGAGAGCTTCAGCGGCTGTGGGCCGCGTTTCCGGTGCGACTTGAAGCAAAGCCGAGATCAGTTCCTTGGCCTCGGTGGATATCGCATCCCAGCGCGGCCCGGTCATGGAGAACTGCCCCGACTGAATGTTCTTTATCATTTGATCTCGGGTCTGACGTCCATCCGGGTCAAACGGGTGAATTCCACTGAGCAGCACGTACAGCACGATGCCCACGCTCCACAGGTCACTCTGGACACCAACCCCAGAGTGCCGTGCTGGTCTAGCTGGCGAGCCATCCTCTGAGTCCTGCTGTTGAGACTCTGTCGGTTTGAAGACCTCGGGTGCGCAGTATGCCCAGGTTAATCTACCATTGGAAAGCAAACTGCTCTCTTCAACAAGTGCGGCCAGACCGAAGTCAGCCAGCTTAATGGTCGCACGCTTCGGGCTGGCAGACGTCAGCAGCAAGTTCTCCGGTTTGATGTCCCTGCGTAGAGGTGATCAAGTTAGAAATGCTGCTGACATTTATGTATCGACGCTCAGCTCTGTTACGCCTTACCTGTGTGCGATGCCGAGTCTATGCAGAAAGCACAATGCTTCGAGGAGATCGGTGGCAAAGCGTCTAGCGTCCCATTCCGAGTACGCACCCTCGTCAATGAGTGCTTGGAAGAGTTCCCCACCTTCAGCCAGCTCCGTGACGATGTACACGAAGTCGGGGGTCTCCAGCACGTCAAGGAATGCTACGACATTTGGGTGAGAGGCACAGCGACGCAGCAGTGCCACCTCGCGCTCCCACTGGACAGGGTCATCATCAATTAACCTCTGCTGCGCCTTGTCCAAGCGTTTGATAGCAACCAGCTTCCCAGAGGCACGCTCTCGCGCACGAAACACTCGTGAGCATGCACCCTCGCCAAGAAGCACCTCCGGCGACTCGACCTCGTAGTTTTCGGTCAGCGAGGGCCAACGGCGACTTGCACAAACGCCCATCTATAATCAACAGGAACTTATTCTTGAGAGTGCTCAACAGGAAATGATCTGCAGCGCAACATTGAGGGCATCGACGTCTTCGGCTTATAAATACTTGGCTTGTGGGTCAAGTTGCGGGTGAAAACGAAGTAAATTTATAGCCGCTGAGTTGACGTCAATCGCGCACTCGGATCTGAAGAACCTGTTGAGAGAAGGATCGGAAGACCACGCATCAGATCGAACCATTATTTACGTGCAATAAATGACCTGCGGGTGTGTGGAGATCAGTGTTGACGACGTGCATGTATAATTTCCTATTCTACATGTATTTAATACCAGCAAACCAATGCCGGGGCAATACGAGCACAAGCAGTTTGCCCGAAATGGAGCGTTTTCGAATCGAAAACTTTTCGATAGCTAGGAACTGCATACACGACGTGGCAGGATAGCACAACTGAACTGTGAAGTTGGGGGATCAAAGGAAAAGGAATTTGCAAGCATCACCTTTGTTGATGACACGGTCGGATTCGGTACACCAATACAGGTAGGCGCCCAAACCCAGCTCGTCAAGTGTACTTCTCACGTCAACGTCAGGAGCAAAATTATCTTGGTCATTTGTACATTGGTCCGCAGACTCATCGCCCCATTGCGTTATTTAGAGGCGCAGACGGCCGCGACGGCTGACGGGTCACGTCAACTCGTCCAAGGAGCTAACATGTGCTCAGGACCATCGTGCGAGGCATGCTCTTAGAAAAGATGCGGAAGTTCATAGGAATGTCTTAGAACACCAGGTCCCTAACCAACTGGAAGCCTAGAGTACTTTAGTACTGACGTCAAGGTCACTGGTAATCAACGAAATGCCTCTACATGCATACTACCACTTCAAAGCACGCTTCATTGCAACCTCACTTCGATTGCGGCCAGCGCCACTGTCGAGCTCTTCGAATGAATACGATCCAGAGATGTCTGGTTCGGTGTGCCCAACCATGGAATTCGACGCTGGAAGCATTGACCATTTAGCCCCACGCTTCCAGCGATTCCCATCGCACCTGCGGCCGACTCTCTCCAGGCTGTCATCCACCACGACAGGCGTGAGCTCATGTGAGCCCTTCGTTCGATATCCACCTCCCGATTTGAACGTCTCGGATTCTCACGACTACAAGACGACTTGCTATATATACAGACGCAGCGCTAATAAATAGCCCCAAAGCTGTTTGTGTTGTTGTCCAAGAGCACCAAGAAGCACCATCGAGAGCCCGTCGTAAGCATTGGGAGAGAGCGGAGAGGAGTGCCTCCATTTGGCGAGTCCATCAAGGTCTCGGCTCGCCACGCATCACATTCGCAGTGACTCCAACGCGCCAGGTGGTTGCGGTCGTTGCGTGTACTTCTGCGCCCTCTGCTTGGGCCATCTGTGCCTGCCCCAGCCCATTCCGGGTGGTGGTCGGTCACTTTAGTCCACCACGCTCGCTCTCTGCAGGTCGGTTCCTTCGTGCCTGCTGCCTTCTTATCTTTGCCACTCCTAGAATCCCCGTGCAGCGCACACGATGCCGTCGCCAGGTTCGCTGCAAGTGCTGGCCGGGCCGCTCGAGGTCAAGATCAAGGCGGGGGCGTTCTCCACCTGGTCCGACAGCTTCGTGCGGCTCGAAGGCCGCTGGATCTGCGTCTACAAGCGCGAGCGCGACTCCACGCGCCAAGGAGCGGTCGAGCTGGGGCTGGGCGTGAACGTCACGGACCTCTCGAATCCAGAGGCGTCGGCCAAGTTCCCAAGGCGATTCGACTTGACCTGCAGCGGTGGCCTCCTCCCCAAGACGGAGGTCAACTTCCGCACCAAGTCTCGGAAGGACCGGGACCTCTGGGTGCAGGCCATCGCCAGCAACGTGCAATGTCTGACGAGTCCGCGCGGTCTGGACCCTCGCTTCGGGGTGCGGGAGCTCGCCCCCGTGGCCAACAAGATGAAGCACGACTTGATGCTGCACCCGATCCGCATCCGCTCCGACCTGACAGTGCGTTGCGCCACGGGCGAAGCGATCGTGACGTTCCTCGTGAACCAGGGCCTCGTCCCGGATCGAGTCTCGGGCGCTGCATTCTGTCGCCAATTGGTGGCCATGAACTTGCTGCACCACGTCATGTGGGACCGCGACTTCACCGACTCGCCCGAGCCTTTCGTGATCGTCGCACTAGGCGATAGCGATGTCGACGGGTTGATGGACATGGAGGACGACTATTACGTCGCCCACTTCACGAAATACATGGATTCGCGCAAGTTCTGGCGATACATCGCAAGCCCCGACGCCGTGGACGGGAGCTCCATCACTTCGGCCAGCAATGTGTCGAACGGTAGTCGCCGTGCAGTGGATCGATCCACGAGTTCGTCGGACAGTGGACGAGCGATTGGACTCATTCCCGGCTCGGATGATGAGGGTTCTCGGTTCTCCATGCTTAGTTCGAGCAACAGCCACGGCAACCTCCTCCCGCCCAAGGCGGACCGCACAGTGGAGAAGAAGGCCAGGAAGTGTGCGGTGTGCACCAAGTCGTTCAACCCGCTGCGTCGCCGCCACCACTGCCGCCAGTGTCGCGCTGTTATCTGCAGTAGCTGCAGTGTACTCCGACGCTCGAACAGTACTGCAAGTGAAGCTGAGGGTGAAGACGCAACGTCGTCTTCGCGCGTCTGCATCAGCTGCAAGCTCAGCTCCAACGAGACTTTCATCAGTGAAGCGGACGATCTGGCGAGCGGAATGGTGCAGCTCCAGACGCCCGAGAGCACGAGTGAGAGGCAGACGTGCGCGTCGTCGATAAGTGATGGAATGGGCAACAGCATACGCACCAGGTCGAATGGTATTCTACCGAGCCAAGACGCGTCCGACGCGTTGTTTTGTATGCACTGTCAGAACGAGAACTGCGCGCCGCTGACGGACTTCGCGCAGATCTCGTACCCTGCCGACCGCACCAAGGTGGACGGATTCGTCAAGGCCAAAGTGCTGGACAACGAGACTGAGCGACTCCAAACCGTCGACAAGCTTCTGGTCACGATGGCGGCCACGCCCAGCGCTACGCGAGTGCTCAAGCAGTTCTGCAACATGGCAGCGATCGCTTCGCAGTGCTCGTTCGCCGTTGTCGGCCTGCTAGACCGTGACAACTACGTCTTGGGCGCTCAGTACGGAGTGAGTCTTGGGGCTGCGGTGGCGAGGAAGAAGTCTCTGGCTGCTCACACTTGCCGTAATGGCACGTCGCTCGTCTGCGCGGACATGACGCGAGACGTCCGATTCCAGGGCAACGCGTGGCGACAGGAGAGTCTCAAGAACGCGGCGTTCTACGCCGGCATCCCGTTGGTGCTCTCCAATGGCCACGCCGTCGGCGCGCTGGAAGTCTTCGACGCTCAACCGCGCTTCGAGTGCGGCGAGGTCATCGGTCAACTGCAGACTGTGCTTCGAGGCCTGCTCAACCTGTTCGAGGAGATCATGACGGCCGCTGCAGAGGCTCAAGCTGCAGCTGAGAAGCAGGCCCAAGAAGAAGCGGCCAAGAAGCAGAACAAGGTCGACGCGCCTGCTGTGAACCCCATGGAGGCGCAGCTACTTCAGCTGCTCTCGCAGACCACCACCACGCAGGAACAACTCCGCACTCAGCAGGGCCAAATGGTCAGCGCCATCAGCAGCCACTCCAAACAGATTGACAACTTGGCCAAGCAACTCGAGCGGATAGAAGCAACGCTGGCTGCCAAGCTCGGCAGCGAAGGCCCAGCGGAGTAGACGAAACCTAGGAAAATCCCTATCTAATTATCAAAAGGCAACGGAATGAACACGCTTTTGCATCAAGAGCTTACTTAAGTAGAGGTTGAAGAGTCTACGATAGGTATCGTTTCGGTGGCAAACACTATCGTTCATTATCTCCAGCTCCTACATTTGCTTCGCCTTCGTTCAGCTTTGGTTCATTGACGTACAAAGTAAAACGCATGACGGACGGCTCGCGAACCTGATCGGTCGATGCGAGCCATGCACGGGGCCCCCTACCTTACTGGCACAACAGCTCGCTGCTGGGATTAATTCACTACCTGGGCAACTGGGTGGGCTGGCTGAGAGCCCTCTACGCACTTGCTGCGTCAGCGTCCTTCTTGGAAGGCGAGTCCTCGTCGTCCTCCAGATCCATTCCGAGCTTGGCGGCGAGCGTCGATTCCATGCGCTCAAGCTGCTTGGCCAGGTCGTTGATCTGCTTCGAGTGACTGCTGATAGCGCTTACCATCTGACCCTGTTGGTTGCGCAGTTGTTCCTGTGTGCTAGTAGTCTGAGAGAGCAGCTGCATGAGCCGCATCTCCATTTGTTCCTGAGTGGGCTCAGCGCCCGCCGCGGGTGCTGCTGCCTCTGGTGCTGGTGCGGGGGCCGGGGCCTCTGCTGGGGCAGGTTCCGGGGCCTTAGGAGCTTCCTTCGGCGCAGCAGGCTTGGGCGGTTGAGGCGCGGGGCCCGACGGCTTGTGGTTCGGCACTCCGGGAGATCGAGACGTCTTGGGCGACTTCTTCGGCGGCGGGATAGCAGGAGGAGCAGGAGCGTTAGGTGCCGGGGCGCGCGGAGTGCGCTGCTTACCCTCACCGTTCTCACTCTTAGGTGTCCGCCGTCCAGACGAAGACGACGACTTGTGCGATGCTTCATCCTCCGCTGATCCCGGGTTCTTGGCCAGGATTTCCTCGAACTTGCGAAGCAGGCCGCGCACAACAGTCTGCAGCTGAGAAATGACGTCCATGCACGCGAAACGCGGGGTCACATCAAACACCTCGATAGCTCCGATCGTGTGGCCGTTCGACAGCGTCAGCGGGATACCAGCGTAGAACTGAGCCTGCAGAACATCTCTCCGCCACGGGTTAGCCGCGAAACGCACGTCCCGAGTCAAGTCGCTGCACACGAGCGGCGATCCATTGCGGCACGCGTGCGCCGCCAAACTCTTCTGTCGGTCAATCTTGTCCAGCGAGCCGAGGCCCGCCTCAGCGCAGGGCACGTACACGTGCTTGTCCAGCAGACCCACAAGGGCCATGGGGCTCGACGTGGCAATGGCAGCCATGTTACAGAGCTGCTGGACAGTCTGAGCAGCAGACGTGCCAGCCTTCAGGGCTCCGCGGATCGCGCGCACCGATCGGAGACGCTCCTTCTCGTTGTCCAGGTGCTTGGCTGCAATGTACTGGTTCTTGGCCGCGGGGTCGGCCAGCTCGAGGAAGAACGGGTAGGGCACCTCGAAGTACTCGTGCAGCGGGGCGCAGGCCTCGTTCATGCACCACGGGCAGTCCTCCGCGACCGCCGCCGGGCCCGTGAAGGAGCCATGCCGTCCCCTAGCACCTGACGCGCCGTCGTTGCCACTGGTCGTGCTGGATTTGCGCCGCACCGGGAGGTTCGACGCGCTGGCCGTGCGCTTGTCCATTGCGGGGTTCATGTCGATGCTCGAGGCGCCCACCGCCATGTCGTCCTTGGCCGTTCCGGACGAGTAGGACGCGAAGCTGAGCCGGTCTGTGGCGAAGTCCCCCTCGCTGCCGCTGGGCTGCGAGTCCGTGGTGCCGCCCGTGTTGGCGCCGCCGTTAGTGGAGAAGATGCGGTCGTAGAAGTCGTCCTGCGACGCGATGGAGCTGAGCTTGCAGCTGACGCACATGCGCACGGTGATGGCGCCCTCGAAGGTGCTCTCGACCTTGCGCGAGATGCTGCACGAGCTGCAGACCACGGCCGTGCACGTGCGGCAGTAGTGGCGCCTGCGCAGCGGGTTGAAGCTCTTGCCGCAAACGCTGCACTTCTTGCTGGCCTTGGACTCGGCCGCCGCGTTGGCGTTGTGCACGTGGCCCGCGAGCTGCTGGTGCTGCATGCCGCCGGCCACGATGGTCGTGGTGTTGGTGCCCGTGATGGAGCTCGTGGTCGTGAAGGTCATGGGCTTGCGGTCGCCGCGCGCGCTGTGGTCGTTGGCGCGGCTGCGGTGCGAGCCGCCCGAGCTGTTGTGGAGCGCCTCCATGTCGTCGCCCTGCTGCGACGGGGCGTGAGCGGCGTACGAGTCGGCCGAGGAGCTGGCGGTGGACGAGAGCGACGCGGAGTCGTCGAGGGCGGAGGTGGCGGTGGCGACGCTGCCGCTGAGGAACTTGGTGCTGCTGTTGGCGATGTTAAAGTCGAAGAGGTTGCGCACCATGAGCTGGGCCGGCGAGGCGGGGGCTACAGCTCCTTAGGTGGGGGCAGGCAGGCAGGGGGGGGCTGCTCGGCTGCGGAAACGACGACTGGGTCGACGCCGCAATGCTTGACTGACGGCGGGGGGCTCGCCGACGGAAGAAGCGGGGCTCGGCAGCGATTATGCGCCAATGGGGAGCGCGACCCGTGAGGACTTTGAGCCAATGGCGCGCTGCAGCGACCGAACGACACAGCGGGGCTCTGACTACCGTACAGAGACGGACCGGGATTTGCAACGGCTGGTGCCGGAGGATAAGGACTTGCCCTGCCTGGAGGCGAGCGTCGAAGCTTGAGCACCATGCTGCGCGTGAGTGTCCCCTGATGGCGAGGAAGTTGAGGCGCTCCGTGCCGCGGGGCTGCAGTCGGTGCTGCTGTTTTTGAACGAGGTCTAACACGCTGCACCGCGGGCCGGAGCAGCGCAGAGGTGTGCCCAATGCGGGCCGTTGCTTAACACGGTGAGTGCCCTGTCACGCAGTCACTCTCGGCGGGGATAGGTCGCGCCCGAGCACAGACTTTGGGCGCGCGCGAGCCCACGACGGGCGTTGCGGTGTGTTTGGCTCGACTGCAGACTGCGGCGCCGACGGAGGGAGCCGGAGCCGCCGATCCTGCCATTGTTCCGCTCTCGAGCGAGCGACTGCACCGCCGCTCGGCCGGAAAAGGGCCGACGAGCTGTGGCCCACGGCGCAGCTCCGAGGCCTGAGAGCGGAGGGCTCAGCGAACTGCACGAGATCTCGCGGTCGCCGCTGTAACAATTTCCGCGCCAGTTCCGCAGTCCGAATGCTGCCGGCGTCGCAGTCGTCCGACCGAAATCACCCCGAGCGAAAGCCATCTCTCTGGCCTGCTGGCATTCGACTCCCGGAGGCGATAAGGCAGTGCCTAAGGCAGGAAGGAACCTCCTGCCTGCCAATTGCAGCGCTCTGCGCGGATGCAGAGCTTGCGCTAGGATTTGGGCGGGGCCTGCGCCAACGGTTTGCTCAGCCCCGTGTCAGTGCAGCGCCCTCGCGCGGGGCAACGTGGCAGTCAAGCCCGAGCACGACTTCACCCTCGGCCACGCTGGAGACCAGGGCAGCCGCTGCTGTCGGACAATCGAGGGACAACCCCACCTTGACCCGAGTCGAACTTAGCGCGGGACTTGGCCAGGGGGATGGGCCAACTTCAATGTCCTCCGCCAATCCGCGTGCAGTACGCATTGAAGACCATTTTTAGCTCTTGGGTCTGTCACAGTGCTACTAGTGACTACAGCGAGTGTAGTGATGGCCACCGTGTCCGCTCGAGACGACGAGGAAGCGCAGCAGCGCGCGCCCGCCAAGATGCCGCCGCGCTACATGCGCCCCACGTTCTCGTCCATCCTGCCCGAGTACGCCAACGCCGAGGCCGACCAGATCCGCAAGGCCTTCGTGGCGGGGAACTACGCCAACATCCAGAAAATCCCCGCGCGGCTCCGGAACAACGCCGTGAACCAGGCGCGCTTCGAGAAGATGAACGAGAACCGCCTCACGCAGCCCAAGGGCGGCAAGAACGCCACCAGGGACGGCCTCTTCAACAAGTTCGAGTACACGCCGTCGCGCTTCAGTCTCGCGGACGGACAGGCTCACATGGAGCGACTGCGCTCCGAGGCCAAGCGCACGGAGATCAGCGGCCAGGACTTCGTGAGCGGCTGCGCTGCTGCTCGACTTAAGCATGAGGACGCCTTTGGGGCGACAAACTTCCACTACCCGCACTTGCACGAGCCGTACCCTGACGTCAAGGAGGAGAAGAAGCACCAGCGCTACCTCGAGGAGAAGAAGATCCTGTATGGAGCCTTTGTGCCGTGTGGTCAGCGCCCTCCGGTCGACGCTGTGACGCGGAAGCTCATTCCGCAGATCATCCAAGAGATTCACGAGGTTATCGCCGCGGACTGGCAGGACCTCGACTTCTCCATCTCTCTAGCTCGGGACGAAAACCTCGTGGTGCGCTTCAACCACGTGTCCACCGAGTGTGAGAACGGACTTGTTGCCTACATGAATGTGTTCTGCAAGACCAACCGAGTGGCGAGCAAGTACGGGCTGCAGAAGGTCGCGGAGGACTGGAACGCCAAGCCCGGTGACGGAGGGCTTTACTTTGCGTTCCGGCCACCGTGGGTCAAGAATCGCTCCAAAGACCTCATCATTTTCGTTAATAACTCCGCAACACCTCGCGGCAATCAATAGCTGTGAATGCAAACGCTACCTTTCATTACGAATTTACGTACCATATACTCACTCTCCTCTCCTTAGCTTACTTGGTGGTCCACAGTTCTGCGCCTTCGTCGGCGTCCGAGTCCCACATGAAGGCGTTCGATCCCCACTTGGTTCCTTCGTGGGGCGGGCAGCCACCGTGGCGGCTCATCTCGTCGATGTCGCCCTCGGGTGTCTGCGTGTAGAACAGCGAGGCGTGCAGTCCGCGGGGTGGCACGGCCAAACCCTTTGAGCACTCGTCCATGCCGTCGCGCACGATTTCCTCGTCGGAGAAGCGGTCCACTGCATAGGGGAAGACAGTCTCGCCACCGATCTTCGTCTGGTTGTTCAGGTACATGAAGAGCGTTACGTAGCGCTGCGGGTGGAAGTGCTTGACGTACTTGGGCAGCTTGTAACGCAGCAGAGGGCTCCGCACACGGGACTCCCACGTCCTGATGATCAGCTCGGCGAAGTGAGGGAACGTCTTGAGCACCTGGAAGAGCACAAGCAAGCGGCCGCGGTTCTCCATGAGCCAGTCGTACCATTCTTCGTTCGTCATCTGAATGATGAAGTCCTTGCTATAGTCGTCGTGCACAAACTCCAGCAAGCGCTCTTGGAACTCGACAGTGTACTGCGGGTACAGGTCGCCATTGGGACGAGCAATAGGCGGGCACTTGTCACCGAGGTAGCTCACGCGCTCCTTCGCCCAGCGGACCCAGTTGTAGTAGCTCGACTGACCGTTTACCTGCGGCTTGGGGAACGTGTAGCGCAGCTCGCCGCGGCCGAGCTTCTCCTCCCAAGCCTGGACAATACGTGGCAAGTAAGAGGGACGCCTCTTCTTGTCCATCAAGTCCTTCATGAGGTCCAAGGCGTCCTTGTCCAGGTTGATACGAATCCACCGCTCATATTCCTCGTCCGTAAGGGCCTTGAACATGTTGGTCGCCACCATCTTCTGGTGGAAAACTTCCAGCAGAGCATTGGGGAAAGTTTGCTGGTCCTCCGCGTCGGGGAACAATGGACCACCCTCACAGAACTCTTCCGGCAGCTTGCTCTGATCCAGACTGCGAAGCTTTTCCGCCGCCCACTTGGTCCATTCTTCGTAGTCTTCGTAGTAGAACGCGTTGGCGTCCTTGGGCAAGAAGTCGCGCGAGTGGAACGTATCGAAGTGCTGGCGGTAGAATTCCCCAGCGTTGTACTGCAGAAGCTGGAGGCGCTCCGCAAACGTCGGACTAGGCAGGCGAGCCACGCGTGCCGCTCGTACGCGGAAATCGCGCGTGAAGATGCTGTCCTCCAGGAAGGCCGTGTGGCTCGTGCGCGACTTGGACGTGACCTTGGACGAGTTGCTGCCGTCCACCTTCGAGCGGGACAGCCCGGGCATGCCGAGCTCCATGATCTTCTCGGACTCGTTCTGGTTCAGGAAGTACTGCACGTCGAAGACCTTGGGGCTCATGGCCACGGTCGTCAGCGTAACGCCGTCCTCCAGCACGTACTGGTACCCCTTCTCAATGCCCGGCCACTGCCACAACTGGAAGTCCAGCAAGATGTGGACGATGTTCCTGGCCTGCGCAAGATCCTCCGCGCTGCGGATGGCAAAGCCCATCTGATTGTACAGTCTCACGCCGTTCTCCATGACGTCGCGGTCGGCGCCCAGCCAACCCGCGGCCAGCTCCGCCGCCTTGCCCACACAGTTGAACTCTCCGTTCCACGACACGTAGACGCCTTCATTGCGTCCATTGAGCATGAAAAACACACGACTGCCCATGGGCTGCTCCAACTGCATCGGATCCTGCACGGGCAAGAGCTTGCCGTCGAACAGCGGGCTGGCCGCGTACTTGTCGTCGCTGCAGCTCAAGTCGCTCACGAGGTGGCGAACCTCCATCGCAATGAGCGTCTCGTCGTCGTACTTGTACAGCAGCTCCTGCTCCTGCTCGAGGGCACTGGAAGGGTTCATGAACTCGTTGTACTGGACGCTGAGACGGTCCGAGACCTTGGACACGAGCTCCTCGACCGTTTCGGCCTGCAGCTCCCTCTGCGCGAGCTTGCCCCAGCCCACGGCAGCCGCCACGACCAGCAGCGGAGTCACCAGAGAGAAGGAGGACGTCGACGCGGCCTCGGACTTCAACGGGGCGGCGTCGTCCTTGGCTGCAGGCTTTTCAGCCACGGTGCTCTCGGGTTTCTTGGTCATATCTCGGCCTGTAGAGCGAGTCGGAGGTCCGCGCTTGGCTCTGGAGGGAGTGCACTAGCCGGCGCGAATGCAGGAATGCTCAGCGGCGCAGAATGCGCGTGTCAATGCACTTCCTGGAGCTTCTGAGGAGCTGGCTCGACACTCTGAAGGGGATGGAGGTAGAGCAACAACACCAGGCCCCCGTCGGGGGCACGCCACGAGCAGGTAAAGGGCGGGGTGGCGGCGCCATTGCGTGTCCATGTAGACGAATGTCAAATGCGGATCTGCTGCGCGGTGATTGGCTTCGAGGCGGAATAACGCACGGTGGTTGGTTGAAAATCGTGCCGGCGATGCAGACTGCATCGTCGGCACTGGACACGCCCGTGCAAGACGAATTGGCCGCACAAGGACCAGATTTTTCGACGTGAGCGCTGCATAGCTCAAGACCGAGGCAGTCACACGCTCCGGGATGCAGTCGCTGGGTTCATCAACGCATTGATGGCCGACGTAGAGTAAAACAAAGCGAAGATACTTTTTTCTCAAGGTTGAGCTTGTACCGTCGGCATGGTCTCCAACGCTACGCGACTTGACTGGCCTCGAACTCCATTGACGAGGCATGTCCAGTTAGGTAGGTCTGCACCGACGAAGTCAACTGTGGATTCGATGATACTGTAACAGCGAACCATGCATGCCAAAGTGAAGCACCCCGCCCCCGTCACGTCATCTAAGGCTACGTGTTCGTACCAGCGCCCGCTTAACGTTGTCTTCAACCGTGCTAGAAGTGTGTTATGCAGTTACCCCCGCAAGAAGCACGCACTGGTAATGCTGGCAGCACAACGCGTCGGAGATATGTGCGGGCACAGTCCGGTTGAGCACGTGCCAATTGGCGCCGCTTCCGGAAGGACAGGCTGGACTTTCGCTTGCAGTTTTCCGGGGACTCGACATGCAAACCGCCGAAAGCCTTCATTTCCAAACTAGCGTCGTGGCTCACAAGAGCTCTAGAGCTGAACATGGACGAGATCAAAAAGGCGGCGAAGGAGGAGGTCAAGACGGAGAAGCCTGAGAAGCCCACGACGACCAAGTCGTTTCCGCTTGTCCCGGCCTCGATGCTCGTCTTCGTGGTGTCACTGGCAGTGGCTTGGTGCTTGAGACCGATGAAGCTCGCGAGCGTCAACACTTCGGCAGTGCTCGATCGTGCTGGTGAACTCCTCCAGATCCACCCACGGGTCCTATCCGAGAAGTACAACTCGGAGCTCATGGCGATGGACGTGCGGCACCTCGTGAGCGACTTGGCTTGCGATGATTCTGACTACACGCCCACCGCGCTCTTTGACGGCAAGATGTTCCATGTCACGGAGCCCATGGACGCCCCGCAGCCCATGGACGACGACCGAGTCTTCTTCATGCTCAACGGCGCCAACGACGGCGTCTACGTCTCGTGGAACGGCCAGTTCGAGTGCGTGGGTCAGGCGGCCGAGGTGGCCGCAGCGACGCTGGGCGCCGACCGCGACGTCATGGCGAACGGTGTGCGTTTGTACAGTCAGATGGGCTGGCCCGTTCGTAACTTGGAGGAGCTGAGGAAGACGAAGAACATTGTGCACGTGCTGCTGGACTTCCAGTTGTGGCAGTGGCCGGGTATCAAGAAGGGGTACAAGTACGTGCTGGAGGACGGCGTGACGTTGACGACTGTGGGTATTAGCCCCAAGGTGCTCGATGTCGAGCACTATTTCACCCAAGAGGAGGCGGACAAGATCATTGAGATCGGATCTCCGCTTTTGAACAGGTCCCGAATTGCCAGCAATACCACGGAAGGAGCCCAACACGTCGTCTCCGACACGCGCACAAGCCACACTGCGTTCCTCCCTGACAGTCTCTTCACTCGCGACTTTAAAGTCCGTGGAGCTCGATTGACTCGCCTGCCAAGTCCCAGTTTCCTCGAACGACTGCAACTCGTGCGCTACAACGCAGGCGAGTTCTATCGCCAGCATCTCGACACGTTCCAGACGCTTCCTTTCCTTCCGACCGAGAGCGAGTTCAAGCTCGGACTGGACACCTACAAGCAGTGGGCCAACTGGGCTGCCGATAAAATCCGTGAACTGAGTGTCAGTCGAGATATCCCTGAAGACTTTCGTGAAGGTGGAGCGCTCTTCCCAAATGCCGAAGACGAGGTGACATTCCCCAACGCATTGTTGCGCCTATTCCTTCCGATCGCTAACGAGACCAACGTGTTCCGATCTCGCCGAGACGCGTCGTGGACCGACTGGATCGCTGAGAATCTAGCCCTTAACTCTCGGGGCATTATGCCCAAGTTTATTGGAATTGGAGCAAAACCGGAGTATTTGCCCCTTGTCGTGAAAGCGTGGGAAGATGCACTGGGGATGCCGGAGCTCCGTTATACATTCCCGAAGGCCCCTGTCAACGATGTCACGCACTACTTTGCGTGGGTGCGCTGGGCGAAGGAGCGGGTCGTATTCTTGGGGGGCAAAGCGCCGGGTGTTTGTCGTCCGGGCGGCTTCTTGTACCCTTCGTACTCGATGAAGTTCCAGTCCGAGCTCCTGGACATCATCCTTGACAACTTCTCGAAGGCTTTCATCACCCGTTTCCTTCCTAACGACGACTGGTACAGCTGGATGGTTGAGAATCGTGGAAGGAACAACGTACTGGTGCGCGTGTTGCAGGTTTCGCCTCAGTTTGCCGAGCTTACGGTTAAAGCGTGGGAGGCAGAGGTGAAGGCACCGGCTCAACTACGCTACAAGCTGCCCAAGTTCGTCAAACACTTCTTCCCGCAGCGCTTCGTGACGTTGTTCCTGTATCTGAACAACCAAACTAAAGTCGGCGGTGAGACGGTCTTTCCTCACTCGGTCGATCGGTACTCGGAGGAAAACATTGTTCGCAACGGAATGGGCGAGTGTTCAGCAGGACTGGCGGTGCCTCCGCTTGGGTTGCACGCTTCTCTATTCTACGTGCAGACCCCAGAGGGTGACGTGGACCCGATGGCCCTTCACGGTGGGTGCCCGCCTCATGAGGGAACCAAGTGGGGGTCGAACTCGTTCATGTGGGATGCTGATTCCGAAGAATCGAATGACCAGCGAGGCTAAGAACGAACACCTCTGCATTGTAGGAAGGGCAAAGTATCTCTACAGTACAGTCAATGTCAGAAACAATGTGTATGGAATAAAAACGGAATCATCTCTCTATTTGCAGTCAACCAGAGTTCACGACCCACTCTTGGTAGAATGCATACATGAGAACTTAAAGCTGAAGTCAGCTCCTACACGTTTTGCATGTAAGAATTGGCACATTCAGATAAACCATAAACGCATCACTTACCGACGTGCTTCAGTGAAAGTTGCATGATGTAGACGAATGAACCGACGAGCTTCATCTGAATCGTACCTGCCTGCTTTTCGAGCACGAATGCCAACTGAGACAACGGCGAAAAGCCCAATACCCGCTTCAAAACGGTAATGGTCATAACCAGAGAAAAATGCTCCAGCCCAGCGTAGAGCACTCTAAAGTAAACTACAGAATTGAATTGGGCACCCGTCAGGTCTGCCAAGGCAGGGTAGTACGCACTGTTTGGCATATGAAACAGTGCTATCTGATGCAAGTCTACAATGCAAAAAATACGATAATGTCAGTACTACTCCAGATACGGTGATTCACCGGTGACCCCACTTACTGAAAATGATAGCCATCGCCACTTCGAGGTACTCCCCAAGCACAACGAACTCTGTCACGAACAGCACTTGCAAGGTCTTCCGAATAAACAGCGCGCGCTCCTTACGTGAAAAATCTCCTCATATCCAAGTGATAGCTCACTGGAGGTGGTTGCTTTAAGTTTGGGTTTGGACCAATACTTGAATTGTGACGCCGCGTGAACCGGAAAGACCTGGACCTTGTGCAATACAGTCCACTTTAAACTCCCATTTCTTCCGGCAAATGGATCGTTCTTCAACTGCAGCTTCGTCGCTTCTCGCGGTGGATTAGCTTCTATCATTGAATTGTCCGAAGATCGATCCCCAACGTTTAGTTGCTTTTGCCTAGTCGATGCTGGACCGGACGAGTTGTTGGGTTTCAGTTGAGGGAAACCGTGTTCTGCTTCGATATTTACCAACCGTTCTGCTATTTGGATAAAGTTTTCATTTGCAAGGGGATGATCGCGTGGAATCCTTTTCATCAGCACAGTCACCTCATCCAGAATATTATCATATCGAAGACTACAAGGCCAATCTGTGCGATATCTGTCCCCATGATCAACACTGTCGTTTTCCAGGACGACGTGCCCTGAAGAACACTTGAGCAATATAAGGCACTAAATAGTTCGGCGCAGAAGACGATGGTCTCCGGTTTCATTAGTCATGACCAGTGAGGTTCCGGCTGATTAAAATTTTTGCAATGACCTGGATGACCGGCGACAAAAGAGCAAAAGCGATTTGCCACATCCCAGTAAAAGAAGTATAGCCGTAGATGTAGAGCGGGTAGATGAACGTCAGTGACGTCATGCAATGGATCACATCGAGTTGACGCTTCAGTTGAGCTCGCAGTGCTGGATCAGCTTCCAATCGATGCCGAGATTCGTACCGATCACAATCACACAAGGGGGCCCCGCAAAGAGGGCTCCAAACGGCAATGGGAAAACAGTCAGACTGCTGGCCAACGCCACAGACGCGATGGCGACTGTAGCAGCGAGGAACGAAATAGAAATCACCTGCCGTGCGGTCATTCTCAGTTGACTCACGCCTTGGCCGATCTGGACGAGCACACTAGCTCCGATGAAGCCCGTAAGAGCCCACCCCCGAGCAAACACGAACCAGTTCCGGGACGCGCCAGCTTCCAGTGGCGGCAGCGAAACCACGTCGCCCAGCAAACTCAGGAAGAGGAACGACAACGGCGTTAGTACACAAAGCATCACCAACCGAAGGCTACCTAGTCCAGCCGAATAGGACTGTAGCTGCAGCAGTCGTTGGGGAGAGTAGCATCCCTGGAACTCCACTTGAAGTGACGCCCAAGTCTCCAGGAAGCGCTGAGATACGTTCGAAACCCTCTGGGCTCTGACACTACTTGACGCCATTTCGCACCGATGATGAACTTCTTAACTTGTGAGTGAGTGGGTGCGTTCAGTCACGGTGACGCTAGTGAGAGTGCTAAAATTGAGCTGGCTCAAGTTGAAGTGGGAGGCAACCCCCGCCAAAATTCAAACCCGCCAATCCGCTCCCACCCTCCTGCAATTGGTCCAAATTATGCTCTTGCCGCCTCATCATTGGCTTAAACCCCTTCCCACCCAGCAGCTCCGATCCAGTCATCCATTTCATTTCGCCTCTTGCCCTTCAAGCGTCATGACGTCGGACCCGCGCGCCGTGGAGACGGCCCTGGCCCGCAACCTGCTGTCCTCCGTGCTGGCGCTGGCGCTGCCCAGCGACCTGGAGCGCGATGACGCCGCGCTCACCACGTTCCTGGTACAGCAGACGGCGCTGCGCGAGGCGCTGGAGCGTCACAACGTGTTCGGCCTCGTGACGGACGGCAAGGCGCTGGCCAAGTGGGACGCTCGGCTGCTGCAGCTCGCGGAGGGCTCCGCGCAGGCGCGCCGCGTGGGCTGGGAGCTTCTGCTGACGACGGCGCGTCAGAGCCCGCTCGCGCGGCTCGAGGTGCTCGCCTCCAAGCTGCTGGAGCGTATTGTGAAGGTTCTCAAGCAGCTGCAGGCGGCCAAGACCCAGGACGACGACGCGGAGCTCGCGGCGGCCTCCGCGTGTGGCGTGGCCATGTCTCTGCTGCGTTACGTGGACAGCTACAACCCCGACGCGCGGCGCGAGGCGCTGGAGTTGCTGGCCAAGCTGCTGCAGCCGGTGGTGGCGCTGCTGTCGAGGAAGAGCGCCTCGACGCTGATGCTGGCGCAGCTGGAGCTGGTGGCCGCGCTGCTGCGCGCGTCGCCCAACTCGCTGCGCAGCTTCGCAGTGAAGATTGAGTCGGCGTGCGTGGGCGCGCTGTTCCCCGCCGCGGACGCCAATGCGGACGAGGAGCTGGTGGCGAAGAAGGCAGCGACCTGCTTGGCGCTGCTGTGCAACGCCTCGGACAAGCCGCAGCAAGTGTGGACGCAGATGGCGCAGAAGGCGCTGGAGGCCGCGCACCAGCAGCTGGACTTGCTCGCGGGCAAGCGCTCCGTTGTGCCCTCGACCGAAGGAGTTACCGGCAAGAAGCTCTGGGTGCAGGGAGCTGCCAGCGCGCAGCTGCCGATCTATCAGCGCGCTGAAGTGACGCTGGTCAGGATGACGCGCGCGCTGAGCGCCCTGCACGAACTGCTGAGTGCTCGCACGGCTACTCAGTGCCGCGGACAGATCTCGGAGCGTGAAGCTCAACAGGTGCTTCCTGAAGTGGTGACGTTTGCGCGTCGCGCCATGGGCGTGCGCGCGCACGAGGTGGGCAAGCACACTGGAGTGTCAGACGACGGCGTACGTCTGCCGATTAGTGTCGTGTACGCGGTGCTTCCTCGTGTTCACGCGCAGGCTCTGGGCGCCTTGAGTGCGGCTGTGGAGCGCACTGGAATTTGTGCGCTGCGTCACGCGAGCAAAATCACGCGTGTCCTTTTGCTTGCCTCGGAAAGTGTGGGTGACGGTGAGGACCTCCAGGCATTGGCTGATACGACGGCGGTGTGCGCGCGTCGTCTTGGCGCCAGTACTGTCGAGAAGCTTGGTGTGCCGCTGCTGAACGAGCTGGTCTCGCGCTGCAAGCGTAATCTTGATGAGAAGGCTAACACTACCAACACCTCGAACAACGTTGCGAAGGCGCTGGCTGCTCAGCAGAATGACGCCAAGAACGGCGGCGGCAAGAGCAAGAAGCGCAAGCGTCAGGCTGCGGCTGCTGCAACGCTTGCTGCCCTCAACGGAGGTAAAGCAGCTGGCCAGTCCAGCTTTGTGTCTCTCCGTGACGAGTCGGTCGTGGCGCTCACCCTCGAGGCAGTGCTGACGGCTATCGCTGGCTGTGTGAGTGTCTACGGAAGCTTGCTGCCTGACGAGACCCGTTCGTCGGCTAGCGAGATCGCTCTGAAGGCCGTGCAGCGTCGGCATGTGGTTGGAGCTGGCAACGTTGGTGCCATTGACCCCGTGGCGCTTGCGCTTCTTTCGGGTGCTGTGACTGCCGATGCCTCCGGCTCGCACGCGGCCAATTTGCTTCGTGGGCTCCAGTACTGGCAGCGCCGCGTCATTGGCAGCGGCGGTGCTTCGTCGGCTCTCCAGCTCGTGGCTCTCAACGCTGGTGAGGCTATGCTCCATCCGCGTGCGCCCCCGATGGCAATCAATTTCCCGCAGAACTCGAACAAGGAGCAGGAAATCCACCGCTTTGGAAACGCTTCGCGGGCCACTTCGAAGGAGTCCGCTGTGCTGGGGGATGCCATGGACTGGGATGAAAACGACCGCGATGAAAGTGACGACGAAGACGCCAAGCCGGAGCAGGAAGAGACGCCGGCTAAGGCTGAAAAGAAGGAGGCTCCTGCTGTCACCGAGGAGGAGGAAGAAGAGGAAGATGAGGAGGAGGATTACGACGACGCCCGGCCTCAAACTGTTGTCGAGACACCCGCAGAGGTTAAGAAGGTCGAGGCCGAAGAGAACGCTGACGATGACGACGAAGATGAAGACGACGACGACGAACCGGCCGCGAAGCGTGTCAAGGACAGTGATGACGAGAAGAAGGCTCCTGTCGCCACAGTCGAGGCCGACGACGACGACGACGATGACTTCCCGGACATTGTTGTGGATGATGACTAGAGAGCCGGACTTCCACTACGCCATTGAGGTGTTTCCCATGCATTCCAATAGAATTTTGATTGACTTTCCACTTTATAAAACCAACGACGTACTTTGGATAATGCACCTACGCGCTGAGGTGCAGGTAACCCTCGTCTTCCCGCGAGCCCGCCGGAAGCAGAGGCGAGCTCATGGAAGCATCGACACTCAAGAGAATGTCGTCATCGTCGTCCTTGTTGTCAAAACCGGCGGTGCGACGTCCCGCTCGTGTCTTCGCGCCGAGTTTTCCACCACTTGCCTGGGCTTCAACCGAGCTCGAGGAGTTGTGCTGCACCAGCAGTCCGACACCCACCGCAATCGCCAGCAAAGCGAGCGGATAGAACACTTTGTCTACCGTAGGGAACGGATCATCGTCGTTCTGGTAGAAGATGGCCCCACCGACGACGCTGAAGGTGATCCAGCAGGCCTGGAAGATGGGGAACACGGTCATGATGTCCCCCAAAGCCGTGGCCATGTTGAGGAAGTGCGTCTGCACGAGGACGCACACGAACATGCCGCCCAGGAAGATGTACGTCAAGCCGTATCGGAACTGGTTGTCGCCCTTGAGCGTCAGCGCGATCATGATGGCGGAACACTTGGCCAGCAGCACCGTCATGGCGCCCACGATGCCCGAGCAGATGGCGTAGTAGTACGGCACGCGCGACTCCCTGGCTGCAGCCTCTTCGTCTGCTTCAGCGTCCTCCGCGTTGGTCGAGTCGATCAGCTCTCGGAGTTCCCTGCTCATGGCTGGCGGGTTTATGAGCCCTGTCGGTAGTGGCGAAGGTGAAGTGGTGACTTGAAGCAGCTTCACCTCCATGTCCAGCAGACGTTGCTCTAGTCGCTGGACCCGAATCTCGAATTGCTGGTTAAAGGCAACGAGAAGTGAGATGTTGATAAAAAAATATTGGGGAAAATATGATAAAATGTTGGGCGAACGAACCTTCATGAGCTTCTTCTGGCGTTTGTTGGACCAGTAGACCTGGTTCTTGAGCCGATTGGCAACTGAGCCTTTGATGGTGGCCAACATGCTCACGGCACAAACTCCCACACATGTAATGTACACCACGAAAGCTGCAACAAGAATGACGTAAAAATATTGTCAGCTAAAAGAAAACAATAAACTTTTAACACTATCTAACCAAAGGCAACACTCACGCGTTCGGACGAATCTCTGCTCGAGTTCAGGCAGAGGGTACTCGACGTTCGGCTCGGCGATCCACGCGATGATCACCACTCCCAGAATAACGAAAAACACCCCACCGACATCCGTCTAAAAGCAAAAGAAAAAAGAAGGGCAACAAATCTCCGACCGGTTAGAGAACTCTTGCAATGCAACATGCAACACAGTTTAGGCTACACTTAAATCCTCCCCACCCACCTTGTACAATCTCTCTCCGTTTAGACACTGCGCCGTGATGACATTGGCAACAAGCGTTGCGCCTCCTCCCAGCGCTGCCACCAGCGACTGCGTGGCGAAACCGAAGGCCGCGAAGTCGCCCAGACTGCCGAGCGCCACGAGCGCGAAGCCCACCCACCACACGGGCCGCCGCACGTACGGCCGGCGCTCGTGCACGGGCTTGGCGGCCTCGCTCAGGTGCGAGTACTTTTGGATGTTCACGCCCAGGTTCGAGACGATGGAGGCCACCACGGCCAGGCCGGCGCCGAAGGCCTCCCACGTCTTCATGGTCGGTTAGATAGATACTCCCCAAAGGCGTGGGCGAATTGAAGAACCGCTGTCGGCTTATTTTGGGTAACGTTTTGCACCCATGAGGAGTGGTAGTTTTGGGTTCCAAATATGCTATTGGATGGGATTTGTGTGTCGCTCACTTCAACTTGCAAAACGGCCGCGCGACTATTTTTAGCCCTGGGTGCTTCCTTTTTTGGACTTTTGGTCGCGTCCTCTCGGCCTGACGCCTCTTGGTGGGCAACTTGTAGGCGCGGCGTGAAAAGTGCAACAGCAACAGCAGACGCAGCACCGCGACTGCAGCTCGCGGCGTAAGATGAATCGGTACAAGGTCACCAAGCAGCTGGGCGACGGCACCTACGGGTCCGTGCTCAAGGCCGTGAACCGCCAGTCCGGAGAGGTGGTGGCCATCAAGCGCATGAAGAAGAAGTTTTACTCGTGGGAGGAGTGCATGCAGCTGCGCGAAGTCAATGTACGATACGCACGGTTAGCACTCTCTAAACCCACCCAACCTCGTGCAACTCGCCTATGGTTTTATGACACTAATTATTGTCCTCTTTCGTTGTGCGCAGTCGCTCAAGAAGCTCAACCACCCCAACATCATCAAGCTAAAGGAGGTGATCCGCGAGAACGACGAGCTGTACTTCGTCTTCGAGTACATGGAGTGCAACCTGTACGACACCATGAAGAAGCGCGACCGGCACTTCCCCGAGTCCAAGATCCGCAACCTCATGTACCAGATGCTGCAGGGCCTGGCCTTCATGCACAAGCACAGCTTCTTCCATCGAGACATCAAGCCCGAGAACATGCTGGTCAAGGGCGACACCGTCAAGGTGGCCGACTTCGGGCTGGCGAGGGAGATCCGGTCACGTCCACCCTTCACGGACTACGTGTCTACCCGCTGGTACCGAGCCCCGGAGGTGTTGCTGCGATCCACGACGTACAATTCCCCCATCGACGCCTGGGCCATGGGCTGCATCATGGCCGAGCTGTTCACACTGCGACCACTGTTCCCAGGCAGTAGTGAAGGCGACCAGCTCTATAAAATCTGCTCCGTTCTGGGCAACCCGACGCACAGCACGTGGCCCGAAGGCATGAAGCTCGCGGCGCAGATGAACTACCGCTTCCCGCAGTTCGTGCCCACGTCGTTAGCGCAGCTGATCCCGCACGCGAGTCCCGAGGCGCTTCAACTCATGACCGACTTGCTCAAATTCGACCCGAACCAGCGACCGACGTCTAGTCAGGCGCTGCAGTACCCGTTTTTCCAGGTGAACGTGAACGTGACCATGCCACTGACGGTGTCAACGCCAGGTGGCACCAGTCAGCAGCATCATCAGCAGCAGCAACAGTATGAGCGCGCCGAGTCGACGGAGAAGATCGCGTCCTTCACGCCACCGCAGAAATCCTCAGGCAGTCAACGCAGCGGAAGCGGACAGTACGGCCGGAACCAGCAACCCGTGGTGGACGTCGGGGGATACAGCAGCTTACGGCAGCAGGCCACCGTCGCATCGGCCTCTTCGTACGGCATACCCCGAGTACCTCAACGGAACGCCATGGCCGCAGCAGGCAGCAGCGTGCTCTCAGGTGGAACGCCGACTGGAGTTGGGCGGGGTCTGGACAGCGGCAACATGGGCGACACGCAAGGCAGTCGCTACACGCGTCAAGCACGATACGCTCCTGGGATGCCGTATCGAGGAGAGGGCGACGGCGCGACGTATTCCGGCGGCAGGCAACCGTACGTCCCTCCCGGCGTCGGCAGCGGGCTCCCGTTAGGCTCTACCGCAGCCGTAGGAGGCCTGGGCGGCTACAGCAGACACAACTTCTGACTCGCAGGGCGGAAACGCCAGCGCATCGATGTGAACGAGCACCACCCAGCGGCGTCCAAGCGAAGACGCCGTCCACCCCCTCCTCCTCCTCCTCCTCCTCCTCCACCGCGCTCATGTGTCGTGCTAGAACGCGTAGATAGAGCGAACCACAGTGACCGACCGGCCGACCGACCGAGTCAGTTGGGAAGGACCCCCAGTTCAGTGAAGCCGAAAGCTGCGTCGTCCGTCAAGAAGCAGCAGGTGTCCAAGGTCCCAGCCCACGCAGTCGACTCTCCGATCTATCAGCAAAACGTAAGCCACTACAGTATTTAGATGAATCTTTCTCCACACAATTGTTTTGGTCTCCTTTATCTCCTGTCTGGGTGGGTGGGTCACTGGGTGGGTGGATACGTGCTCTACTGCTGCACGCCGGCGCCCGCGGCCGCCTGGTCCATGATCTCCTTCTCCACCTGCGCCATCTTGACGCCCAGCGAGCTGTAGGCCTGCATGTACTTGCCGGCGCAGCGGTCGATGCAGCTCATCTCGCCCACGTTGAGCTGGCCGTCGTTGTACTTGAACTTGCACTTCTGGAAGCACACGCGCGACATGCGCTCGAACAGGTCCGCGTAGGAGGCCATCTCCACCTTGGCCATCATGAGCTGCGACTGCTGCGACGGCTGCTGGGGCGCGGGCGCGCCGCCGCCCATCATTCCGCCGAAGTTCATAGTGATGCTGACACTTTTGGGTACTTTGTCGAGTGAAATGACAGGTGTGGCGGAGGGTGCGAGTATGCGATTGGATGGGTTCTCGGAAACTGGTGTGTGGAATAATGTGTTTTTTGAGAACCGAAGCGACACTTCAACAAGTATGCGGATCGAGAATGAGCTCGAGCGCCAGCTCATTGTGGCGGACGAGCAGCTGTCGAGTCTCGAGGATGTGGTGAGCGTCATGCCCAACGCGCAGTATCTGAATGTGGCGGTGCGTGCGGGTGTATGGCAAGAAATTGGGAAAAAGTGGTGTTGATTTGGGTTTATGAGGTTGTTAGTTCAACAACATTTGCAGTTTGAGTGGGCTGGAACAGGTCGGTTTGATTCGCTATGATGCAAAGCAGGGTTACATTGGATAAATTACGATCTAATGGGCCATACAATGGTGTTTTGCTTGCAGTTGCGGGAGTTGCGCAGTTTGGACATCTCGCATAATGCCGTGGAGAGTCTGCAGGAAGTGGCCGCGCTGTCGAACCTGTTTGTGCTCAAGTGTTCGAGCAACCAGATCGCCGACTTGAGCTGGATTGCGGGGCTGACTAAGCTCGAGGAGCTGTGGGTGAGAGAGAACCGACTCGAGAGCGCCCAGCTCGCGCATCTGCAGCAGCTCACAGCACTGCAAACTCTCGTGATCCATCCGAATCCGTGCACCGAGCGAGACGACTATGTGTACGGCTGAAATGTTATCGATGCTTTTTACTTTATCCGTGGTTGACACAGTTAATGTGGCAGATTGATGATTCTCAAGGTTCTCCCGTGGCTGCCGCGAGTTGACACGGTTATTGTCACGGAAGAGCTTCGAGAGGAGGCGAGGCATGCCGAAGAGAGAGGGACGTTGGATTCGGGCACAACGGATTGCTCACTATTTTCTCTATCTGGTCGAGCTGAAGGTAAGCTTGTTGCTACTAGATATTCTGGCTCGTGGCTCATGGCGACTTGCCAGTAGACCCAGCCTCTAATGACGATTCACCCGCAATATCGGATGACATGCCGCCTTCGCTATCGATTAAGCCATCGAAATCCAAGAAACAGGTACGTTTATCAGTTTTATCGCTGGTCGGACTCCAGAATTTCAAGTTGCGAATTGTTCTGCCAATTTTGTGCTTTAGCTAACAGCCGAGGAAATTATGAGAGCCTTTCCCGTTCAGGACTTTATTCCCGTGGATGGCAACGTGGAATCCGCCACAGTCGAGGGCAATCAATTGACGGAATTCAAGACCGAAAGTGTCCAGATACAAGCATCGAACTCTACTACTACCGTGCAAGAAGGAGCTGCTGACAATCAAATCGAGGTATCGATGCCATTGAACGCCTCAGAGGGTATTCCACAGCAGGAACCCGGAACCAGTAAAGATGAACGCAACCCCCCAGCAAAGACAGATACTGAAGGTGGTGGAATCTCAGCACTTTTAAGCTCGGTGCTGACGCTCCCGACTTTCGACAACAACAGCTTTCTCAAGAAGAAGAAACCTCAGTCCCAATTGGGCGGCAATGGAAAAGCGAAACCGCGAGCCAAGCCAAAACCAACCTCTATGGCACCGAACGAAAGCTCAGAAGCAACGCTACCCTTCCATCAGGACGAAGAATACTCAATAGTATATCCGAACAGCACAGTGACTGCAGTTCAAGTGCGATGCGATGGTTCAGCTATTGCCAGATGGCCCTCGGGCAGCGTGGCAGTAAGCGTCGACTTCGAGAATACTGCGGAACGGAGTGGATATCGAGTGTACGCAGCTCACAAGGATGGTCAGCTAGCGTTGAGCTTCGACCCCGCCGGCGTGGGCTTCTTAAACGCCTACCCGAGCGGCAAGACGCTGCTTTCGACGACATCCGACGGAGACGGACTGCTTTTCGACACGAACAGTGGTGGAATTCTCCGTCAATGGAATGCTCAGGGCAGTCTTCGTGATGGTTCATGCCAGCCAGTCAACTATCTAGGTAAAGAGCCCGATGGATCGCTACTTTGCCGTTTAAGCGAGCATCTCGCTATTCGCGTTCAATTGGTCCGCGCTCCACCATCCCATAACGAGGAGGAACAGGTGTGGCACAACCCGATCTCATTGCGCATTTACTTCTCAGGGGCACCGGAGATTCGACACGTGTTCGTCAACTCGGCCAACCGAGCCGAACCTTCCAACAAAGATGCGTGCGATCAAGTGTTCGGGAAAGCATCGTCGACCGCTAAAGCCGCTAAGGCAAAACCACCACCGATAGCGCACGTGGATTTGGTGAGCAGCATCCGCGCTGCTGTTGCTGGTCTTTGAATATTTTGTATCTTAGGCGTAGGATCTAAGGATCTCGTAAACCAGAATGTCGTCAGCCTCACTCACTATCGTTAGCTTCACCTTCCTCGATCGTATTCATCTTCTCCGTAGTTGCGTGTAGAGTGTCGGCCTCTTGTTTGTCATCTTTCTTACATTTGGCAGTGGTTTGGTCTTCATCTGACGTGGATAGCTGCAGAGCTCGCTTAATCCAGTGCCGGGCTCGAGCTTGGGCTTTGCGCTTAGCGTGGTCAGCCTTTTGCTTCTGCTTGAGATTGAAGCCGCAACTGTTCACGCCGCTCCTCTTTCGTCAACTTCGCAACGGGTGCTGGCGGTGGCGTATCCACCTCACCAGCAGCAACAAACCGCCCGCGGGCGTCGTGCTGGCGGATGTAGCGCTTCTTTTTGGGCGGCATTTTGTCTTTTTCGCAACTTGTTTTTTGTGTGTGTTAAACCTATCGACATGAAAATTGTGCACAGTTGACTCAAATGAAAAATCCGAAGTTGTCTGGAACATCGATGTCGTCCATGCTGGCCGTCGAGACCATGTTCTCACTCACGTTTGGCGTGGTGTTGGCCGTAGTGCGGAAGGACGAATCATCTCGATTGACACGGGTTTTTGTTGCATTGACTCGACTGCGCCACCGGACCTTGATCAACGCCAACACAAAAACAATAATCGAAGCTGATACGATCGCGATCCCAGCGACAGCAACAATCGCCGTGGATCCCGACGCAATAGCCGCAGTTTGTTCTGGCTCAGTAACAGACAAAGTCACGGATTCACTGCGAAGACTGGCAGCGATTGCCTCCATTGCGGCAGACTGTGATCCGCACTCCACGTCGTCGGCCCACGGCTCATTTTCTTCTTCATCATCTTCGTCGATCGGGAGCTGAAGCTTCTTCTGGCCTGCAACTTGCCAGGGTACGTCCACCCCCGCCGTCATATCGAAGTCCAAGTTGCTCTCCTCCTCCCGGATTTCGTCCACCGTCTTCTGGTCCACGGTCCTGTAGATCGACCGCACGATGAAGTCGCTGCTTGCTGGAGTCTTCTGAGCTAATTGCAGCTCGAACTTGTAGGGCCGACAGTAGTAGATATCGCAGCGACCCGTGGGCTCCACCAGGGAACTCTCGCACCCGTCCACCGAAATGATAAGCCAAGTCACGCCACTGTCGGTCACGCGCCTCCGGATCGAGTTGATATAGTGCAAACAGAGGCGGGTGCTGACCGTGCGAGCGTAGTTGGCCTCGTAGCTCACGGCAGTCAGAGCAGCCTCGACGACTTCCGGCGTTAGAGGCACCATCATCCCAGCTCCATTCGCCACCATATTGTGAGTGGGATTGTCGACAGCAAAGAGGCTTTAGGAACAATGCAAGATCCTCGACGAGAAGCTTGGTAAGGGTGTGCGTCTCTTGGTCGGACCGAGACCTCTGCGGGTTGCTGCTCATCTCCAGTTATCTTGGGCCGCTTGGGTGGAAAGAGTTCATTTCATGATCATTTTGGTGAAGGTTTATCAAAGCAATCACGACAAGAGCTGGACGAGCTTACGGATAAGTGCACCAAGCGCTCAACTAAAGTGCTTCACTCATGAAGTCTGGCTTGACTTCTGCCGCGATATTGTCTCCGTTCATGGAGATCGTGAAGTCGGCAGTGTTAGGAGTTTTGCTGTACAGTGGCGACTTCTCCTGGTTCGTCGTGTGCTTGGCAGCGTTTGCTCGAGCACGGAACCGAACCACGATCAACGCCAACACCAACACAAGATTCGTAATGGCGACTCCACCGATAGCTGTGATGGCTGGGATCCCCGATGCAACAGCGTCTGTTGGCTCCACAGCGTCGGCACGAAGTGAAATCGGCTGGAGGACGGGCCATTCCTCGTTCGGCGGGTTCGCAGTTCAATCGACGGGTTCGTCGCCCCCATCAGACCAGTCGATCACATCAACTTCTGGGCCTTCCTGCTGGACGACTGGGCTCTCAGGCAGAACGACTGGGTTTTCTGGTACAGATGCGGCTGGGTTCTGCCACTGGTCGGGGTTTTCTTGCCAAGGCACGAAGGCTCCTGGGGTCTCCTGCGGCGGTACAAAACCCTGCTGCTGGATACTGCGGTACAACGACTGGGTTTTCCTGGCCGACGACCGGGGCATCCTGTCCGAGGAATGAACCCTTGGGCCCGAAGTTTGGTTCTTCCGGAACCGTGAGGTGAACTCCTTCGTCCCATTCAATGTTGACAACATTCCCGCCTGTTTCGTCGACTATATATGGTGCCTCGACTTCTCCACTTGGGATAATGGTATCGTCGACGTTGCCCTCTTCGTTTTGGATGTCGCCCGAAGGCCTCGGTTGATCCACAGTCTTGTAGATGGACGTCACGCCGTAATTGTGGCTCCCAGCAGCTTTCTCGGCCAGTTGCAGCTCGTACGTGTGCGGTTTCGACTCGCAGTAGTAGATATCGCAGATGCCCTTCTCCACAACGTCCGAGCCCTCACAGCCGTCGACCGTGATGAGGTAATGGGTTAAGTCCGTTGTTCACCCGAGAGCGGATGGAGTTGATGTAGTGCAGGCAAAGTCGACTGGGGACGGTGCGTTTGTAGTTCGCGGCGTAGTCACAGCGTCCCGAACCTCTTGGAGCACGGTCGAGTTCAAGGCGATGCTCGTCCAAGCTGCGTTCGCCGCCATCGCGTTCAGCTGTACACTGTCGACTTGTGCATCTTTCGGCACGGAAACCATGGTGCTGGAGGCCAATCGATTCTCTTGAGCCGCGGGTTGCAAATGCACAAATGATCTCCGCGTCCACAGAGACCAGAGGCTTGAAATCTTCGTCTTGGGATCTTCGCAGCATCGGATGGTGGAGAACTCGCGCAAGGGGTCTGGCCGAGAATTTCCTGTGCTTGAGATGGACGCGAGTGAGATCTTGTTGGTTTGGCAATAGACGTGCACTCGATGAAGTCAATTAACCTTACGAGTGAGTGGCCGGACGAGTTTACGAATACGGCTTGCTACGTTTGGTACCCCTCAAAGTTGCGAGTGTCAATTGACTATCCCCGATTTGGTTTCTGCTGCAACGCTGCCTTTGCTGGTCATGGAGATCGTCTTCTCGGTCGTGTTAAGCGTGCAGAGCAACAGCGAGTACGACTGGTTCATCGTGCAACAGCAGCAATTGGACGGCCATCAGCGCTCTTCGTTATTGTGACGGTACGAGCGTAGTTGGCCGTATAGCTGACATGAGCAACCTCAACATCTCCAGGCGTTAGAGGTACCATCGTCCCAGCTCCATTCGCGAAACCGTGTTGGGCTCCAGGCTGTCGACAGCAATGGCTGTGAAGATGACTGTGAAGATTCGCTGCTAAAAGCTCGATGAGGGATCCTGCGGGTTGCCGCTCATCATCATTTGTTTTGGGTCGCTTGGGTAGAAAGAGCTTGTCGGTTTGTTTTTTACAAAGTGCTGGACAAGCTTACGGATATGCTACCAATGCTCACCTAAAGTGCCCCATCCTTCTCGAAGTTTGGCTGGGTGCCCATTTCAACGTTGTCGCTGTTGTTCAGGAAGACCGTAACGTCGGGCGAAGTGATCGTGGTGGTGGTTGTGCACAATGGCGACGTCTCCTGGTTCATCGGGCGCTTTGCTCGCGCACGGGACCGAACCACGACCAAGGCCAACACCACCACAAGAGTCGTTATGGCAAGTCCGGCGATAGCTGCTATGGCTGGGAACCCCGATGCCACTGCGTTGGTTTGCCCCACAGCGTCGGCGCGAAGCGATACCGGTTGGGGCATGGGCGCTTCCTCCGTCGTATCGGGCTGTGACTCCCACCACAAGTCGTTCGCAGCCCAATCGACGGGTTCGTCGTCTCCGCCGGACCATTCGAACTCGTCAGCTTCGGTGTCTTCCTGCACCATGACGGGACTCTCAGGCTGATTTTCAGGCACGAATGCCGCTGGGTTCTGCCATTGGATTGGGTTCTCTTGCACCGGATTCTGTGCTACGTTTGGACTCGCCTGCACAATGACTGGGTTCTCCAGCGCCGGCACTAAAGCTGCTGGGTTCTGAGGCACAATGACTGGGTTCTGCTGTCCGACAACTGGCGCTTCCTGTCCGAGGAATGAGCCCTCGGGCGCGAAGACTGGTTCTTCCGGGATGAAGTAGGGGATCTCACCTTCCGGGATCAAGTAGGGAATCTCCCACTCCGGTGGGCCTGCTCCAACTCCAGGAGGCGGGGCTGCTCCCTCGGGGGCGGGCATCTCGGCGGGAATCTCTGGGACGAGGTTGGTCCATTCGTTCTTGATATCGTCCGAGGACTTTGGTTGGTCCACCGTCTTGTAGATGGACGTCACGCCGTACTCGTAGCTTCCAGCCGCTTTCTGGGCCAGTTGCAGCTCGTACGTGTACGGCTTGCAGTAGTAGATATCGCAGATGCCGCTGTCCACCACCTGCGAGCTCTCGCAGCCGTCGACCGAGATGAGGTAGTTGACGAGTCCGCTGTTGACCCGTGAACGGATAGAGTTGATGTAGTACAGGCAGAGTCGATTGGAGACGGCGCGGTTGTAGTTCTTCTTGTAGCGCACAGCATCCAGCGCCGCTTGGATCACCTCCGGAGTCAAGGTGATGCTCTTCCAAGCTGCGTTCGCGGCCATCGCGTTCAGCTGCATACTCTCGGCTTGAGCATCTTTCTGCACGGAAACCATGGTACTCGTTTCACTTCAGCGGCAGCTTGCACGTACACGAATGATCTTCGACATCCCGGGGAATCTCAATGACCTGAAATCTTGGATCTTTGCAGCATCGGACGGTGGGGAACTCACGCAGGGGGCCTGCGGCTTTTGGGCTGGACAAGATCCCCCGCTAAGTAACTTATTGGGGACGAAGCCCCCCTATATCATGAGACTCCGTTTTATGGAGTTTTTACGTCTATACACTCCGCTTTACTTTTTACATTAATTCTGCGAATGGGTTAGGGTCACAATTTAGAATCGCTCACACCGGGACCTAAAAATGAAAAAATACCTCGGTTAAACAACATTTGGATGCTTATCGGAAGGTGGTATCGGCACGGATTTGTCTCAGCTGAACCGACGTCACTATCTTTAGATGCCATAAAACCAGAGGGTTGAAGTTACGAAACAGCAAATTCGACCGTTAGTATGGAGGACATCAGAAATAGACTTAAACGTGACATTTTACCCTTATTTGGATCCGCTTAGGACCCTTTATTAAGCCTATTTACCTTTCAAACCTTATGCTGTCGTAAGAAGGGTCGCTCTGCGGCCGTTGGTAAGAAGTCTGCGGCCCTTTGGGATCGCTTGGCCAGCGCACAACAGAGCAGAGCCTCACCAACGCTACGCCAAGTAGCAAGCAGCTTTGCATGCTGATGACCGGGTACTGTCGAGCAGCAATTTCTCTAAATTACATTGAGGCTGTGCGCGGATGATGAGCTGGACGATGAGCTGGGGTGTCCGAGCCGGGGTCCGTGTCGGTGCTTCTTGGTAGCAACAATGGCTCTCTTTTGGCCCGTTTGAGCTCGCCTGCTACTTCGCTTTGAAGAAATCAGACAGCTCCAAGGCCTTCCTGCACGCTATATGCGCCGATTATTTGCTCCTTTCCAGTCTGCGTTAATTCATTCATTGCGTTGCTCATGAAAAGATGTTCGACTAAGCAAATGCATTAGCCCACTCAATTACAGTTCTGTTGGGTCGATCTCGGGCGTCGCAGCTCTGCTTTGATACCCTACATGCATGTGTGATGGTACGATATCAGGCTCAACTAAATTATTTTGAGCTAGTTATCGTTCATTATATATGTTTCCTTATTGCGCTCAACGTGCATGAGGTTATCTACCTACGCGTGCAGACTAACAGTTTTGAACAGCCGTGCATGCCATAGTCGCGGCAGCAACATTGGCCATTGCGGCTGGGTGCAGATGACATCTGGAGGAAGAATTTCAACATGGATCGCGAAAGGTTACTGGAATAATTCGCTCGTATTTTCACTCTGAAAATGAACACACCACGAAATTGAAACATCGAAAGATTTCGTTGTGCCAGTGTGCACATTCTGCTATTACACGTACCTAAGTAAGTAAAATACAAGTGTACTGGCATTCGTACCACAGGTCAGGTGTATCAGTCTACCGTTAATAACAACGTATGAATGGTACTTATGTTGTTTGCAAATAGCCAGCAAATCGGGGAGCGTGAAAGGGGAAACAAAGCGCTAGAATTTGCAAGCGGCTTTGTACTCAAATTCCTCTACCATTCATACGTTGTTATTAACGGTAGACTGATACACCTGACCTGTGGTACGAATGCCAGTACACTTGTATTTTACTTACTTAGGTACGTGTAATAGCAGAATGTGCACACTGGCACAACGAAATCTTTCGATGTTTCAATTTCGTGGTGTGTTCATTTTCAGAGTGAAAATACGAGCGAATTATTCCAGTAACCTTTCGCGATCCATGTTGAAATTCTTCCTCCAGATGTCATCTGCACAGCGACCGTGATGCTCCGCTAGTATTATATAAGTAACATCCAAAAAATTGGAAAATATTTTCTGAAATTAGTATTTAGAGCAATGTGGACTTTTAAATCCACGCTTTTAAAAAAGCAAACTCCAAAAAGACGGTCTCAAGCCGCAGTCTGCTAGTTGCCTGATGGAATCGTGAAGGACATCCCGTGCGCCACTAGCCTCCAGTACCACCCAGGACAGGATGCGCCTACTGTCGAGACAGCAAAAACCCGTCGCAAGACCTCGAGGATTGATGTGAGGTACCAGCGGTACCAGCGCCACCAAGCAGTGCTCCGCAGCGCGGAAAGACGGCACGCGGTCGCAGGCGAAGCTCGCCAGCACAGAAACCGCTGCGACTGTGAGAGGTCGCTACCTCTCGTTGCCCCGCGCGGCAGCGGTTAGCAACCGACAGTCGCAGCACAGTAGCAGCTTCAGCAGCAGCAACAACACATACCAGCATAGCAAAGCATATGTCGGTTAGGAAACTCCTTCAACACGAGCAAGGGTCCCAAGGCGGCGGCGCCGAGCTGCGCAGCAGCTCGGCACTCACTTCCGCATTCTCGAGCAGGAGTACAACCAGCTCCGCCGCCTTGGTTGTTCCCGCCACGGCATTCTGCCAAGGCAACCTCAGTCTCCTACCTTCCGTTCGTCTTCTGCCCGCACCTTCGTGCTGAGATCAACTCTGCTACGCCTACAGCTCTTCAGACAGCAAGTACACGACTTTCAGCACCTCTCAATTGACCGAGCCACCCGCCTGGCCGCACGACAGTTCCCGAGCGAGCAGCTTCACCGTGAGAGGGGCTGGCTGGATCTCTGAAGGACCTATAGCGACACACATCTCAGCAGATTATGGCGGCGTGCGTCCCCAAGACAATGGAGAGCGACGGCGGTCTCTAGCGCGGCGAGAGAGACGGACAGCGCGGTCATTTTAACGCTGAGGGTGAGTCGCGGCCCTAGAGATCGGACACACGCTGCGTGACAGAGGGAAATACGGCAGGCGACGTGGCCACAGCGACGCGCAGGAGAGGAAGGGGCGAGATGGATCAAAGGCGAGGAGGGGAGAAAGAGGAGGAAGGCGGAGGATGTGGAAGAACTCTGCAGTCAAGACGGCCCATGCCGTGGTCAAGCCACATTCGACCTGTACCATGCGGATTGCAGCTCACTTCATTGCATTTACCCATGATCTCCTTGGTGTGACGAAGATTCCCAGCCGCGCTCTCCATCGCCGTTACTACACTGTACTATGTAGATACTCACAGCGAAGAACCCTGCGTGGTTTGCTCTGGACTAAATCCGCATTGAGTTACAGTAATTGCCAGATTCCGGACCGGAATCCGGAAACCTGTCAAACCTGCAATAGAGACACACTGGCGAAACATAAAATCACTTGTGCCAATCAGCGCCCACTTATTCATTCCGGACAGCGATAGAAAGGTATGAAAATCGGGCTATTGTAATTTACAATTTGTAAACATCTCGGTTCAGTTTTTTTAAAGCACGACGCAGGGACGGATGGCAGGCGGCTAGGAGTGCATGGCGGAGGACTGGAGCGCGAGGAAGAGGACAGGTCACGGTGCGCCGTGGGCGTAGATGCTGTTGTGCCCCACCACGGCGACACGGAAGCGGTGATCGGCGGTGGCCACAGCTTCAGCGTGATCGCGAGGAAGAACGCGCAGAGCGCCGTGCCGTCAGGAGGCGCTCCAGCGGGCGAGCTGGACGTGACCGCGCGAGCATAAGGAGGCGGCGGGCGCGACGAGTGGATGCTCAGTCGCTTCGAGGCGCTGAGTGACGCCGTGCGGCCCTAGGAGCCTCTCCGTCGAGGCCGAGCTGTACGCCATGGAGGCGACGCGGCAGATGCCGATGCGCAAGCAGCGCATAGCGAGCGCGATGTGAGGCAGGAGGCGCTGCAGGAATAGTGCGCGCACGGGGCGGTGGTGCCGGGCAAAGATTAGGCACGTGAGAAGGAGGAAGAGGAGACGGAGAAGCTCGAGGCGCATACGGCGACAAGCGGGGCTGCGCGTTGAGTGAAGTGCGGCCGACTGAGGACCACGGAGGTGACGAGGGACACGACCGTGACGTCAAACCACGTCGCTCTCGACGGCAGCAAAGTGAACGGCCTGACCGCGGGTGCCGTTGGCACCGCTGTTGCTATCAGTTCGGCCGTCAGTGTCACCCGCTCCAAGCGGCGTCCGCCGCCCGAGACGAAGGAGACGGTGCCGGCGAAGGTGGTGAGCAGCGAGGTCGGAGCGATGACGCGACCCGCATCGCATTACAACAGTCACGACGAAGAAGCACGTGAAGTTCGAGAGCAAGGTCAAGGAAGCTTTCCATCGAGGTGGCGCCTTCCCGCCAAGAGCAGGAGCTGCTGGTACAGCTGGAGCACAAGGTCAAGGGGCTGTACGTGCAGGAGGGTGAGGGGGGGGGCTGGAGGACAAGTCACAGAGGAGGAGCAGGCGCGCGCGGAGTGGGCTGGACTACACGAGACGCTAGCCTCGGCACCATACACACCCGGGTGCTGTGCTGTGCCGCGCAGTCCGAGCGGGAGAAGACGCTGCAGTAGATACGGCGGCAAGGCAGCCCAACGTGGACGGTCGGGCGACCAATGCGTAGCTAGACCCAGTAGAGACTACAGAATTATTGCAAAACTCGGAAGTTCGATGATCATCTAGGACATTAGTTATCTACTGAGCTTATTCTGCCTTTCGTTTACTCGGCCACAGAAGCGGTCTACAGCGGTTTGCGTGTTGGAGTCGGCCTTGACCTTCCAGCGACGGTTGTCGAGACCACGAGAAGCTCGCTGTCAGTCTTGGGCAAGTCTGAATGTGGCTACATCCGGCAGGTATAGCACTTATCGAGTAAGAACGAGAAACATCTTTAGTTTTGTATGGTTACTTATTTGCGCGAAGCAGGAAATTCCGGACGATTCCAGAAATAAGTAGGAATGGAATAAACCTAACCTAATGAGCGACGATTGGATGAAAATAGGTAATTAAGCATCAAATGATAAGAAAAAAATCACTGATTGGCTAAAGTGAGGTAGCAAGCTTTGCATAGGGGTCGGGTGTCCGGCCAAATACTACTTATCCTACAGTAATTTTTGAAAAATATGCTTTTGAAAAAATTAAAAATCTAATTACGGGACACTTTGCCAACTTGGATTGGCAAAGGCGTAGTGAAATGGGGGGGGCTTGCAACGGTACATGTACTCATGAAATCAATTACAAGTTGAAGGACGACTGTGCTACATACCCCCTCTCTCACGCTGCGAGTCTCAACCAAAGTACTCCACCTTCTCCACCTCAGACTTGGTTTGTGCCGCAATGCTGTCTCTGCTAGTCATGGAGATCGTGTTCTCAGCCGTGTTGAGGGTGCTGCGCAACGGCGAATACTCCTGGTTCAAGGCGTTGGCCTTCGCCGCGTTCGCTCGCGCACGGAACCGGGAGATAGCCAGCGCCAGCACGAAAGCGACTGTCGAGACCGCCACCGCTGCGATCCCAACGACAGCTACCATCGTAGCCCCCGGATCGGATCCAGTGGCTCGTTCTGCTGCAGACGGTTCAGCTCGGAGAGTAATCGATCGCGCCGTGGCGATAACGGGCTGCGAGTCCCATGCATTGTTCACATCGTTCGTCCACGCAATGGGCTCTTCGTCGTCAAAGAACACGGAGCCTTGCAGGACGCCACCGTTGTCACCTTGCCACGCTAGTGGCTGTTCGTCTTGGATCGGAGTCTCCGCCTGCTGAATCACTGCTGCATTTGCATCGGTTCCTGTTACTGCCGAGAACGTGGAGAAGTCCAAGTTGCTCTCCTCCTCGCGCATTTCCGCCAGGGTCTTCTGGTCGACCGTCTGGTAGATGGAATGGACGAGGAACGCGGTGCTCCCGATGGCCTTCTGCGTTATCTGCAGCTCGTACACGTACGGCCGGCAGTAGTAGATATCGCAGCGCCCCGTGCCCACGACCTCGGAGCTTGTGCAGCCGTCGACGGAGATCATGTAGTCGATGAGACCGCTGCTCACCCGCGTGCGGATGCTGTTGATGTAGTGCAGACACAGTCGCGACGTCACCGTGCGCGCGTAGTTGGCCTTGTAGCGCACCGCGTCCAGCGCGAGTTGAACCACTTGCTCCGTCAACGGCAAGCTGGTCCAGGACCCCATCGTGTCAAAGACCAACGAGTTGCTGTCTCCGTCGGTAAGAGACCATTGCGCAGCGGTGGCGCCTCCACTGGCAGCAGTATCAACGGAGGTGGAGTCCTTCCCACCACCACAGAGGTCGTGGTCTGTTGATTCTGACAGCGTCGGGTCTACTGTCATGGTCGGTTGGTCAGCCATCCTCGTTGAAATCGACCGCGACTGTCGAAGTGATGAATCCACTTGGGACGCAGCAACACAAACTCTCTTGGGACGGGCTTGGCTTGTCTTCTGGCTGAGCTTGTTCGTAATGTGAGTGGGATCTTTCACGCACCCGGTGGCTGAGCGGTGAGAGGGAGGCGGATAGCAGCAGCAGGAGAATGGAGAATGGGCGTCTCTTCGAGCGCTAACCGACAGTCGCCGATACATGGCGCTCCCGTGACGGGATCCAGCACTCTCTACCGACCACATTTGCCTCCGTTTCTCACAGCTCAGCTCATACGAACTGACCGCGCTGCAATGTGCACGTAGTGCCATTAGTTCCGCGCGTGCTGCGACCTCGCCCTCACTTTTCTTTCGCCTTTCGCTACTGGCACAATGCACCACTTCTTCAAAGCTATCTGGCTGACATCGTAGGGGATGAACGTTATCCCATAAACGAACTCTTCCCCTTCGACTATGCACAATACCTTCGCTGTGCTGTGTTAATTGTTGGTTGAGCGCGAGCTGGAGTTGTCAAGGCCCTGCTTCGGTAAGCACAACACCAAAGAAGTCGACAGCGTGTGCACGCGCTTCACCAGCACGGAAAATACACGTAGCCCAGCGGCATAAAAAATGACAACCAACCGCTCATATTTCGAGCAACACGTACTCGCTCTCTGCTGCTTGCTTCGATGCGATTTCTTCGCTGTTTGCTTACTGCTCGCGGCTGTGGATAGGGTTGTAGCGGAAGCGCTCGCGACGCCCCTGGTGCATCTTGAGCACCGCCACGCCCGCCAGCACCACCGTAAACACACCCAGCATCGCGAACACTCCAGCAACGGACCCTTGTCCTTCGTTCTCCTCCACCTTCGTCTCCGCTGCAAATAGCGTCGCCGTCTCGGCGCCTTCCGCGAGCCACGGCCGCTCCGGGTGGTGGCTCAGGATGTAGTCGTAGCGGTCGCGGGTGGTGCCCGTGTTCTCGTCAAACAGCGGCGTTCCCCCCGTGTACATCCTGGTGGCGTCGTCGCCGTACTGGTTCAGTCCGTTGGCCTGGATCCAGGCGTCCACGGCCTTCTTCTCGTCCTCCGTCATGCCCGCCGCCTTCTTCTGCAGCAGCATCTCCGGCGGAACTGCAGCAAACAAACCACAAACAGTAAAGCGTTAAACAATCAAATGCCCGTAGGTATCGAGGAAGTTCAATTGGCTTGTTGTTTCGTCTTAAAAATGCTGCCATCTCCCATCCTAGAATGAACCGCACAAGACACAGAGAGAGCGTTTGTTTACGTACTCTGCACTGCGCCCTGCTGCACGGTCTCCTCGTCACTGCCGCTGCTGCCTGCGCTGCTGCTCTCGGTCTTGGTGATGCCCGTGACCTTGAGCGTGCTGGTCCACGTCTGCTCGAACACCTTGACCACGTACTCCGTCGGCGCACAGGACGCCAGCGTCGCCGCGTCACAGGGTCCGTCCGAGTCCTCGACGCCGCAGCCGCTGATGGTGAAGCGGTAGTTGGTGCCGGCCACCACCTGCGTCTCCAGCGCCGTCACCTCCGAGTAGCACACGCGCGTGTCGCCCACCGACTTGGCGTAGTTGTCGCCGCTCAGCGCGCGCTCCAGCACCTTCGTGTTCTCGTCCGTCACGTTGCCGGCCTTCCATCCGCCGGTCATGCCGATGGTCACCACGTTGCGCGCCGCCGCCAGCGCCGGGAACGCCACGAGAAGGGAGAGAGCTGCGCGCATTATTGTCTTGATTCGCTTGGGATTTTGACTGGCCCTGAGTATGCCGCTGGACCCTTAGCTGGCTTTTTCAAGAGTGAACCAGAGGTTGGGATCAGCTACGGGAACCCAATTTAAAGCCCCAGATGGGATTGGATAAAAGATGGGACGAGGCGAGAATGACGGGGATAAAGTATGGGGAGAAAGTATTTGTGTGGCGGAACATGAATCTACCCGATTTAAGGCGGTTTGGGTGCGATCAGAAAATGGGTTTGGGCCATGTTGAAGTGGAATGTGCTGCTGGCGCTGTCCCACAGAGTTGGAGCTGCCAAGTGTGAGAAAATAATGATCCAGGCGGCTTGCTCATATGAAGGTCTTTTCGCACGCAATGTAGTGGAGCACATGTGCGGAAACCCACGGCTGCTTTAGCGTCGGAGTCCTCTGAACTATTAAGTACATGTATACAATGATACTGGGCTGACGCTCAAAAGAAACCCCGCGACGAACGCGATCTGCATGCGAAAGAACCACTAAAAAGCTATCAATGACGAGGAAAACGTGCGTCATATTCAGGCTCGCCGTACTCACACATGTAGCGCAGCTTGGCACATCCTCCCCAATGATATGAAAAAAAAAAATACTTGACTGCTCGGCAGCATCGACCCGCTGCCTCCAGTTCGTAGTTTCTGCCGAGTGCGACAGCCTCATTGAGGTGGTGATCGACGCTGAGAGAATTCCTTCGCGAGTGCCGAAGAGGAGTGTCGACCGCGAAACAATCAACAGATGCATGCTCCAGCCGCGAAAATCCATGCCACAGTCTGCGGCGCGCAGGAGGCTTGAGCTTATCGTTCGAACGTAATTAACAATGCCAAAACAATTAATCCCAGAGCTGGCCGGCAGGATGTCTTCGGGATAGGCTGTGTGTTTGACAGCTCCTGGCCACTGTAAACACTTGTACATTTGCCAAAGAGGAGCCCAAGCACCGCACCGAACACAATAATAGGAGCGGTACACGACAGCAGCCATGGTCACCACGAAACTTCTGATCACCGGCGTGGTGGTGGTCCTCGCGGTTATCGGCGTCATTGTCGGTGTCATCGTGGCTCGCCAGTCAAGCAGCAGCTCGGCGAGTGAATCTTCGGGAACTGCCAGCTCTGGCTCTGGCTCCAGCGTCTCCGGCGGCACTAGTGACAGCTCGAAAACCGGTAACACTTCCGGCGGATCCAGCAAGGTGTCCAAGAAGACCAACAGCACCAGCGGCTCCAGCGCTAGCTCCATCACCTCCGACCCGACTTCTGGTAAGTTACCATACAAAGCGTATTCATCATAGTCTTCAAATAGCTAACACTATGATGTAGCCAAGTTTTCCTTGGCGGCGTTCGCCGTGGGCGACTGGGGCACGACCATCTACCAGGACTCGTGCTGCACGCGCTCGGACACGTACACAAACTTCGACATCGTGGCTGAGGATGTCGTGGCCAGCCTCATGAACTCGCAGGCTTCTAATGCGGACGTCAAGCCCAAGGCGATCCTCGGCCACGGCGACAACTTCTACTGGACGGGCATCAACTCGGAAGAGGGTCGCGACTCTCGATTTGCTACGACGTTCGAGAAGAAGTTCGACGGCGAGAGTCTGTCCGGGATCCCGTTCGTGAACGTGGTGGGCAACCACGACTACGGCGGCGGCAGCTTCATCTGCTCCAAGGGGGACGACAACGCCAAGTGCAGCAGCGCCGACGACCTCGTGGCTGCGCTGGAGAACAAGTTCAAGTGGCAGCAGGAGTACACGAGCCCCAACGACGACCGCTGGGTGCTGAAGGACCACTTCTACGTGTACTCCATTGAGGACGAGACTTCTGGTGTGAGCATCGACATCTTCAACGTTGACACGGGAGACGCCGACGTCCACGCTGCTCAGCAGGTGTGCTGCCAATGCTTTGCCTACTCCAAGAGTGACGACGATGCCTGCAAGGGCGTTGCGCGTGGACACAAGTTCTGTGCTGGCGGGAATAACGACATGTATGATGCTTGCATGGACAAGTTCAAGGAGTGGAGCGATGACTCCCGCAAGCAGCTTGCTGAGAAGGCCAAGACGTCCACCGCCACGTGGAAGATCGTTAACAGTCACTACAGTCCGCACGCTCACTATGACGAGGCCGGCATGAAGCAGTGGTTCGACATCTTGGAGGGCTCTGGAATCCACGCGTGGGTGTACGGCCACACGCACGGCGAAAAGCACGACTTTTCCGAGCCCTTGGCCATGCACTTCATTGAGAACGGCGCCGGTGGCGGTATCCAAAAGGAGTCTGCGAGTGGTCTTACTGCGTACGCCGCCGAGTACGCCAGCAACGTGTGGACGTACACGGGCGACGAGTATGGGTTCTTCTCGCTGGAAGCTTCGGACGAATGGCTCAAGGTGCAGTACCACACGGCTGACAAGTCGTGGTCTTTCGGCTCGAACATGAAGGACACTACCGTCGGCGGCGTGCAAACGAAGCACTGCTGGTACATTCCTGCCGACGGTGCCGAGGGCCAGGAGTGCACGTCGTAAGGCGATCATTTTTCACTGCCTCATTACGAATGAATACCATCTTTTTCGTTTGATTTAGAAGTGTGTAAAACAAGCTTCATCAGTAAACAAAAAGTGATTTCCACACCAAGTCTACCTTAGCTCGGATTAAGAAGGCCAGCTCGAGGAGACCAGGCGACTACAAATGAGTACGGTGATACCTGAGCAAAAAAAAAAAATGTTGAAGGCCTTGTCATTGAAATAGCCAATTCACGATTTCTCGCGTGAGAAAAGTTATGCCAGGCACTCTCCATTCATCGTAAACCTTGTAGCTAAATTGACCTTGTAACCTTCGTCGTGAGTCTCTGAGAACTTCACAAGATCTTCATGCCTGTCGAGGGTGACGAACGCAACATTGGCGCATTTTAGATAATTCCTTGCCTTCCATCACCCAGCGCAAATATCTTGGCATCCTTGAGTGCCTTCTACGCTCTTCGTCGATTCCAGATATCGTAGGGTTCTTCTTCAACACCGTCTTGCTAATAACTCCGTCAGATCTCCAACGTTTTCGTCGTTAACACCAATACCAGTCGATAGAGCAGTGTGAAATGAAGCTAGCCTCGAGCCCACACGAACATTTGAGTCTTGCGAGTACAGTTTCGCTGAGCTAGTTAAGCATTGGTCGTTGCTAAGCACATCTAAAAATGTATTCCAATGCCAAACATGAATCCTGCATGACGCACAAGCAATCAGCTTGATCATGCCGAGCAGAATCAATTCGAGCATTCTCGTGTCAAGAAATGCATCTGATGAGGTGCTACTGTCCGTTCAACGACACCATGAATTAGTAAAAACTCCTTTTGCCTAAATGATGACATCGTATACCTAGCGGCACGTAGTCGTGCTCCAGTAGTCAATAGCAAGAGCGCTGTCAAGTACACTCGAGACGTCCTCCACACTTCCCAGCAATGCCAGCAATGAGGTCAGCATGTCGATCTCATAGTGCGTGCGGACAACTTTGTTCGTCGACGGGTCCCAATCGAACCGCAACGTGCCTGGAACAACGAGCTTCTGACCGATGAGCTTGACCGCGACCGGATCCCAGCCGCGTTCGTCGTCAACAAGGTGAGGCAAAGCCTGACGAAGCATATTCGCCGTGAAAGTGGTGGTCGCGTTCTGGTACGCAACCACAGACTCCCCCGGCCCACGCTCCAACCGAACAAGCTCAATGACCAGGTTTTCGTGATGAAGCGAGATCAGTCGCCAGTTTTCCAGCCCGGCCTTGACTCCGTACCCAGCGTTGTTGTGCACGTCCGGTGCCATTATGGTTTGGGTAAACCGCGTCTGCACGTAAGCCAAATCAGAGCATTGAGGGGTCTTGTCACTGCAGAGCTCGGACACCGGCACCGGAGGTCGGAATCCGTAGCGGAACAGGCGACTTTGCTCCACTATGGCCTTCCACGGCGTCATCGCGATTAAAATGTGCTGCGGTTCGCTCTTCATTTGCTGTAGCCGCTGGATCTCGGCTCGGAGTTGAGTGACGGACGTCTCCAGGTCGATTCCTTTGTTCTGCAGCTTCTTCCTGTAGCGCCGTTGGGTGTTCCGACGAACCAGTCGGTGCCGCGCCAGTGCTCGCTCGGCGCTCGATTGGCCGCTCGTATCTTTATCTCCTGGTGGGGATGCATCCTTCTGCGTCTGCGCAACGATGGAGAATTGTTCCGTTGGCTTGAGTTCGCCAGATATGCGATGGTTGGGCTCTGAGCCAGAAGGCTCCGTGGCGTGGGGTCCCTCGTTCAGCCGCCTTTTCTTCAAGTGGCGCACCTCCACCTTGCCGATAACGTTTTCACTCAGTCGTTGGCTGTTGGGCGGGTACAGCGCGGTCTCGTACATGGATCTTGGGACTGACTTGTGTGCTTGGAGGCCGATTGAAGAATGAGAGGAGAGGCGAGATGATACTTCACCGCCGTGGAGAGTGACTGTCAAGGATATCACCTGCACATCAGTTGTACACAAACTTCGTAAAAAGTTTTGAGTAATTACCCCCCATCTAGACCCATTCTAGTGTACCAGATCTGGCAGGGCCTAGATGGTTGGCCACGCGTCGTCGCTCCAGGCCGCTGCCTGACTTGCTTCTTGCTCTCTCGCTAACCTGAATACATCTCACTTTCCAATCTTCCCTACGTCTACGTCTTTCCTTCTCTCCCGTCTTCGACCTGCGCAAGTGCTCAAGCCGATGGCTCGACAGGTTATAAGCCCAACGATAGGGAGAAGCGGGGAAGACTTCCCACGCCTCAACGGCTCCAACTTCCCAGTGTGGAACGCTCGCATCCGCGCAGCTCTCGACGGTCAAGGCCTGCTAGGCTTCATCGACCAGGGTGACTCGGACTCGTCCATCGTCGACTCCGACGACGACCAAGACCTCAAGCCTTCCCACCCTCGCCCACCAAGTCGGACGACCTGCTCTCCGACACTGGAACCCTGTCTCCAGACGACGGTCTGGACGCCGATGACGCCAAACGCGACGACAGCACGTCCCAACCAAAGCCTGGGTCCTCGTCCGACGCGTCGTCGGACTCTTCGTCGGGCAACTCCTCTGAGGCGATGGCAACTGACCCTCAGTCGTCCCGCTCCGCCAAGCCCACCCCGCCGCCCCCGGTGATCAAGTCCTTCACCGAGACCAAGCACGACAAGGAAAGACGCCGAGCACTGCTCCGCGCACAGGCCAAGAAGGCTCGAGCGAAGCTCTGAGCGGCCAAGAAGCGAGCGGCTCGCAAGCCGAGCCCGCACGAAAGACGCCGAATGGAGCGCAAAACTCGATCGTTCCTGATCTCAACAATCGATGATGCCCACGTGCTCCTCGTCGAGGGTTGTACTTCTGCCTACTCGATCTACCAAAAGCTGCGTAACCGCTATGAGGGCTCGACTGCCCACGGCGACCCGTACTACATCAACCACTACTTGATGACCATCAAGTACGAGGAGGGTACGTATAACGGGGTTACATGGAATAGTGACCCTGTCACTATTCCGGGATGGCTACATCGGTCACTCCCCTGGATAGTGACACAAGTGGCCTCAGAGCCAACAGATACATTTTGTATGACACAAACTATAGGGAACTTAGGATTTGTATGCAGGCCAAATCTGTACCAACCTATAAATACATTCAGTCTTAGATCTACCGCTTTTCAAGTCAGGTCGTCCCCTTCAGACCAGGGACACGTGAACGGCTGTTCACTTGGAGTTTGTATACTCCTGCTTCCTCTGATAAGAAGTGCTGTGTGCCCCGTCACACTTGGTAGCACTTGTAGTCAATCCTACGCCTACGCGGGTAGATTGGACTACCTGAATCCTCTGTGTCTCATCGAGTGAGCCAAGATGGATCGTACGGAGTTTCCCCATCTGAACGACTCGCAGTACGAGTCCGTTCGTAAGATGGCAGGCATCTTTGGGACAGATGCCCTGCGTAGCTCAGCGGCGGCGACGCCGGCTGAGCAGGTTGAGCGTATCAACGCGTTCGACACCTACGAGCGAGGGCTCATCGCCCAGGTTCAAGGGCTGCAGGACACTGCGGCCGCGCCGAAGCCGGTGCAACCGAAGCCCCTGCGGCTGAAGGTTCACCCCTTCGAAGGGAAGGAAGGAGAAAACCTTCACTTCTGGGTTCGAGAGGTTGAGCTCGCGATGGACGCGGCTCTCGTCTCGGACGAGCGACTCCGTGTCGCCTTTGCGCTCTCCAACCTTAGTGGTCGCGCTAAGAGTTGGGCGTATACGCGCGAAGCGACGACGCCTGGATGCTTCGCATCATGGTCCCAGCTGTGCGAGCAGCTGCGCACCGCGTTTCTTCCGGCGAACTACGAGTACCGCCAGCGTTCGCGCTTCCTCGCCTGCAAACAAGGAAGGCGCGAGCTGCATGAGTACATCCAGGAGATGCGAGTGCTCACTGCCTCTTCGGTGGGGAACCCCCTGCCTGAGCACATCAAGGTGACCGTGTTCATGGACGGTCTGCGTGTCGGTCCTGCCCGCACGCAACTGTTCCGTGTGCAAGCAAACACTATGGAGGAGGCGATTCAGATCGCCCTCCAGGAGGAGTACAGCCACAAGCAGGCTCGTACCCCCGCAACGTTATGGCAGAGCAACCCTGCCTCTGGCGGTGCGCCTAATGGTAACTCAGGCAATGGAGCGATCAACGGGCCGGTTCCCATGGATCTGGGCATGGCCGAGCAGAGCGACATTCGCTGCTACGGCTGTGGCAAGCTTGGGCACATGAAACGTGCCTGTCCCGCGGGAGGACTGAAGAAGAAGTTCTCTTCGAAGCCCTTTGGCTCTAGGGGTCGCTGGCAGAAGCCGGGCCCCAGGAACCAGGGGAACGCCGGACACCAGTAGGGGCGGGGCGCCCTACTGGGGAAACACTAGGTCTTCATGAGGGGCGTGCGGGTGGCGCACGCCATGGGGACTTAGCCCTGAGAGTCTCTGTACTCTCGAAGCGGAGAAGGGCAGCGGTGGGCTGCTTGTGGTACACGCAAGTGTACCGGGATACGATCATCCCTTGAGAATCTTGATCGACTCTGGGGCGTCCAAGAACTTTGCGCGCCGCCAGACTGTCGCACGCAATCGCGACAAGTACGCCGATGCGCTACGAGGCAGCAAAGGCAACGGGCTGGTCTCGGTAAGACTGGTCGACGGTACGGTGGTAGAAGTACCTCGGGTCCACATGGACCTCACTGTCAAGTTCGAGGACTTCGACAGCATGGAGCCGTTCTTGGTCCTAGACATGGACAAGTACGACGTGATCCTTGGTATGCCGTGGCTGGAGAAACACGAGCCTTGGATCGACTGGCGCGGCAAGGCCATCGGGGCCAGCCGTCCTCCACGCTCGGACAGAGCTTTGGTGAGTCATGTTCCCACCTCTGGCAGCAGCCGGGGCGCCCGCGAGGGCCGCCAGGGCGCAGCAGCGTCTAATGAGTTCTTGGGGTCCGTCGAGACTGACGACGACTCCGACCGGGCCGGACAAGGCCTGAGAGTGGAGGTGCCGGACAGCACCTACCAGGTGGGTAACGTAGGTCCACACGCGGGTAACGAAGTATCGCAGGCAGCAAGGGCTGCTGGAGAAGGCGCCGCTGGCGTTGGCGTGGGTAACCAAGTTCCACGCGAGATCACTCAGACCGTAACTGATGAGGAAGGCACTGCTGGCGCTTCCGATGTGGGTAACATAGTTCCACAGGAGGTCACTCAGACCATAACTGATGCGGGAGTCGCTGGAAGCGCTCCTGGTGTGGGTAACCAAGTTCCACACGGCGAGGTGGGTAACATAGTTCCACCCAGCAAGGCGGGTAACCAAGTTCCGCTCAAGAACAAGGCGGGTAACGTAGTTCCGCACGAGATCGAGAAGATCGGTGGTGCCGTCAAGGCGGCGCCACGAGACGAAGACACCCGAGGGTCACGTCGTAAGCCGGGCCTAGTCGTGTGGCCGACGACGCTAGTCGCCAGCGACTCCGAGCCTCCAGCCAAGGCTCCAGCCGCCGAAGAGTGTTATCACATCTTCGACGGCGTGACCGGTAGTCGGGTCAGAACAGGAGCTGTCGAGCTTACAGCTCTGCCCGAGGTTTCAGAGTTGCTGAACCTTGATGAGCTCGCCATGGAGGACTTCTTGGCCGAGCTAAAGGCCGGGGAGATCGCAGAGTTGGTTCTCCTCCGACCGGAGTCAACGTCGGCCGAGTTGAACTCGTCCTCGGTCATGGACCAGGCAGTCCTGGAGGAGTTCCAGAGACAGCGCGCGTCGCACATGGGCTCTGAGATTCTTAAGAACCCCCGGGACCCGGTGTACCCCTTGGTGAAGGAGTTTGAGGACGTGGTGTCCAAGGATCCACCGTCCAATCTCCCTCCGGACAGGGGAATCAGGCACGAGATCGATCTCGTGCCGGGCACGAAGTACTGTGTCACGAGGCAATGGCCTCTTCCCCGGGATCAGTGTGAAGTCATTGATGCCTTCTTTGCCGCCAAGGCGAAGGCATGCATGGTGCGGGAGTCGAAGTCCCCGCACTCGACGCCTACCTTTTGTGGTCGCAAACCGAACGGAAAGTGGCGTCTGGTTCATGCTTATAACAAGCTGAACAGCGCGACAATGCCTGCGCAGACACCGATCCCGCGCAAGGACGTGTTGCATGGCCGGCTGAACGCTGTATAGCGCGCTGGACCTGGTGGACGGATACTACCAGAGCCTGATGCGCGAGAGCGACATCCCACTCACGGCTGTTAGCACGCCGAGCGGTATGCTCTGGGAGTGGCTGGTCATGCCTCAGGGGCTTTCTAACGCCCCGGCAACGTTCAATCGCTTGGTCACACAACTCTTCCGACCTTTGCGTGCGTTCACACAGACTTACTTTGACGACATCTTCGTCCACAGCCGTGCCGAGGCAGGCCAGACGGCCATGGAGGTGCATCTCCAGCACCTTCGACGTGTGTTCGAAGTCATGCGGGCGAACAAGCTGTACGCCAACATCGACAAATGTGTGTTCGCAGCTGAGGAGATCAAGGTCCTGGGCTGCTTCGTCAGCAGCGCCGGGGTCCGGGCGGACCCGGAGAAGGTGAAAACCATCGCGGCTTAGCCGCCACCTCGGTCGCAGAAGGACCTACGACAGTGGTTGAGCCTCGCCAACTACCTGCACAAGTATAGTGCAGGCTACGCCGAGCTGGCACGGCCCTTGTCGGATCTCCTGAAGAAGGATGTCGACTGGCGCTGGGAGCGTCGCCATCAAGATGGTTTTAACGACATCAAAGCGAGCTTACAGCGCGCGCCAGTCCTGGCATTGCCGGACGAGACGAAGCCTTTCAGCGTAGTCTGTGATGCGTCTGACTACGCAATTGGCTGTGCGCTATTGCAGGCCGACGATGAAGGCCGCGGACGGGTCATCTCGTTCCAGTCCAGGCAGCTCAAGGCAGCCGAACGAAACTATCCAGTCCACGACAAGGAGCTACTTGCCATGAAGTACGCTCTTGTCAAGTTCCGAGTGCACCTCCTGGGCTCGACGCCCTTCGTCGTTTATACAGACCACGCGTCCTTGCGGACTGCCGCCGTCAACACGCCACATCTCTCACAGCGGATGGCGCGTTGGCTGTCATTCTTCGCGGAATACAACTTCCGTGTCGAGTACAAGCCGGGCAAGTTGAACGTGCTTGCCGACGCGCTGTCGCGCCGACCCGACTACGAGCTTGCTCATATTAGTCGGGTCACGACGGATCTGTATGATCGCATCAGGCTGGGGTACCGAGACGATGCCAGTCTCGGACCTCTTGTGCGGTTCTTGGCCGCTGGCTCGGAGGCCAAGGCCGAGTGGCTCACGCCCCGACAACGTGCAAGGCTGCACCGCTATGAGTGGGCTGACGGTTTGCTCCACTATAGGGTCGAGCCCGAGGATCCTCCCCGTATTGTCGTGCCCAACGACGAGGATCTCAAGTACGACATCCTGATGGAGGCGTATGACGCTCCATCCAGTGGCCATCTCGGCCGTGAGAAGACGTACGCGTCTGTCTCGCAGATGTTTTGGTGGCGTCACATGTACAAGTGGGTCGCCACCTACGTCCGTACGTGCGAGACGTGCCAGCGCGTGAAGCCTGCCGGTCACGCCTCGGCACCATTGCAGAGCCTGCCGGTCCCAGCGGACTGCTGGAAGTCGATGAGTCTCGACATTGTCTTCGGACTTTCGGCCGATGACCGTGGCAACACTGGTGTTGTTGCCTTCGTGTGCCGT